CAAAGAAAGAATTTGTCATCTTTCTGAGCGGGTGCATGAGGACCATGTCGGGGGCATTAGTGTGTGCAAGAGGTACCCCAAGGAACATCAAGCGGTCCTTGCCCTGCAGAGGGGTGCAAGAGCCCCGGAGCCAGACCCCCGGCGTCGATCCTTCAATATTAAGCACGCTGCACTTGGCAGGGTTGACAAAGAGCCCTACCGCCGCCAACGTGTCCGTCAGGTCCCTGAGTTTGACCTGAAGTTCCCTAGCATCCATCGCAAAAAGCATGACATCATCAGCATATAGCAGGAAATGTGGGAGCTCTATTGCATCCGCCCAGCGGGGAAACTCGGTATTCCACCGAGCCTGGAGCCCCCGCAAATGGAAATCTATAGCTCGAGCGAAGAGATCAGCTGAATAGCTGCTGCCTTGCATGATCCCTTGGCGGACCTCGGTACGCCAAGTCTCAGTTCCCAAACTCATTAGCAAACGATTTTGGGAGCACAGACGCCATAGCAGGAGGATCTCGGGACAAACCTCACAGTGCATGAAGAAGTGCACGATCGAAGAATGGGAAAGACTGTCGAAAGCCGCCCTAATATCTAGCTTGGCCACATGTGCTTCCACCTGGTGCTTTCTGCGTAAGACTCCTATTACTGTCTGCGCCGCGAGGATGCCGTCTACCGTCTGAGTTTTTCGTCTGCACCCCATTTGCCCACTTTGGTAGGGCGGGCATTTAGGCGCAACTCTCCCCATCAGTAGCCTGCCAAAGATCTTAGACAAGCACGGAGAGAGACAGATCGGGCGCAGGTCAGCAGGATTGGAGGGTTGGGGCGTTTTGGGCAGGAGCACTACCTTGGCCTCGTACCAGTTCTCGGGAAGAGGCTGTTGCCCAAAGAGCAAACGATTCATGAAGCGGAGAAGCTTGCCCGTTTTGTCGCATCTATGATAGGTCCGGATTGCCTCATAGCACACTCCGTCCAGGCCAGCGCTTGTGCGTGGCTTGCATTTGGCGATGGCCAGGCCTAAGTCATCCTTAGTAAAGGGCTGCGGTCTAACGGAGGAATGTGTAGCAATCATCCGATGGATCGCCTCCTCGGTGGGAGGCGGGAGGAGGGAAGCGTATTTGCGGTCATAGAACTGCCGGAGTTCCAAGCTGGCCGCTTGTTGCCCCCCTCTTTGCTCAATGTAGCTGGTTTCAAACGAAGCATGCGCGGCACTCTTTCGGAGGTACGTGATAGCCTGCCTATCCCCTTCCCTGGCTCGCTGCAGAATGTTCAACTGGTGTTCGTGCCGATCGTTGGTTCGGCGTGCCCGTATTTCGGACAACATGCTCGCTCTCGTGTGAGGGTCCTGGCAGGCACGTCTGGTTGCAATAAGGGCCTTAAGGTCCGAAGAGTCCTGGTATCGAAGGGAAGGAACTCGCTCGGCTTTTAAACACAACTCAGACATGCGAGAGGGACCAAACTCCATGTCCGAGGCCGCATAGCTCTCCAGCTCCGGAATGCTGGGCAGCCACCGGCCACACCTGGTGGTGGGGCGTGTGCCTCTGTGGAGCAGCGGCATCGGGGTGCAAATTCTCAGAAAGACGGGGCAGTGGTCCGAGGGGAGCGCCAGTCGCATGTCATCCCGCTTGTGAGCATACGTGAGACTTCTAGGGACACGAGCCAGGACAGCGTCGATTTCGCTAGCAGCCCCACGGGCCGTCCAAGTGATGCCCACGGAACGATGCAACGAGAGGCTATGTTTCTGAAGCAGAGCCCTCAGAAGCCCCATTCCCGAAAAGGTGTCCGAGCTGGCATGAAGGTCCTGGTTGAAATCACCGCCGACGATGACCATGGCCTCGCCACCTGTATCCTGCAGTTGAGAATCCAGTAGCTCCAAGGTGTCCTTCCAAACCTCCTCTGCAGAAGATCGTGGTTTAGCTTCGGTGCTGACCCGTTTACTGTGGGGCAAATGCAAACATGCCAAATGAATTCGGTGATTCCGACATGCACCATGCAGGACAAGACCAACGGGAAGCCCCGACTTGTGTGTCGCATGGAATTCCAGTTCGGTTTTGACAAGAATAGCCTGGTTGAGGTGTGCTTCGGGCGCGCTGCAGTGATACATCTTGTAGGGTACAGACCCAAAACAAAAATCCGAGACCTGAACCTCAGGAGTGGCCCCAGGACAAGCACCTAATTCCTGCACAAAAAGAAAGTCAGGGCATGGGACAGTCCCCTGCCACAGATCAGCAACCTCACGGAGACTTTTACCATGAAGATTCCAGGTACATGCTACGAATTCGGGTTTGAGGGGTCGCCCTCGTTTCCTGTTCCGGCCACCCTCCTAGGGGGATCCTGACGCCTCAACCTCGAAGTGTGTATGCAAGACCTTGAGATCAATCCCCAAAGTTCGAGCGAGAAGGGGACCCGGGACCCACCATCCCGTTTCGTGGCCCCGTACATCAAGCAACAACAGAGCCCCATCATCCGGACGTTTCTGGTCCACGTGGGCAAGCACACTGACCCCATTAGCCCAGAACCTTCCACGCCAGTCAAACTCAAAGTCCCTGGGGGGCAAATGTTTGGCAACAAGAGCCTTGAGGGACACTATGGCTCGAATACGGGCTCTCTCCTCAGGACTACGGTTTCGCTTTGCCCAAAGTGCCCCCGTCCCTTGCCCTGGAAGGGAGCTTGGCTGAGCAACTGCTCGGAGGGCCTCAACACACATGCCTTGGACCTTACGTCGTTCTGCCATGGCATCCTGCATGTACAGCAAGTCGACCCTACACGTGTTGGAACGCACCGAGCTGCAATGCATGGCCTGCAGGAGAGGGCCACACTCAGCTCTCGTGAACCAGTCTCTCACTTCTTGTTCGATGTCCTCGCGTTTCGCATCCTTCCAACCGCCTAAAACAACCTGCCAATCATCATGCGCGGGATTCCCACGAGCCCCACGAGGTGAATGCGTCGGAGTGTATGCTGAGGTGACACTAGGAGACCTAGAGCGAAAATCCCTCATCTCCTGTTCCATAGCCGCCAAACGGAGCTCAAGAGCCGCAGTTCGTTCTAAGTGCGAATCCTGCCTCGACTCCAAAGACTGCACCTTATCTGCTACTCCCTGAATGGAATCTCTAGTGACCTGGATGGCCTGCATCTGCTCGTGTTGTCCTCGATGAAGCCGGTCGATGCCCGCCTGAAGTGAGGCTGCCCACGGCGGGGGGACATCATCACCAATGTCGTACTCCTGTGGCAGCGGGCGTTTGTTCTTGTCGGGGGGGACAGGCCCCCCCCCAAAAAGGGGAGGGGGTTGCAGCCCCACTGGCGGTCCTTTGGCGGCAGCGGGATCGAGGGTCGGAGGTCGTGCTTTCTTTTCGGGGCTTGTTTTAGGCGAGGACTTGGGGGCTCGGGTGGCTTGGTGTTTAGCAAGGAGATTAGCGGCCACCGCTGCTGCTTCAGCCTGCTTGGCTTCAGTTTCCGCCAGCCCCACCCCTCTCCCCGGTCCAGGATCACACGGCCCACCCACGGCATCCCCCAAGGCGGCCCGGAGCGCATCCTGGGCCGCTTCTTGCATAACCATGTCGGGCTGCTCGGCCCCCAGAAGAGCCCCTGAGCTAATTGGCGTCCCAGCGTCATCCAACCCCCCCCCCCCCCCTCCAGTTGTTCGGAACGGTGCAGGTGGGGCAACAGGAGCGTACTTTCGTCCGACCCCGCCATCCCGACGAACGACGACACGACGAGAGGGACTGGTGGAGTAATGCACCCGGGAGGCCTCAGAACAGGACTACGAGGAGGAGGAGAGCTCAAGCCTGCCCGACGCGGCCCGGAAGGCGCGACCGCGCTCCAGGGGCACACACGCCAGCTGACGGCGGACTTGAGCCAAAATGGCTTGAGCCAAAATGGCTTTGAGGCCTTGGGTTCCCAGGGCGGCTGCAATTCTCGACCCAGCAGCCTTACGGCGTCAAGCGAAAACTGTGTCTTGGCTCATGCTGCAGGTATGCTAAAGCTGGGTTGTGTTTTGAACCCTTTGAAAATTATTTATGAATAGGTTCCCTTCATGAGGAAATAAGGAAAATTAAAAATTATCTCAAAGCACAACCCAGAAAGTAAACAACAACGATCCGAGAGAGAGAGAGAGAGAGAGGAAGAGAGCAAGAGGATGAGATAGCAAGCTTCACATCACCAAGCCGCTTGTCAAACACACAGCCGCCCTGATGACCTTGTAGGAAGAAGTCTGCGCCACGAACATCCTGAGGCAAAGAAACTGTCCCGCCACTGTCATCTCCAGAAATGTCAGCATTTCATGGCGAATACGACTTGCCCCTCCCATTCACCAGGAGCCCATGGTCCCGATGCTAACTGTCCGACGGTCAGATCTACACTTGTCGCCCGGAAGGTGACATCCCAAAGGCTCACGTGCAACTTCTAGTAAGACACACTGATAGCATGGACACCAGCAAGCTGGGACATTGCGGAGCGTCCTCCCAGCCGCCAATGCCGGAGCCCAGCCGCTTACCTCGTGCTATGCTTCCTACTGAGAACCGCCGGGCAGCTGCACCGAGCATTGTGCTTCAGTTGCTGGAAAAGCTGGAGTCCGTGGACTGACTGACTAATTATGTCGGTGGTGGATGTCTAGTTCGGAACACGGCTCAGCATCAACCACAATCGCCGGTGCTCTCTGCGAATTCCACTTGGGAGGGCTTTGAAACGTTTTGACTCTGAGGCGGCATACCTCTTCCCTGAGTCTCGGCTTTGCGGCACCATTCGAGCGGATGCCCAACATTTTGGCAAGGCAGCTGCCACCTTTGGGCCCTTGAGAGGAACTGTTCTGCCCAGGCACGAGGTTGTCTTGTGAGAAGACCCTTCATCAGCGTTTTGCCGTTCGCCTCAGATTCTGTGCTAAGCAACGATCCACACACTCCTGCTACCACAACTTGCTGTCAACTAGATGCCATCGGGATGCATCCTTGTAGCTGGATGCAAATTGAAGGGGGTCCTGGTAGACATTCAAAACGCGACGCAGCCTAAGCAACCTCTCAGCCCCACTCGCACAACAGCTCGGATAGAGACATGGAGGCACATGCACCATACGTCCATGCATGATCATGCGTGTAGACAGGATAGCAGGCAGGCAGGCAGGCGGCAAGGCATGCATAAAACCAAATGAGCATGTCTCGAATTTCGCCGTGCCGGGTCGAAGAGTCCTTCAGGACTGCAGTGCACACCTCGGTGGGGTCGTCCAGGTCATCGGCAAACGGGAGATAGCCTGAAGGAGGACAACCAAAGAGACAAAAGTTGCTTGTTTCTTGAACAGCCGACCAAGTGGACCAGAGCAGGTCAAGCACATGTGCAGGCGCATGATGCGATTTGAGCACTTGCGCAGCAGCAAAGCAAAAAGGACGTCTGCGTTTGACAGAAAAGCACAGCCAATAGCAGCGCGATGGCGTGCTGGACTGCAAGCAGGTCGCCACAAACGAACTCGTAGAGCATGACCCCCATGGACCACAGGTCAACCTCGTGGGCGATTGCACCGCGGCTTTTGGACATCCAGGTCATGGCATAACCTTTCTTCCGTTCGCACTCGGCTTCTTTGTGATGACTGTCTTTCGCTGGCTTTAATCAACACTACCGGTTCTGCTTTGGGGCGTGTGTCTGCATGGCCAGAACGATTTTGTCTGCTGCAGCCACTCGTAGTCAGCACGTGGATCCGTATCGAGTTTCCCCTGCTACACGTATCGCAATAGGCACCGCTTTCATGTTGCGATATTCACTTTTGCCAACCATTTAATCCTGCTGTGTCTTTCCGTTCTGAGAGCTGCAAGAATGCTAATCACAGCCGTGCTCAGGCAGTAGCTGCCTCCTGGCAAATTTTGCTGGTCCCTACTCCGAGCTGACTCCTTCACCTTATCTAAACCCTGATACCTGGCCTCTGTTCCATAGCCGTGGCCCCGCATCACCTCCGGGGCCATGTAGTGCGGCGTGCCGATCCTCGGGTCGAAGCGCTCTTTGAGCTGGGCGGGGCGTTGGGAGGCTTCTAGAGGGGGACTGCTGCTCATGCTTGCCCTGGACGGTTGGTTCGGGATCCGGATGGTTCAAAAGAGTTTTCGCCTGTCGAGCAATGTTTCACAAGGGGAGGAAGAACAAACACTGCCGGATAGATCCAAAGCTGACATTCTTCTGCGCCACTCAAAAGGCTTGAGTGAAAATCTAGGCTTCCACACTCAGCCGAGCTTCATTGTGAAGGTCTTGCTCTCCCCTTCTGGCAGCTTCTTAGCGATGCCGAAGTCGATCAGCTTCAAGTAGCCCTGTGCGTCAAGCATCACCTCGGAAGTACATCAAAAGTCAGACCGGGCACGTTTTGAGGCATGTTTTTTATTAACATCGAAGCTCGGGAAAACATCCCGAGGAGCGCTTTCTTTCGTGCCAAGGCACATTTTCCGGCTTCAGGTCTCTATACCTTGGATGCTGATCCTCTTTTGCTGGTAATTCCGGTATTTTTGTCCTGTAGTCGTCATGCTCACTGTCTTCACCATAACTACGTATCTTCATGGGCTACATCTTCAATCAGTTTCACAAGTCTGTATCACAGCTGCCAGGACTACCGCTATCGCGGCGTGTGTTGCCATGGCTGCTTCTTGTGTCATCCCGGGCACACAAAAGTGTGTAAGGCGGTAAGTCTAAGCGCGGCACAAGATGTTCCGCTCAGAAAGCTCCTTCAATGGAAAGCGCAGAAGCATGATTACACTGCCAATGTTGCGAAGGTCCACTCTGGTGGCTCTTTTCAACTTCGACATATCTGAATCATCGCCGTGCCCGGTTGCGCCACCGTACAGAAACTGTTAACACTGAGAGGGGGAAGAGTGTTCATTCCATCTCCAGTGTCTTGCATCCGCATCCCTCCACGGTGTCAAAAAATTCAAGTCCTCCAGGACGATAACCAAAGAGCCCGTATAGAACTGGGCCTGACCCGGCCGAGCAGGACCGCTTTCTACCCGAGCCGTAGTAAAGAGACCTTTAGCTGAAGGTCTGGGACCTATAGTGGGTAATTCCGGATTCTGCAGAAAGTGGAGTTTCAAAGCAATGGGGCAGCCGCAAGGACCCCCAATAAGGGATCACTAAATTCACCTGTGAACCGAATGCGCAGCCAGGCTGGATGCAAAAGCAGACGTCCGGCCTGAGCCCTGGAGAGGACGGTCGGTATCTCTCTGATTGCGCCTTGGGAGTCGGGTTTGGATTCTGACACTTGAGCTCGCAAGGCGAGGGGCGACGATCTCAGAAATTGAAGAAGCCAGATGAAGTCTCTTGGTTCGCAGTCTTGCCAGGCGAGTAGATGGTCAGGGTTTGCTGTGCTGGTGAGGCTCACACTCGGCAATCAGGCGAGGTCTTCAGACAACAAGGGGCTACAAAGTGCAGGACGTTTGTCGGTTTGCTAGTTAGGGAATCTCCCGAACAGCAGCGCCGTGGATCAGCGCGAAAGAAGTTTTTGACTTCGGGCTGAGGGGAACCTAAAAAGCAGCAGAAAATCGGAGCCGAAATGCCGTGCAGCTCTCCTCCAGTGATAAGCTCCGTGAGAATGTAGACCTGAGCTGCAAGACTTCGATTAACTTTGGAAACTTGAACCTTGCTGTCTCCGTTGTCTCTTCCTTGGCTGGGTTCAGGGCACTCTTCTTGGTCTCGAAGGTATTCACCTGTGTCATGATGAAGGGGTGATCGATGTCTTTCCTGAGATCACGCCGGGCAATGCTCTTGGCGAAAGCCACCGTATACTGTTGATGATATATATCCTGCATTACCTTAAGAACCCTAAACTATGGGAATTATGGTATATTCCTCATTATGTGTAATGCAGGATTTATATCATCAACCGCAGGACTCTCTTTGAGCGAGGGTGCAGAAGGGAGCACTCGCGCTGCACCTCCTCCGGGACCTCTCCATCCACTTTCTTTACTCGCTTGAGCCTTGAATGCAACCGGCTCGCGAAGAAAGAAAAGGAGATTCAGTGTGCCGCCGCGGAGTGCAGTATACACGCAGAGGCATTCTCGAAGTGCTTTCTGAGGAGCGCATACCGCATCCCCGTCGACTTGTGCTCGACCAAGCGGACGACCCCAGCAGCACCTGCAATCGAAAAACGCAGAGGAGTCGCAGCAAGCCATTCCGACAAAAGAGATGCAAATGCTCCGCCTGCACCGATGACCTTGACCTGGATCAGGTCCTTTAAGCCAAAATTGGTATCCTGCAGCCTGGCGGGTGCAACTGCATTGTCTTTGGATCGCAAGCCTTCAATATGCCGGCCTGATGCGATTCATCAGCTGCTGCTGCCTGAGATCACAAAATGTTCATCTTTAGCACGGCTGCAGACCACGACCCAGAAGTATCTGGTTCCAAGCCACATGTTGCCCGCGATAATCTTTTCAAACGTCGCCTGGCATTGGAGCGGAGAAATTGCAAGTGGCCACGACACAGTGCAAGCAAGACAGAGGCTTCGAGATGCGGCCTTCTCGATGGCCCAGAGCTCCGCATCGGGTGAGACCACCTGGCGGCAAAGCCGGAATCAGGAAATGCGGAAGTGCCGGAGCATTAAAAGCAAAAGACTTGCCCCAACAAAGGCACTTCTGCCACGACTTCCATACATTGGCATTCAGTGCCAGCTCACCTTCACCGTGGCTGTTCGAGGCTCATGGAAAAGGAGCGCGCGCTCACCTGGGGTTGATGAGCCAACACTCGCTTAGAAGTCTGGCAAGACTTGACAGCCACGAAGCCAATGTAGGAATTTCGGGTCATTCGCCTCACCTCGGACGCGTGGGCGTGACATCTGCAAGAAGGCAAACCACGTAATCCCTGAAGGAGAGGCACACTCTTGTCGTTAATGAAGACCTCCAGCTCGCCGTTGGCGATAACAAAAAAGGATGTCCCAGGGGTTCCTTGCTCGATCACCTCAGTCTCGTCGACAAAAGGGTTTGGGGCTTACGGCTCATGGGAAACACGAACGGAAAGGGGCAACAGAACTTGCCTGCACGCCAGGATCAGATCGCCCCACCCAGATAAAAAGCCTTCTGAAGTGCCGGACAAGCTACAGTGGCGCCCTGAGAGAACTTCATGGTTACAAACCTTGGCAGGGAATCGCATCCAGCTCTCCAAGAGCAGGTTTGGCTGTGGTGTGGCCAAGGAACGACTCAACGACCTTTTTGGTCTGCTCCTCGGAAAGATGCCTGAAGATGTGAACCTGCCGTGGCAGTTGCTAGTAAGCCAGGGGAGTCCGAAGTCTCGGGTGGGTGAGGTTTACAACAAGCAGTCACTGCCTTCTTGGCCAGGATCATCTTCCGCGTGAAATCCGATGCATCGTTTTCGCTGTTGGCCTGCGCGGACAAACCCACAACACTCGCAGCGCTGCTTCCCTGGAACTAACCTCTGTGGGCACAAGATTCAACTGCCGAGGCGCGATAGAAACCCCCAAGGCTTTCAAGGCAGATGCCATTCCGTCTCGGGTCAACATTGCCACCCTGGCCGAGACGGACTTCTAAAATTAGGTGCACATGTGAAAAGTCTGCACGCATCCGCGCCAATTCTGAACCGCGAACCGTGACAGCACCCCGCCGTTTCTCTACACGCAGCACCCGCCCTAAACCATGAACTGCATGGGCGACTCTCTGCTGAACAGCTACACACTATGAACTTCTGTGAACTCTGAACCCTGCGATCTGCGACCAAGGCGCTTAGCACCCTCGGACCCCGACTTCATGTTCTTGATTGAGCTTTCTTTGCTGCTGCTATTCAGCAATGCCTCGCCGCAGGTACAACACGGAGTGGCTATCGATTTGCTGGACATGAGACACTTCGACTGACACAGGTCACTGCAAACCTTCACGCATGAGGCATCTGCTGCCATAGTAACTGTGAGCATACGCAGCAGCTTGTTCAGTCCTACATGGTTACCACAACAAGTCCCTCGTGCTGGTGAGCCCACAGCGGAAACATGCTTTATGCTGTTGTTGATGCTGTCCGGCCTCATCCTCAATCCAGTCACCACGTGCGAGCTTGACCTCTTTGTCCTGCAGTCTCCACCCGTTCAAAAGATTTAAACGTCCACCCAGTCTCTCATAGTATTATACTCAGTCCTTTTCAAGCCCGGACAACGAGCCGTCCAGCACGATAAGTATCCTGGCCGCTGCATCTGCCTCGAGATGCATCTCTGTTTCGTCAGCAACATCTCCTCCACACACCCTTGCTCTGAGGTCTGGTGAACGCGCTGCCGGACCCTGCCAGAAGAATGCTGAAGATCTGCCAAGCAGCCTCGGCTCCTGCAGCGTAGTCCTGACATGTATCTCATAATGATCTACCTGCTACTACATGGATTAGCCGCAGTACCATCGCAGGCCGGCCGCGTCCTTAACGACGACCCACTTCATGAGCTCCGCTCTTTGCCCGGCCGTGAACTGCGAGATCACTGGACCTGCAGCAAAGGAAATGCACACGGTCACGCTGAGGTGCAGCAGCGGGTATTGCTGACGATGTCGTCGTCGTAGTGGTCGTCGTCGTGGTGGTAGCGGCAGTGATAGCAGCTGTATTCGGTTGCCGGTGTAGTTTTTGTCACCCGCATGCCGGCGTAGTAGCAGCAGTAGTAACAGCAGTAGTAATAGCAGTGGCAGCAGCAGCAGTAGCAGTAGTCGTCGTCGTCGTCGTAAGAGTATCGGTGATAGTGACGCCACGCGGAGCATGCAGGGCTTAGTAAGAGCAAACAAATCAGCGAGCAGCACTATGTCGTCGTCAGTGTCGGCAGATTCGCATTTATTGAGTGTAGTGGAGGCGGTGATGGTGACAAGAACGTCGTGGTTGCTTCCCCATGCATGGTAAAGAGCTGCCCGCAATCAATGTCTGCACGGGAACTGCGAAGTCTAAACTCTAAACGCATGGAGCTAGCAACGTGCATTCAACGCACATGAAAACCGGCGTATACTAAATAGGTAATTACCAGTCGGAGTCACCCGGAATCCCCGTTAACTCGACGAACCACAAAGGTGGCGCTTGCGATCCGGTTGCACACTAAGCCTCAACAGACCTGACACGCTAAGGGCAGCGCATTTCTTGAGCCCCTGCGATATCGCATTCCGCTCCAAGACGGCCCCCAGATCATCTCCAACAATGACCTGCGCGAGCTCGCAGGATCTGCAGCGCATCTTCAAAGATGTGGGAAAGTGACATGGGCCCATTTCTGGGCTTTCTTCACCGAGAGTGCTTCTGCAATTAGAGTCGACCGCGAGATCTAGGTCTGCGCCCCTGGGTTCTCGCTCCCTGTTAGCGGGCCCTGCTCTTTTGAGTATTTCTGCAGATTCTGCGGCTGACCCACTGCTCTTTTTCACGAGCTACTTTGCGCCTTGAGTTCTGCCACACTCACGCAGAGAAGCTCCGAGCGACCGCTGGACAGGATGGTGATGTTAAACCTTGCTGGCGCGTGCGATGAGCTGCATAAACAGACCCAATGCCAAGTACAAACATGGAATGATGCACTTGTACGGATAGAACGAAAGATAGATATATCGATAGGTAGGTATAGATCGCTAGACAAAGGCTCTGTCTGTCTATCTATCTGTCTATATTTGTACAATAAATAAATAAAAAATAAATAAATATATAGATATATATATATATATATATATACACTGATAAATATACGTACGATTATGCACAGGAGGTCTGCCAGCATGCGAAAACTTGTACTTCTGGCCAACGGAATCCGTTGACCTGACCATGTGCAGCTGCGACACGGCTCCTTCGAAACCACTTGCGACTCTCCGAAGCAGTCCTGAGTAAAGAGCTGACAAGCTCTCGCGTGGGATTTGAAACCTCGACTCCTCGACTGTCACAATGGCCCTACGTCGAAGAGAACTACTTCCTGCCTGTCCAGCATAGTCGAGCATCACGAATTCGCATCTCGATAACTCGTTTTGAAAGCAAGGATCACCCTTTGTTTCACTCGCCTAACTGGATGTTGGCGCAATGGTACTGACCACTTGACACGTATAGCTTCGACTCTCACAGCTTGGCGGGTTCAAATCGGCCGTAGCGCCATGTGTAATGATCTCGGTGTGCGAGGGCATCCACCCGGTTTCGGGTTTCGACTCATCTCGCGCTCGCAGAAGACAGATGAACACAGGCAAGGCTGTTGGTCTGGTCTGTGGATTACTCCCAGCCTCCCTTCAGGATCGTGCTTCAAGGAAGCAGCACGAGAAAGACTTCAGGCTCAAATTCTACTCTCGGACCAACCACGTCAGATTTTCGTCGGCATGAAGCAAACGGAATAGAACGCGCGATGAACAAACCGAGGTTTGGGACTCTCGATGCGAAGCATGTCCACAGTTTGCCTGCTTACGAGATGACAAAAAGTATACAGGGCCAGGAAATTGAAGGCTTGCAACTCAAATCACCTTCCTTCACTAACTCCGCTTCGACAAGTTGCTTGAAGGGAAAGGTATATGTAGGGTTCAGCGGCTCCCAACAGGCCAATCTAAACCCGGGCTGACTCCAACACCACTGCCATCGCATTGGCTCCGAGCAGCATTCGGCCCGAGCCGTCCAATTTCAGAGCCATCTACGAACTCCCCCGTGCTTTTGACCTCAGCAGCGACATGCCCACACTGCCTTGGTCGTGTGCATGTGGGGATGTCACATTGATCACTCCTGTGTGAGTCGTATTTGCCTCAATCACGTGTGGCATTCTCATGCAAGGTGCTGAACTCAGGCCCAACACTGCGAGCTTCTGAGGCCCCCAGCATGTCCGCCCGAGTACACGCCCAGTTCGCCTCGCGCTGCAGGTGATCTTGGCACCCTAAACTCGGCGCTTTCCAGATCCGCGTGTGCACCCCCAACAAGGCGATGGCCTTTCTTTACAAAGTAGATGGCGGTCTGCATGTCGCCGGCCGTCACAACCCGAGCCTGCTCCAGGCGGCAAGCTGCAAGAATCGGCAACATCTCAACAGGTATTCTAGCTCATTGTTAGGATAATTCCTCATTGGGTTCAAGTACCCAGTAACATGTAAAATGTTACCCAACTATGACGAAGTATTCTATAGGACAAAACATGGTCAGGGAATAATTTGGGTCAGGGAAGTTTTTCTACTCAGGGCTTCGTTCGCCGCCTTGTCTTCGAAGACTTCGGAGAAGGTCGCCTGAGAAGTTCTGCAGCCGGGAAGTGGGGTAAAAATAACAAGTAGGGACCCAAAAAGAAAGCACAAAAGCATAAGCATTTAATGGGGGATATCCGTATCCTTATTTTTGCTTATGTGCTTTTTTGGGGCCCTAAATAAGAACAACAATCAGAATAAGACTGACAGCAAGATTATCACACTCATCGTTTTACTCCTCCGGCTTCCCATGCACCTCTGCCACGCAGGTCTTCTGCTTCTTGGTGAGGCCCTCGAAGATGCTCATGGAATCCAAAAACTTGAGGGTTTCAGCCTGGCAGAGTGAGGGGGTGTGCTCCCGACTCTTCTATTGCTGCGGTGTTGCCTGGTGTTTGGTGGCGTTCTGCTGGAGGCTCTGCTTGAAGGCAATGCCACTCGCCTGAGAACAGCCGTCAAGTTTCAAGTCATGAGTTGCTTGTTTGGTCACCCTTTGCCAGCCAAGAAGCGCCCCAGACCTCGCTATCCGCTGTGGCCTTGACGGTCGCAGTCCTCGTGGGGGCAGTGCAAGATATCACATTTACACTTAAATGTGCCACGATGCAGCGGTGCCCTCCTGGGACAGTTGTACAACAGCGCCAGACCACCAAAGGCACAGCCTGCGCAACACAGGACATCTGACAAGGGATGAGGATGAGAAAAGCAAGCTCAAAGAAGAGTCTCACCTGCACCAATGGTGTTGCAGGTGATGCCCTTCACCTCATGCAGCTTCTGTTGCGCAACGTTTGGCAGAAACTCACAACAGATGGCCGAAGACCGAACATCTTTCTGCAGGCCCAGGCACACTTACTTCCATCGATCCTGTCTGCGTCACAAAGAACCTCCGGTCTTCCCGCAACCCAGGAATCCCATCTCGCATTTGAAAGCAGCCCGGGCACTATCGCGTCTCGCAGAATTCAGAATTCAGCCGAACACTGCTATCCAAGCGACGTTGTTCCAAGACGGCCCTCCTGGATAATGGGCGTGCCCTTGTCGAACTTGAAAAACTGCAAGGCAGCAGGGCTGACGAAGCTGCTACGACGAGAAGTTTCGAGCTTCACAGGGCAACACACCTTCACAGTGTTCAGAATGGACTCGATCTCTGCATCATCCAGCCTCGGCAAGTCTGTTTGCCTGGACGACTTCCCGCCCTTGAACCATCCCGTCGCAGGAGGAAATCACGGGGCCCCAATTAAGGAGTAAGGTAGTTTAAGGGTCCTGAGTCCTGAGTTACAGTGCGATCGAAATCTACCGAAAGCTCTCCCAGGCCCGGGCGTGGCACACAACCGATCCTGCTTCATCGCATTCTTCAGGAAGGTCCGGGTATCGCTGTCCTGTAGCAATTCGGCTTTACTGGACCGGCCCGAGGAGCTCTGAGTCCCTGAGTTCCCGGCAATTTCCTTTGCGACCTAGCTGTGTGGACGTGCCGAGAATGACGACACCACGGGGGAGCATGACAGGAAGCAGGAAGGCCTCGAATTTCTCGAGGTGCTCTTCCACAGGGGGAGGCTTCCTGGATGTGCTCCTGAGATCTGTGCCGGCATCTAGAATCTAGAGGAATCTCGCAGCAATTTCCGTCGGAAGCAACTGTGGGAACGCAGCATCTGCAGCTTGTTCTGCGAGCAAGGTGCCCCACTCGTTTTTGAGTTGCCTTTCTGGCATACTCCCTCTTCTTATCCTGCACACCAGGGACTGCACTGTGAATCAGACGAGACCTGCTTGCCCTCAACAGCGGCCTGTGGCATTGCCAGGCTGCTCATCTCTGCCACAGGATGAGCAGCCAGGAGCCACGTTTACCCTTAGCCGCACAAGCTCTACACAGCATTACACAGCATTCTTCTGTTCAGGCTGTTGTGGCAGATATCGAAACAGCTGCAACTCGAAAGCTGGCTGAAAAAGTTCGTTTGTTGGGCTCATGCAAGTCAAGGTGCTCCGTAGCCGCGCTGTGAAGTCAAGAGGGGCCACTTGCAAAGCTCAGCAGAGAACCCCTATCTTGCAGTTCGAGGACTGGATCTAATTACTCATGGCTCATCTCAGTTCGTCAGGTGATTCACGGCTGAAGCAATCTGTATTCTGTGCTGTCGGGTTGGTGCCTGTCGGCACTGCATGTGCGCTGCCTGATATACTGTCTCGGAGCTGGTGTAGGCATGTCTGCGCAGGTGGCCTTAGCTTGTCTAGCTTAAAATGCTTCCGCATGGCAACCTGGCAGTAAAACAGCTTCGACATTCAGAAACCGTGTACTTGGACTGCACGAGCTTGCGTGTGGGCAGTCCGTTTGTCATGCATCCGTGGCTTCTCGACAATATCTTCTGCACCGGTTGGCTGTGGGACTTCATTGACAGGAGTGCGTCCCTGCCGGACCTGGGCTGCAACAAGCGCGGCTTCCTGGACAGGCAGCGACTCCGGTGATGTCGCGCGAGCACACGTTTGATACTTTAAGTCCATTTCTCGAAGTCATGCAGTGAAGCATTGTTCACATCACAGGCGTCGATGTGGCAAATTCAGGCATTGTTAGTGCAACTCGACTCTTGCCTGGAACACCAGTTCGCCAGCGTCGAAGTCTCTCTGTGCAACCTGCAGCAAAGTTCAGTCTAGATACTACCCAGCACCTGATACCACCCAGCACCTTGCGCTTCGAAACTTCACATGCGTTGAAGCACGTGCAAAGTCCAACTCTGTCATTGAGTCATTGCTTTCGGTTGGTCATCTTTGCATGTGAGACTTGCAGGTGAGCTGAAGTCCTAGTACTCCTGACTCCTATGATCTTGACCGGGCTACCCGTACGCATCCGGCCTGGGATGCGCAACGAGAGGAACAGATGCCGCTGGGACGCTTCTTGGCTGTCGACCTTGGCAGCTTCTACCCAAAGCTTCATCCGGCCACAAGTCAAACAGCCTCAATACGGGTTCCAAGCCGTTTCTGCTTGATTCCATGGCGGGCCGGCTTACGCAAGACCCGAGGGCCCATGGCAAGAAAGTCGACTGCGAGGTGGTTTTGACGGAAGCAGAAACAAATGGGGTCATCCGTGCGGGTGCTTCTTGGAAATCTCTGTCCTTAGCCTACCTGTTGCTGCACTGCTGGCCTGAGCCCTCCAAGCAACTCCCGCGGCTATCTCAAGACCTGGACCAAACGTCTCCAGAACAAGCGCTTTTCTTTATCCGCCAATAACTAGATGCTAGCGAGCAATGCTGTCGGTCACACGTGCCAGGGTTTAGGCGGCACCATGAACTCCAACCGCAAGAACAGCTCCCAAGCATGTCGGGCACACGTTCCGTGTGGTCCTGTGACCGGCGGAGCACCCTTCTACCCAGCTTGATCCGAAATGAAACTGATAGGGCGAACATGACCAAGATGCAAACGGTCGAGTCTGCTCCACCCCAGAACGAGGTCCGAACTGAGGGTAGTTTCGGACTGGGCTACATACCATCGCTACATGCTAGTAGGATTCGGTGGACGTTGGGGCACAAGCCAAGCCTTTTTTGTCTGCATGTCCGATTCAGTTCTGTTCAGGATGGGTCCAGAAGCACACAAGCATGTGGTCCAGATGAAAACCCATGTGCAAGAACATCGTGACGCAGTGCAACTTCTCACATCCCCCATGCTGGCACACGACGGACCGGCAGAGCAGACAGACAGGTTCGCCTCCAACAGTGTGGCAAGGCAGGCAAAGAAAGAGACATCTACTTCCTGGGTGCACGGCATTGTGCTTGCTAAAGACCGAAGTCTAGCCAGCTTGACCCCAAACTGATAGGGCGAACATGACCTAGATCGTGGACGTGCATTTTGTTGCGTTCAAGACTCTTGCACTGTTTACAGCGAATGCCCGAGGCTCACTTTCTCGGTGGAGATCAGCTTGAACAAACTATCCACGCACCCTCCCAGTTCAAGCAACAGCTATATACCGTTACGACACTACTACTTGTAGCACAAGTACTAGAACGAACAGTAGAAGTACTGCTAGAACTGGTGTATCTGCTATTATTGTTTACTCGCACTGCTGCCACCATGACGACCACTACACCACAACAGCCGCCGCAGCCGTCGCCGCAAACCTTTTTCAGAGCCGATAGCATCGCACTGTGCCCAACTCAATGGATCCAGCCCCAGGTCAGAGGCTTCAAAGGTGAGCAGGCTCTGCAACTCCTCGCTCGGTTTGGTGTTTGTGAAGACTACTTTCTTCTGTATCTTCAACTACTGGCTGCGATGCATATTTCTATCACGCGTATCAACATTGCCGTTGCGAGTATGCCTCCCCGAACCCTTTGAAACTGACATGTGCGGCCCCACCTCAATTGGCTCATCCTTCCATGGCCCCCTCTCCCCCTTGGACAAGCACCACACATCTGGGACTCTGCGCTGACGCATCACGACTGCTATTACACTCCGTCTGCAGGCGGGGTTGCGACCTGAGAGATCTGTATTGAGGCTTCGACCTTGATGTGCTGCCCCTCGACGAGGTCTGGCTAGAACCTGCCGGGTGTTGTTTCCTGGTGAATCTAACACAAGCAGCTGGGAAACCTGAATCTTCCAGTCTGCGGAGGCAACCATGAGCATCATGTTGCTCCTACCGTGACATGAACTTGCAATCAGCACCGCTGATATTTAAGAAAGTGCACTGCCGCTCCTCGGCTGACCGCTCGAATGATAGTAACAGTAGTCTGATACGAGCAGCAACCCCTGGTGTCTTCCAATGATACGAGTTTCCGCCTTGCCGGTGCGGAGGTATTCGCATTGATCTTGATGAGTTCCTGGCTCGACAGGACAACCTCACCACTCCCGCACGCAACAGTAGTCTGTTATCCGAGGTGCTTAAAGGAGTCGCTCCCTGAACTTTTACAGCACCACTGCCGGGTCTGAGCTAAAACCGAAGTTGTGAGCGAGCCTGATGCACGAAGCGAGCGCATGCGGCTTCACGATGAGAGCAGTGTGGGTGGCCTCAGACCACGAAGTGGCAGCCAGCCCCAGTTCAGCAGGTGGTCAAGAAACATGCTTCTGAAATTCTACAGGACGAGTTGGGTAGGACCCTGGCAAAAAGCCTCTGCCTCCAAGCAGCTGGATGCAATGAAGCGAATGTAGCCCTCGTTCATTCATGATAGACTTCATTGGCACTTCACCTCCAGCAGAGATGCGTAAGTCCTAAAGCAAACCATGAAAACCATGGATACACAGGTGAGTGCACGCCCGCAGAACACCAGGACTAAACGACTAAACAGGACCCCTCAGAGCATGCAATCAGCTCGTCTGCTTTGATCTGTCTTGAAAGGCTGGGAAGCACAAAACTCCCTAACTACAAGTCTCCTTGTGCGGAGGACCTTCGACGTTGTGCACAGACAGCTCCAACACGGATGCTGCGCACTTCGATTTAGTACATTCGCTGGGCACCGGGTGTGCGCATAAACTGGCAGAGGCCGAAGTTGTCGGAAGTGAATGCAGATGAGAGCTGTACGATTGCCCACTACTGCGGAGGTGCTGTGCAACTGTTTAGAGCCCAGCAGCAACACTCCAGGAAACAGCATGATAAGTTGGGAGCAAGACGGCAACGAAGCCAAGGGTCAAGAAAAGCCCAAACTGTCCGACGACCCGCTCCTTCTGAAAAGGCCAGCGCCAGCTCAGCTTGTCACCAGAGAGATGACAAAGGGCCAAGGCCAAGAGCACTGGGCCAAAGGCCACGACGAAGCCTGTGAGCTGAGAAATGGCCTGATGGCTCGGGTGGGCCATGGCCCAAGCAATCAGAGGCACCATGGCAGACCAGAAAAGTGTGTAAGTGCCATGGTACACGTCCTTGGGCATGCCTAGGTAAGACTCCGCAGCCCAAGTCTTGGTGTTGATGTTATTGTTCTCATCTCTGTACTGTCCCTTGTACTCCTTGGACTCTCCCAGCTTCTCCCGAAACGTGCCACACCATTGGTCGATAAAACCACTCATCGGAGAGCCGTAATTGCACTCGAACTTGGCGTGATGGCAGTAGTGGTACTGATCCGATTGGAAATGATCCTCCCAGCCGCTATGCCCGGCAGCTGGGGCAATTGCCAAGTGGAAGAAACACCAATAGAAAACAAACGGAGACAGCCCCGACAAATACAGAGCAGGGAAGAAGGCATTGGAGAAGTAGTACAAGTGCTCTACCGGGTGCATGGTGAGCCCTGAGAACGGCTCGGGATCCGCATTTCGGTGGTGCAAGCTGTGTACATACTTGTAGATTGCACGGATGTGGATGAAGCGATGCGCGATGTAGAAATGCAAATCCCGCCACAGCGGCATAACCATCACCCAGAAAACATTCAAGGCCAGCAGGCCAGGGCTAGAGAATAGTTCCCCAGCCGTGGCATAAGGCACCTTGCCGATGGCCCACAAACGAAGCATCAGGGCCTCCAAAAGTGTCCACTGCAGCACACCCAACGACCTGGAGGCATGATTGCGCGTGAAAGTCGGAAGGCAACAAAGGACACGGGCAGAAGCATGTCGCGTACGCAAGAAAGGGGCATGAACCCATGACATCTTGTTGAGCGGAATGCTCATAACATAGGAAACGTTCATGCGTGCTAGAACACAGTCAGCTTACATGAGTGCCGCGCGACGATTGGGCATCCCAGTTAGCATACCGCTTCAACGGAAAAATGCGGCGAAGGATCCAATAGTATAGGTTGTGGGCCATATTGCCGGCGGTGGGAAACTTCTCTGGGGCAAACTTCCTGCTGGACCAGTTGCTGATGTAAAGGCCGAAGTAGAAGAAGCCATAGTAGGCAAAAGCAACCGCCAAGTTCAAGAAAAGCCTTGGCAGAATCCAACTCCAAGACCAAGTTCTGGCCGCTGGAATGTCGTAAGGGGCCACGGCATAAATCACGAAAGCCAGGATGAACCAGACCAAGTTGGGAGAGTAGAAGAAGTACTTCAAGGTAACAATCTGCCTGATCGTGCTCTCCAAGCCCAACTGCTGAACCTGACTTGTGCAACCTGCCGCCTTGGAGGTGTCCACCCACGATTCCACGCCCCCAAAGATCTTGCCGCCTGGGACCGTCATCACGATGAGACACAAGGGACAGAAGCGATTGAGCAAGAGCACTAGCCTGCTTCTTGGTGCCACTGACTATGCAGCTAACAAGGGCGGCAGCCGTCACTACTTACCAACAGCACAGAATAATCTACGTAAGCTAAGCACAAGTACGCAAGTGAAGTTTGGAGGTCAAGTCGGTAGTGCACGCGAGCCACGTGTGCATGTGCCACTTCGAGGGAAGTGGCCCATTACAGGCAGTGGTGATAATCTTGGACTCATGACAAGAACATTGAGGTTGACGGCAACTTTTCTCTTCCAATCCTTGTGGGCATCGAGTCTTCCTACGCTGTACGGATATTAAGCATGAGACGAAAGAAAAGATCCACCTGGTAGTCCGCCCAGACGGGTCCAATCGAGCATAGCCACACGCGTGGATGGAGCAAGGGATCTACTTTGATTAACTTCAAACACGTCTCTTGAGGAAGGACACGGCGGCAAAGCAAAGAGATGTCTCTGCTCTAACACCACACGGTCCGCAAACATCGGCATGCTGAACTTCTTCGGATGGCCACTGTCTGCCGCCAACTTCACTTGCTAAAGCGTCCCGAAGCTTCCCGCCTAGAGAGGCCACGGCCACGATTCCCTGCTCTTCGCCCTCCAGGTCTTTATATGTCCTGTGCAGAAGGCGGAAAATACGCCACCCAGCGTCACTACAGCGACGGCAAGGAGGGGCCATTGGAGGACCCGTACCTCACCTCCCCTTCTACCACGACTTTGAATCCGGCGCCTACGAGGTCGAGGTCCCGGTCGCAGGCCACTCCCAGAGTGCCAGTCAAAGGAAAAAATCCCTGGCCCGGTTCAATCCGGCAAGCATGCTTCCCTTTCCGACAAGCTCGACGCCTTGAGCCATAGATCCGCATGGGTCGTTGCCACCGGTCTCCCTTTCTTGCATGCACGCGGGCGTGCTTAGGATGTCGGTTGAGTGTGTGGGCCAGGGTCCCGTCCTAAGTGGACCTGGAAGCACCTCTCTCACTCTCTCTGCCATTTCTTGTCTACCTCAGTCTCGAAGCGCTACGTTCTGGAGAGCACAAGTCTCAGTAGCATCTGCCGTCGACCTCACAGTTACGCAGAATTACTAGTCAGAAATATACGATAGAAAGCTCAATGAAAGGCCCAGGGGTTTCTCTTTCTGGGCCCAGGGCCCAGGGGTTTCTCTTTCTGCCAGCAGTGTTTGAATTGCCTCTCCAGGTACGAGTATCCACTCAGGCAAAGCTGTCAGCATGACCGCGGCCCTACTCCGACTCGTTTTGGCTTGTTGCTCGAGGTCCATGGAGCTGTTGCACGAGATCGATATCTCCAACGGCCTTGTGCCGTTGCCAGGAGTCATGGACTTCCATCGCAGGCTCTTCTCTGTGAGGCAGCTGACATTCGGATGCGCGGGCCGAGCCAAGACACCACAGCGTAGGCAGAGAGTGGGACCCTGGCATGTCTCCATGTCCTCGGCTCACCTCGCACAACTTCGGCGGAACAGCTCGCAGTCCACACCGTAGCAAGGGGAGCTCGCGCCCAGCTCGAACTTGGGGAGTTCGCCTTCCAGATGTCAAGTCTCACTCGCATCGGCCGAGGCCGGCCGTATGTTCGATCTGTCCTCTGATGGTGAGTCCGGGCAGGTCAGCTCAATGGCCTCCCATGAAAAGAGTCCACAAACCGACATGGCATTCTGAAAAGCACCTCGACTATGTTGCATCATGCCTACATCACCTGAGTTCACCTGACCTATCCTGACCTTCTTGTGACTCTCGTCTTGTTCTTCGATCCCGGCCTCTTCGTTTGTATTGCCCGGTCTCCAGATGATCCATCGCACGCACCGAATAAATGCACCGCAGTGCAGGGGTGCAAAAGGCACCAAAGTGAAGGCAAGCACGGCCATGGTTGCCAAGACTAGCAGCACTTGTCCCTTCATGCCCGTTCCAAACGCATGCCACATCTGAAAGACTGCCGCGCCTACTATAGAGCACACCAAGTAGTCGCGAGACAGCGTGGAGACGCTGCTTGCATGATCCGTGGGCATGCGCACTCCGAAATCTGTCACGGCTTTGTTGAAGAGGAGCCTCGGTGCACAAGCACCAAACAAAAGGCAAAAAGAGAGTTCAAAACGGACAGTGCCAAAACGTCGAGAAGAGCTCTGCTATAGGGTGCAATGCAGAAGGGGTGCGCGTTGACTGCGGCTGCGGTGGCAACGCAAAAGCTGACCAAAGGATTTAGTGGTCCCCAAAATATGGTTGTCTCCATATATGTGGTCAGCAGGGCATGCTGCTGTATCGGTAAAAGGCAACCGCTGGTCGTTGGTCCGACCTTTAACAGCCTCAACTGGCGGCTTCCATCCGAACGCTCGTCGGAGTCCAACTTCGACAGCTGCCATGCGATGAGCAGCAGGACCGGCTGAAGGCACGTTCTGAGAAGAAGCTTCTTCATCAGCAGAGGGGCAAGACCTTCAATCATGGATCTGCTGCAACGACCATTTTTCCACCAGGAAGGTTCCAGTTGACACATGTCAGCATCGGTGTTCATCATTTCTTCGTCCCAGATACTTAAGGAGAACAGCTCTTGGCGGGGGCTCCCTGCATCACAGACACTCCAGAAAAATTTCCAACCAGCCAGGCAGTTCTCATGCAGAACTAAAGTCGTAAGCAGAGACAGGAGCCAGGTAGAGCACAGTCTCAATGTCATAAGCAAGCGATCGGTTCGGATACCAGTGAGCGCCGAGAAGCATCTTGACAAGGCACCTGGACTGACAGTCAGATTACAACCATGTCAGAGATGCAGACTTCACAAGCTGCGAGCATTGCCGGCCAAGCGCTTGCCAAAAGCATGTCAACAGCCACGATCAGGGCCGGAGCTGCTCTGTGGGTAATCTGCAGAGTCTCGTGGCTCAGCCCTGAAGTGTTGCCGGCAGGGAGAGCCTGTGACGTGAACTCGCATGACATGTCGGAGCAAGGCAGAGTTGGAATGTGAATACCGATTTCTGAGATTCTGAGGCCTGAGAGACAGCAAAGAGGATCGAGGGCACGGACAGGGCAAGCACCACCACCTCCAGAACAGCACATACTATGAACAGAATTCAGAGTGAGGCAAAGCTGCTCGTTGCAGCACCCCGGCCAGCCACAGCATCCAGAACCCGATGAGCTTGCAGCCACGGGGTCCAGGTTCCACAGCAACTTTCAAACCTGAGGCGCTCGACGCTTCACACTCTTCCTGCTGTCCTCCAGTTCAGACCATTGGAAATTTGATTCAGGGAGGCCTGCCGCGCGCTTGGAGGGCATGGCAGCCACGGCGGCTGCAAAGAAGAGGGTCAGCAAACTCCAGGAGATGCAGACAACCAGAGTCTCCCAGGGCCTCGCACAGTCAGACATGATGCCAAATGCAGACCCACGAGAAACAGGCCCACGCTCAGCTGATTCCAGCCATGCCAGTGTGCAGTGTGGTGTACAGCATTACTGTACAGCGGATATGAGAAGCAAGAAGTTCTTGCCGAAGAGCGCTTGGAGAGCTGCAAGCTAAGCCCCGAGATTGACGCAATCCCTCCCCCACAAGCTCAAAAACAATAAGAAGTGTGACTAGAAGTCTGAACAGGGCATGTGCAAAGACATTGCAATCACAAGCCAAGCGGTGCATCCCCTTGCATCGAAAAGACTTGGCCAAGGCACCCTTTCAGGTAGGCGGCAGTGGTACGCGACAGCGGCTGCCCACAGCTGTAGTAAGTCGCACCCCAAAGATAGAGGGGGAGCATCGCGAAGCATAAGATGGATGACAAAGTCGTGAAGCGAAGGACACCGAAGCAGGCCTGGCACAGAGCAGGCCAAAGCTCACAAAGCATCTGTAAGCCAACCCAAACCGATCCACTGTCAACCTCATGATTTCTTCGGAACTCGGGTGGCATGGAAGGGAGGATACAGCCTAGTCAGGGAGTTTCTGCATCTCCGCCTCGGACACGGCGGAGACCTGTGAGCTTTCATGAGCATAACGGGCTGCGTGGAAGAGCACCTTCCAGATACGACCTCGAGCGAAGGCCAGGCCCAGGAGAACGAAGGCCATACCAAAGCCTATGAGGAGATTGGATGTGTGGGCCCGGTCCGAAAAATAGAGGAACTCTTGCCGCTCTTCAATGTGGACCCACGATGGTAGATCATGGCCATCTCCGACCATGTTCCCCATGACGACAAGAGTGAAAGCAGTCCCCGTCGCAGTGGCCGCACTAGTCACCTTCTCAGGAAGACCGCAAGATAACGCATTTCGGTGAAGCGTCAGCACGGGGTTGTTCCCCTGTTGCCAACTCGGATCCTCACACTCCTGGCATGACCTGGGGCAGTTCTCAATCAGCTCTCGAAGCTCTTCCCGGGTCAAGAAGCGAGATGCAACAGTCTCGCATCCAGACTCGGTCTGGTCACCCCAGTCGCGGCAGTCGTTGCCCTGAAGCTGGAAGTGAGGATTGTCTAGACATGGTTCCTTGAGACTCATCCCATCTGCGATGGATCCCGTGAGGCTATTCCCATGTAAGGTCAAGATAGCGAGGTTGGGCAACTCGGAGAAGAAACGCTTCGGCAACGGCCCAGAGATGGCATTCTTATGCAACGTCAGGATGACCAGGCTCTGTGCCAAGATGATCTGGGGAAGTACACCCACAAAGCCATTGCTGTGAAGCGACAACTGCTGAAGCCTGGGCATCTTCCACAAACAGTCCGGAAGTCGACCCTGCAGCAAGTTGTGGCCGCAGGAAAACTGTTGCAGGCTATGGGATCGGCAAATGTCTTCTGAAAGCTCTCCGGAGATTTGGTTTCCGTCGACCTTGAGCTCTAGAAGCCCTGTGAGACTACCCACTTCTGGAAACTCACCCGAAAAGCGATTCTCCCCAAGGTCCACTTTCCGCAGCAGGGCCCCAAGGGACGGAATGGTCCCGGAGAGGCGATTTCCCCGTAACGAGAGCTTCTGGAGCTTTGGGAGACCAGGGCTCAGTTTCAAAGATCCCGTAAAGCGATTCCTGGAGAGGTCCAGCTTCCGAAGCTCCTGCTGGCAGGAGGCAGCTTCTCAGCTTTAGCGTGTGCACGTTCACCTGTATGCCTTCTCTTCCCGTTCTTTGGTAGTAGAGTGCATGACAGTGACCATGCAAAGCAGACCCTGAAAAAAGTAAGAGAAAAGTTGTGAGACGTATGACCACTGCGCATGGTTTTCTGCAAAACTTGGTCGTCTCGTTCGTTGTGCTGCTCTTGCCGATGTTGGATGCGCTTTGCCGTCTGGGCATGTCTGGGTCGTAGCCTAATCGACTACCCTCGACAATCATTCAGGATGATGCGACTTCCGGTCGTCGCCGCTGCTCTTGCAAGTGCAAGCGAGCTAGGCAAAACACGGCCTTATCTTTCCGCCCGCCCCAAATCTCTTGCTACCTACATTGTGGAATACTCATGTGGGTAGTTCTCTAAATTAGGGTCCCGTTTTAGGCCGCCAGTAGGGTGCGGCACACTTACAAAAAGGAACCTAAGAAGGACCTCATTTTAGAGAACTACCCATGTCCAGTTGGGCCTATTCCGGGGGCCGGGAGGGGAGAAGGGACCTTAAGCTGCCGGGATGTTGCAGCCAGTCTGACTCTCTCTCGTAATTAGGGGTACCTCTTCTTGGAGTCCTTCTTTTTCAGAATCCTACTATTTAAAATTTAGGGTACTGTACTCGTTCTGCATTCTACAACCGGCCTGACAGTCTAAGGGCATCAAAGTGCCCTCGAGGAGGTTGCTCCGAAGATTGAGCTGCTCCAGGTTCTGCAGTCTTCCGATCTCCGATGGGATGTTTCCAGTGAAGCTGTTGTGGGAGAGGTCCAGCTCCTTCAGGTCTGCGAGTTGGCCAAGCTCCTTGGGCAGACTCCCTGCGAACTGGTTTCGGGAGAGGCGTAAGATCTGCAAGGAGCGAAGCTGCCCCAGCGCCTTTGCTGGCAACGGCTCCACCAGCTGATTGTTAAAGAGCTGAAGACGCTGGAGCTTCCCAAGGCTAGCAATCTCCACCGGCAGCTGCCCGGTAAGCTTGTTGCTCTGCAGCGACAGGGCTCTAAGGGAGCTCAACATCCCAATGCTTTCCGGGAGAACGCCCTCCAGTTGATTGAACGCAAGGCGGAGGTCTTGCAGCTCCGAGAGCTGTCCAAGCTTCGCAGGCAGGGGTCCCGAGAGCCTGTTGTCCGACAAGTACAGACGCCGCAAGGCGGACAAGTCGCCCAGCTCCTCTGGCAAATTGCCAGAGAGATTGTTGCTAGAGGCATCGAATCTCTGTAGTTTCCTGAGCTGCCCCAGCTCTCTTGGGAGGGACCCCGAGAGCTGATTTCTTTTGAGCTGAAGCAGCTCCAGGTTTGAACAAAGGCCCAGTTCCTTTGGGATCGGCCCGGTGAGACGGTTGAAGCCGAGCCTCAGTTTGCGAAGCTGGCCCAAGTCGCTGAGGTCTGGTGGCAGGTGCCCGTTCAGGTCTTTGTGTTGCAAATTCATGGCCACCACCCTGCCTTCCGAGTCGCACTGCACTGCTTCTTGGCGACAGGGCTCGCATGCGATTTTGAATGCTTCGTCAACTGCGACGCCCAGGGACTGCACCACCGACAGAAGCTTTACGTCGCAAGTCCCGGGCCGCGTGGTCGTGCTCGTGGAACTCGTGCTACTGCGTGTTGTGGTTGTCCGACTGGTGTAAGTTCGGGATGTTGCGGTTAGCGTCGAAGATGTGCTGGTTGTCGTTGAACTTACAGTGCTGCTGGTGGTGCTCTCGGTCGTGCTCACAGTCCAAGTCGTGGTCACGGTGGCAGTGGTCGAGGTCGAGGTAGTGGTGGTGGTGGTGGTGGTGGTGGTGGTGGTGGTGGTGGTGGTGGTGGTGGTGGTGGTGGATTCACCGTTCAGCACTACCAACAGGCTCAAGCAGCACAGTGTCCGCAACGCCATCGCCCAAAACAGGCCGCTCAACAGCTTGCTCAACTGCACTTTCTCAGCTTATTGCGGGGTTCACGTCAGTGAAACTAAACTCGAGCGGGTTCGATGCCTCGTCGCCGAAGTTGTTTCTGTCTTGAGCCACATGTCGATTCGACTGCGGCAGGAACACGAAAGCCCTCGCGATCTCACAAAGGCCATTCACAAAACATCTCTCTCTTTTTTCTTGCGCAGCAGTGAGCAGTAAGCGTTCCGCGGCCGCCGAAGCAGCCGCCAAAGTCAGCGAGGCGCAGGGGGTGGACTTTCCTAGCTCCTGGATTCGTCACAAAACAAAACTCTGAACTCAAAAATCCCTATAAGCCCTTAAAAACTCTGTCATCTCGATCTATCACAAACACTTTCTTTGCGGTCCTGGACCAGAGAGTCGATCAAGACGGCGGCTTGCGAGGCTGTTTGGATTTCCTCGGCCTGGCTGGGGAAAGAGTTTTCGGAATAGGCTTGTTGCCAGGATGTGAGCTTCTTATACCATATTGGAGACACACGTTGATGTCGAATCTCAAGGGAAAGTGACAGGGACTTTAATTAATTCGGCAATTGCGCGAGCAGTGTTCTGCTTGATAGTGCCTGTGTTGGGAAACCTGGCTTCCACCCTGGCTTTGGCAGTGTGTTTCCGCTCTGTCCGGTGATGGCTCGTAGTCGTGGCATTCCTTTGCTTGAAGTTGCGGATTCTGGAACTGGGAAGAGCGAGGCTGTGTGCATGGGGTTTGTTGTCGCATGGATGGGCTCTGGCCGACTCTGGCCAACGATGCAGGCAACTACCGGAGCAAATGCAACTGTACCTACCCAGCCTTCTCACCCAGCCGGAAACATAGCACGGATCCAGGACTTGACATCACTGAGGCCGTGGGTGGCTGCCGCTGGCACCTCGGAGGTTTTTGCAAAGTGAATGAAGGCGCGTCGCTGCTCCATTCCGCGCTGCTTCACTTTCGCAGCGGCTCCCTGGCTCTGACGGCTTCCTTCCTGGAAGACATGCGCGGCACATTCAACGTTCCACTTTTATCGAGAATTTCAGAAGAGTGTTCCTCGGGTGAAGCAGAACTTTTCGCGGAATTTGCAAGCAAGCCAATCTGTCTTGACCTGGAAGCCGCGATGTCTCCACTTGGGAATCGCTTGGGGTCACCAGATCTCCCACAAGCAATGCTTGACCTGGGAAAGCCCATGAATGCCCCAAAAATGTTGGGTGCCTGGGAAGCTGGTTCTATTAAAGGCGTGGTCGTGCAGTTGGAAGCCTGCAATTAGAGCGTGCTCTTCCCGGACAAACTCCTGTTTTTGCATCCAGGCCTATTGCGACTGCCGGGTACCCTCTGTTGAAAGCCAGAACCAGGAAACCTCGTCACAGATGCATGCGATGTACGCGATGACAAGGGCCTTCACTGCGGAAAAAACGTAGACGGTTTCGGTCCGACATGTACGCGAAGGCAAACGAGGAAACTAACTACCAAAACTGAAGAAGAACAGTCGAGTCAAAATTGGCTCTCGACATTAATTAAGCGGCAAGCGACAAATCATGATCCAAATACTTCATTTTTTTAAGTTGAAGCGATCCGGCATCTGCTCGCATAGCCGTGGACCGCGAGTCTCTTGGCTGGGGTCGGCGCAGCGCCAACAGGGACAGCAGCGCCCAGCGACACAGGGCGGCCTACTGAGATGATCGAAAACGATCGAACAAGTGGCCCATGCTTCGAAGCTACTCATGGCTTGAATTTATGTTGCTCGTGACTGTGACTGTCATTGAGAGCGACTGGCAGATGGCGAATTGTAATCACAGGAGACATGATTTCCGACAGTGGCCTCACTGGCCATGGGGAGCAAGGCTGCAACTGCTCCGGCCGATACTTCTGCAGCCATCTGACAAGAGGATGTAATTATTCATTGGTTTGCGTAAGTGTAGCATCGATACTAACGCTGTGGGCTGTACTGTTCTCGTCAACAACCTGAGGATCACTTGCATGGTGTCACGCGGAGTCCTAAGTTAGGGGCCCTAGCTCATTGCCATCAATGCCAATTGCGCATCAAACTCCAAATCAAGTTTCAGCCACCCCTGCCATGTCTGCACAGGAGCAATGGTAAGTCTCATTCCCACGGCAAGTCTGCTTTGTCAACCGACATTGACATGGCATCTGCTGCGCCCATCGCTCCTCAATTCGACGCTGCTTTCCCCGCGCAAGGTGGTGCATGTGGCTGAGAAAAGCCATTCGCCCACAGGCCTGACATGAAAGTGGAGGACTCCAATGACTCCAGGAAAACCCAGTGACAACTCCATGCGAGTAGTCTGCCTGGGCCCAAAGATCACAGGTCACGGCTTAAAGAACACTGGAAACCTCTGCTTCCGTACTGGTGACCCATGACCTCCACATCACCGGACTCTTCCGCGGCCAGTGTCGCAGCAAGCAGGTGCGCACAGAAGGCATGGGTGCTGGGGCAGCTGCAACCTTGCAGGAACGTCTGGCTTCTTTGCGGACGGAGACTGGCTTTTCTAGACCTCTCTCAGCCCAGCAGCAGCATCGCACCAGGTCCACAGAGCGCGGCTCATCGCAGCTCTTTGATTTCACCGTCGCCTCGCCAGGCCAGGGCCCCTGCAGAGAGACGGTCTTCGCCAGTCTGCGGCCCTTGTCCCAAGCCTGTGACAAAGCAGCCACGGGCACTCGACATTCCGACACACGGTGCACCGACTCCATCAATGCGGCGTCTACTTCTCTAGTCTCCTACGAAAATGCCAGGGAACGGACTATGACATCTTTTTTCACAGCTCGCTGCTAGATTGCCTGCAAGCCATGCCGAACCCTTTGCCTGCATCATGCCACGATCTTCTTGCAAAGTCTTTGGCAGCAGCTTCTCCAAACGAGGGCACTGCCAGATCGCTGGCTTCGGCAGAACATGCCTGTTCGAGAAAGTTACAACGTGCCAAGCGCAGTGAGGTACATTTGCACATGTATAGGCGGGCGAGCTGCGGGCGTTCAACCTCTCTGATGTCAACAGGACCTGCTGCCATGCTCTCCTCCTCAGACCTCAGTCAAAGCACACTGTTCTGTCAACTTGCACTCCGTGTGAGTGCGCCGGCTTACACCGGGAGCCTGTCTCCAATCGAAAAACTAGGCTGTGGGTGCCACAACATCTCGCTGGTGTGTTCTCACGCCCCACGCAAATCATGATCGACTCATCTTGAAAGGGAACCGTGCCGTGCATGCTCATGCCACGGTCCGAACATCAGCACATTGTATGTCAGCTTCTGGACGAACGACCCCTGGTTTCAACGAGCACATGCTCACAGGTCATCATCGCAATGGCGGACAGATGAAGAAGTCAAGGGCGAACCCGTCTGATGACGACTCCGTTTGACAGGACAAACCGCAAGAAAAGCAAGACGAATGCTGATTAACACATTCTTCCTGACCTCGGATGCTCAAGTCAGAAACTGACATGAGGCAATGCACCCTGGCTTTCCGCCCTAAGTGCCAGACTCTGATTCCGTGTTGGCTATGCAACGAGACGGTTCTTCGGCAGAGTCGTGTGGCGGCCGCTCGTCGCGACGCTCCAGGAATTCGTCGCTCCTCGGAGATGGCGATTGCTCGTATGGCAATCATACCAGTCTGACAGTCGACAAACTTATTGCGGTTGTCGACATACAAAGGAGCCGGCTATAAGAGCAGAATTTTAGCCAGTAAACTTGCTCACATACTTCTCCAAAAAGCCTGGCAAATCCATGCAAGCAACGTGCAAGGACGCGACGGGGAATACTGCGATTGGCGCGTGCGGTTTCGACAGCGGTTACTAGCAGCAGTAGGAATACTCGTGCTCACAGACTCAGGCCCCACATGGCCCCGCCCCACTGTCAAACGGTCCTGAGATTGAGAAATCCTCGGGATGGCTGCGGTGTGCCGGAAAGCCGAGCCTCCGAACTGCGTCGCACAATCTTGGAGTCTAGAGGCGACTGATATACACTGTTGACAGGAAGGATAACCTTTCAATGCTCTTGTGTTAATGAACTGGTCAGTCGAGTCATCATTTCCCATTATCAAAAGAGAGCAGAATACAGACAGTGTTTCTTGACGGTCCAGACTTAACCGCATGTGCTAAGGCATCTAAGAGTGTATGCCGGCCCCATAAGTTTTATATAATTGGGCTTCTACCAGTTTGGGGATAGTGGTTTAGCCACTGTTACTCCGGACTGTCGGAGCGAGTCTTCTCAAGTTCGAAAGAGAAAGAATCAGTCTCACCTTGGCCATCAACTTCGCAACAAGCATTAACATCCCAATCATCCCAAACCATATCATACAGCAGCTCACTGGAGCTCGCTGTTGAGCAACGCGAGTCCGCCCCAACCGCCCTCAACAGCAAAACAGGGTTCAGGGCTCTAGCTCCGGTGCTCAATGCCAGTCCCACAGAAAAACAAACCACAGTTGTGAGCCACAGCTGAATCTTGGCTCCTGCGTGGCTGGCCTGGAGGACTCACTTGGCAGGCAACACGTGTCTACGGGGCTCACTAGCTCAGCATCAACAAACGGGCACAGCAGACATCCTTTCGTGCAGTATTGGGGAGCAACGTCTAAATATGAATGGGTGTTGCAAGGCCTCCGCCCGAGCAACCTTGGCGGCCGAGGCAAGGACGGACGACACCGAGCGTCGTTTCATGGCCCCAACGAGTTCCCGTTGCTTTTCCTACCGGCGCAACTGTGCACTTAGTCTTTGGGCTTCGTGGGCCGAGGGCTGACGGTATCTTCTTGGGGGGGGGTGAGGGGAGGCGTAAAGTTTCGCAGCACTACAAGGGGATAAGGCAATGGCTTAGCTATCTATACATGTTTTCGGGCGTTCGATGGTTCGAAGTTTGTATTATTAGCGGTGTGCAGGCAACAGGATTTAGAGTCTTTGCTTGGGTTGGCCGCGCAAAACCGGAAGCCTACATGGTATAGCAACTGACATGGCTTCGCAGATCTATGGCTGGCAAGATTTCGTGCATTGCTTAGGTGGTTTGCGCTTTCGAGCTCGGACTACGCTGAGCTTCAAGTCTTGCAATCGGCAATGTCTGAAGGCAGCTCTCACGCGGAAGATGATGCTTCATGACGCGGCGAGGGCTGTTGTTTTGGATGGGTCTTGCGCTTATGTGCTTCGATGGCTGATCAAGTTTCCCCTGTACTATAGTATTTCGGATGTAAGGCATTAAGGTCAAGGAGAGCCTGGGGCTTTGGGGTTTGTTGGGGCTTTCGCGACCATTTAGAGTCAAATTAGAGGCTCTGCACGGAACAATAGGGTGGGCAACGTGGGGGAAATTTTCTTTTGCTCACCACTGAGTGTCTATATCAAAACACGTTGTGAGTTCGACCAATGGCGGAGAGCAAGGGACACAGCACACTACTCGCGTGCGCGCGTGTGTTTTTCTCGTTTGGAAAAAGTCCGAGGGTGTCCATCACGTCTTGTGATGGCCAACGGTGGAGCTCCGTGTTGAAAGTTCTCAGCGCAGGTGTGCACGCAACACGTCTGGCCACATGCATGCACTGTACTTTCTAGCGCACTCTTGTTTTCCGCTGCCAGCGTACTCAACTCCTGTCTAAAAACTCCAAACCTAAATCCTGAACCCCAACATCTAATCCAAGCTGAAATATTCAAATTCGGCAGTGGCCCTGGGCTTGAAGGTTGACAATCTGACAAGTTTATCGCAGGCTGTCGTTTTGACTCGATTTGTAGAGGTACAACAGAAACGTCATAAATTCAATGCGGGCAACGAGATTATAGTCCTATTCTCAGGATGACGGTAGCATGGTTCAAACTCTCACACGGCTTGGCGAAACACCAGGGCTGTTCACACAATCCCTGGAGTTGGCTTACCTGTTCGAGCGACCTTGTCGTGAATGATGCTTGACAAGGCCCGAGTCGCGTGCTTTTCAAGAGAATCTATACTTCGGAGCGACCCAATTTATGCATTAGGGGCTGAATGCTACATACCTGGCAATGAACCGGACAGAACAATTGAATTGCTACACAAGGAAACCGAAGAGCCTCTGCAGAAAATTGCTCTTTTCTCTTGCGGGCGGGATCGTGAGGAATCCTGGCGCATCCAACTCTCTTATTGCCTGCAGACCACAGGTGAGGAGTCAGCGCAAACATCATTATCTGATCCAAGCCGCATGGCAAACAACTGCCATGTCATGAATATGATGAACACAGAACAACTAAAGCACCGCGCTTCGGTGACAGAACTGTCTGCGACCTGGCTGAGCGACACATGTCATCGCTTGAACTTGGACTTCTTCCCGCCGGAGCGTTTAGCCTTCTTTGGGCTTTTGACATCTGCATCCACTGCGTTGCCCTTTTCTTTCGCAGGCTTCGGCTTGGCCTCCTTGGGATTCTCAGCCGTGGCATTGCCACCCATACGCCTGGCAGTGCAGATGGATGTCTGCAAGGATCCGAGGAGCACAATATCAACGAAGGCAACATGAATAAGGACAAGAACACGACGACTCAGCACCACAAATTACAGCTGTTTCACGGCGGAAACTATGGGTCTGGCAGGACGGGGCTCGCTTCAGCTGGTCGGCTTTCACACCACACCAAGTTGGCTTTCTCGGCAGCAGAAAAGAAATTCCAAACCCTCATGGGGCGCCCCGGGTGCCTGTTGGCCTTCTTCCGCTCCTTCGTCCTGGAGTAACTTCCAAACATGGTATTCATGCTCTTGTCGAACTCCGTGGCCATCTGCTTCAGCTCCTGAAAGGGCATCAAATATGCCACAGAGCCAAGAAGCCTGACAGAGCAAAATCTGAAAACGAAAGTCTCGGATCACATCCTAATCCCGTTCGGCTCCTGCTTCTCGACATCCATCAGTTGTCGCACCCTCTTCCTCTCTTGCTGCCCAGCCTTCCGCCGCTGATCTTGCTTCTGGCTCTGCAGCTGCTGCACCACCGCTGCGTCGCGGGCCAGTTGCCGCGCTGCAGCACGCCGCTCCTGGTTCAGCTTGCGCTGCAGCTGCTTCGTCGCCGAGGCCTCCATTCCCCGCTTCAGTGGACGGTCGCCCTCCTCGTGGAAGATCGGGTCCAGCATCTTAATCTGCACGGCCCCTGCCTCGAAAAGCCGCAAGGGCTTGTCGAAGCAGCCCTGCAAGGCCAAGGACTTAGAGACGGCCTCCAAGCGCTGCAACGCACCCTGGATCTTGGCGCGCCCTTCCCCGACAATCTCTGCCAACGCAGGCCGCACGACCTCCTGGAAGAGTACTGCCGCTGAGGCAGGGGCCTCACAGTTTTCACTTTTCAACTACATTCCGTGACTGGGTACAAGACCACATATAAGTCCCCAACAACCCAGACTCTGCCAGACTCGTCTCTCTTTCGCAAGGGAAAAAGGAGGGGGAGCGACCCCCACCTCCACGCTCAAGGCGCCCCGAGTATGGAGAGTATAGAGGCTACTCACATGACAAAGGCAAATTTGCACACGTGCATGCTATCGAGCACGACCTTTCTTTGCTTTGCTTGGGGTTAGAGCTAGGAGCAGTCGTCCTAGCCCGGAAGCTCTTGCTTGCTTGCTTGCACAGCGTTTGGGAGAAACAGTTCTTGGTCGAAAGTGCTCAGAGCCCCCGCACCTGCTCCGCCGTACGCTCCAAACTCCGAGCCAGGAGTGCGGCCAGGTCCTCAGCCGCGGCGGCCGCCTGCCTCGCGGAGGCAATGTTTTGTCCACAGAGGCGCCTTCCTCTCTACCAGACTCTACTATCAGTCTCTCAAGCTCTCTTTCTTCCCTCTACTGGGTGACATTATAGGTGTCCACGCGCTCTAAGCACCTTGACTCTCCTTGAGAATATGAAGCACGCAGCAGCAGGGCTGAAAATGGCAGATTTCTTTGACCTGGCCTGTAAGTCATGGCTTAGACTCAAGACATCACTGGATATCTGCTTACATGATTCCTTCAGAACTTAGCATCGCGCTGACGACAATTAGGGGCAGACAGAGAGCCGGAATCTAACTGCTCCAATCCGCTTTTTGCTTGCAAAAGCGGCTGCCGACCCGAGGCCGCAGAGCAGGCAGAGGACTGCAGGAGCGCGACGCCCAGCTGGAAGAAGGAGCTGCAGAACTTTCCACCGGGCATCAGCAGCTCGTAGAGCGTGCAAAGCAACCTTTGCTGGAGCGTCTTCGACGAGCTGAACGTAGCTTACAGGGCTTATGGTATGAGCCAAATTCAGGTAGTAAGTTTAAGTTCTTATTGATGTGAGTACATCTATCTATATGTATATATAATCATGAACGAATCGTAAATAAATATACATATACACACATATATATATATACACACATATGCATACGAAGCCTGAGGCTTTGGTCCTGACAGGGAGCATGGAGCCTTCCGACACGAGGTCCTGGATGTCGGCCCCGAGCCTTGCAAGCTGAGATGCCCAGTGGTCCGCAAGGAGCGTCGCAGGCGTTACCACGGGATGCTGAAAGTCGGTGACCGGAAACAAGAGCGGCACCAATTTCAGGGCTGCCAACTCCCTGGCCTTCGGAGCTGTCTCGGGCCCCAAAGCCTTTAGCAGCTCTAGGAAGTAGTCAGTGACTTCCTGGGGATACTCACCAGCGAGCTCCAGGATCGGTCGTCGCAGTGCAAAAACGATGGTCATGCCCCGCGAGCTCACATCGCCGTCGCTTCGGGCGATCACGTTGATGGCGTAGTCCAGCAGGGCAAGCAGAAAACCTTTCAGCTTCCCGCGGTTCTCTGCAGACAACGCGGCCGAGGCTCGTGTGCGGACACCTTAGAGGACGCAAAATCCGCCACTGCACCGAGGCACTGATTATGCCGCTACACCCAACTCAATACGGCGGACACCCAGCCGGCACTTCAGTAACATAATTAACAGACGAGCCACGTTGCACCAGTTTCAAGGCCATGACAGAGTCACGCCCGGACAACAGTCGCTCAACAGACAGTCGGTCCTGCGGGCACTCAGGCGCAAAGGGCAAGCCTTCCTCACCCTTTGCGTTTTTCATGAAGTTTCGATGCACTTTCTCCGCATCTGCATCAGTCATGAGCTTGATGCAATCCTCGCCCAGTCTGTCATCTTCATCAACTTCTCCAGCTTCTCCGTCGGCGTCATCAGCTTTGTCAACTTCGTCAGTTTGCTCCTGGCCCTGTGCCAACTTGCCATCGGTCAACTCCTCGTCCTCCTCCTTTTCCTCTTCCTCCTCTCCCTCCTCCCCCACTTCCTCTCCGCCAGTGGCCTCTGCCAGCTTGTGCAGGTCCTCAGCCTCACTGTCCTCGTCTGCGTCCGCCACATCTTCAGCTAAGCCATCAGCACGAGCCAAACGCTTCCGCTCGAGTGCTTCCAGCTTCTCCGCTTTCTCCCTGGCGATCTCTTCAGGGGTCTTCGTCCGCTCCGTGGCCGTTGCCTTCCTGTCAAAGACCAGCTCCTTCAAGAGCTTGTCATAGCTGTCGGGCTCTGGCCTGTCAAGCAGCCGCTTCGCCTTTGGCGGCTGAAAGCTCAGCTCTCCCATGATGTCCCCGAAACCCTTATCCAAGTCAGTTCTCTGACGGTCGTGCTCCTCCCGCGCCCGCGCCGCCTCCTCTTTCCTGGCGCGACCCTTGGCCACGATGTCGTCGATGTTGTCGGGTGCTTCTTCGTCGCTGCCGACAGTCCCCTCCCGCAGCTCGGAGTCAGCCATGGACGACAGTGGACGACCTCTGACCTTTAGGTCTTCCTCCTGGCCCAAGTTGAAGCTCTTCTTGGCTTCCCGCTGCCGCAACCTCACCAGTCGCTGCACGCTGTTGCCTTTCCCTTCATCGCCGCCCAGCCGGGCATCACGGAACTTGGAACTCCGGCCCACAGTCAGCTTCTCCTCGCCAGGCGAGTTTTGAACGGATAGTGCAAAGCTGACTGCGGAGAAGATCTGCCAACTGGCAGGTCAAGTATCAGTCTGCGCAGCACACAGGGCATGACTGGACATGTCACGGATGAACAGAATGTGCAGGCGCAACTCCTTCAGCAGCTGCTGCGTTCGCTCTGCAGTTGCAGAGGCCCGGGAGCGGGCGATGTTTCGCCGCTCACCTTTGACCCGCTCATTGAGGACCGCGTGGCGCCGCCGCTTGTTTTGGAAGCCTCGTCGTTTCAAGTTCGAGCCACAACCCCAAGAAACAGAAGCTCGGTTTCAAGAAGTCCAAAAGGCAACCAAGCCGCTGTCATAAGGATTGGACTGGTTCGATTCCGCCGGCCCGGGCCCGCCAGTCTTTCGCGCGACTGTCGGCTTTGGTTTCGGCTTCGTCCGACCCATACAAGCGACCCGGCCAGGTCCAAGGGAGAGGGTGCTTGTGTTGCTCTGTGCTGCGGCTATGTGACACCTGAAGAGACGGTGTGGACAGTGTTGGACAAATGGAAGTATGATTGGCCTGCTTTACAGGCTTTAGCGGAGCCTCGCAGCTGCAAAAGCACTCTCCAGAGCTTCCAATGAACAGGCGTGCGGCCAACAACTGCAGCCTCCATGTCTGAGTCCAGCTCCAAAGTGCATGTTCTCGTCTTTTGCCCGCATTCAGAAATCCATGCCGCAGAAGCCGCCCAATTCTTTGAACCTGAGACCGCACGGAGCCGTCTTTGTTCAGGACAGGCCGTCTCGAGTGCGAAGCTGACCAGCGAACTCAGCTAAGAGGCACGATCTTGCGCATGAGGGGCGAGTTCTTTATGGTATCGTGGTCGGTTTCGACCTGCCAAAGCATCTCAAACACTGAAGGCTCGCACAATACCTGCCAACCGGTGGCCTCGTGGTAAATGAAGTCCTCCGTCGTCCAGCCTTCCCACTGCTTGAAGCCGTCTCTGTCCCAGTTGCAGCCAGACTCTGCAGCAGAGCCTGTGATCGACTTGCCTTGTAGCGGATGCAAGTGTAGTCAACTCTTGGGAGCACGATCACGCACAAGCATGCAACCGCAGCAGCCAGTGCAAGCGGCTTCGATAGGCTTGCATTTGCATGGCATCGAGACCTTCAGCTGCTGGTGAAGCGGCGACGTTCCCAGTAATCGCGCTGGGGGCCCTCGACTTGTGTGAAGTGTAGGTCCGCATCCTGGAGTGCCAAAACCCCAAGAGTTGGTCAGGAATGGGCGCGTATGGATTTGGAACCCAGGGGCTGCCGTGTGCTTGGCCACCAACACGTGCAAGTCACAGTTGAACTTGTGATACCTTGCAGAAGCCATTGACATGGGGCCTCTCCATGTCGACGAAAGCTAATCAAGAGCTGACAAGCTTTAGTGTCGAGCTGTGTTTGCAGGGGGCGCGATTAGCCAACTTGCAGAAGATGCCTGAAAGCTCGCAACTGGTCTTGGCAGGTCTGCGGGAATGGGGGATACTCGGCGCATCATGTTCAGTCAGCGTTGTCCTTGGCGGGAAACCTGTTTCACTGCCAACTACTTAGTTGTGTAACTATACTAGCTATACCTTTTGCCTTTATCCTTTCATTCTCAGTCTTTGTCTGGTCATGCAGATGGCACCATCCACTACTCTTGGTTCGAAGCTGCACCACTTGGTCACCTCGCGCTGCAGTTCGTCTGGCATGCTCTTCGAAGAGCCGGAGTCCACGAGACCACTTCCTTGCATACGCCACGCATGGGTTTCGGAAACGCTGGAAGCACCACTGCCGGACTCAACATTTGAGGTAACTGCAAAACCGGCATGAAACTGTTGCTGCCGTTCCTGGCTCTGCTTGCTGACTTGCCATGGTGCTGGATCAATGCTTCTGCAAAGGGGTTCCCGGCGCCACCCAGCTTCTCGTACCTTGGGACGCCATTACGCTCATCATGCTTGCTTTGGAGGCCTTGCCTGCTAGCCAGTACATCTTGATGCGCTTTCCGGGCCGGTACCAAAGTTATGTTGCCAACTTTCTGGAGGCATGCCAATTATTCCTTTGAGCAGCTCGCCTCCTCCCGGCCTCCTATCCAATCACCGAATAAGAATATGCCCTTTCCGGGCAGGCCAGTTGAGGTGTTTGGACCCGGCGGTTGCAAGGCGAGCACCGTCAACGTCATCACCTCACATTTTGAGTCTGCATGCCGGCACAGAGCAAGCATCATCAGCATCATCGCCGCCCGGTTTCGGAGAGAAAGCCGGCCGGAAAGCCAACGTCATCAGCATCGCCTCCCCTCGGTTTCTCAAAACAGACAGCGAGCATCAGCAGCATCATCGCCTCCTCTTTCTAGGTGGCAGTTGGCAAGAAAAGCACGCGTCGTCAGCAGTGCTTTCCTCATCGCAGGTTACCTGGAAACAAGCGGCGATGATGCTGATGATGCTCGCCGCCTTTTCCGAAAAACCGAGGGTACGCGCTCCTGATGATTCTCGCTTTCGGGGCCACATTCTATCTGAAAGCGGCGGGCGATGATGCCGATGATGCTCGCTTGTTCTTGCATTTAAAACCTGCTGCAAACATGTAGCTCACCTTCTGGCCGCCTGCTGTCGATGCTGTTTTCCCAGGCCACCTGCCGGCACAAACCCGAAAACTCAAAGTATGCTGGGTGCTTGCTGGTCCTGGCTTTGTGGGCGGCTGCAAGCCGATCAGTTTTGAGGCTGCATGCAACCGGAAAGCGAGCATCATCAGCATCATCGCCACGTGATTTTGGCTCGGCTGCGGCCCGGAAAACGGTTGTCAGCAGCATCCTCGGTGTTTCACAACGGAAAGCGAGCATCATCAGCATCATCGCCTCCTCTTTCTGCAAGTGGCAAGATAAGCAAGCACCGTCAGCATTGCTTTCCTCATCGCAGGCTACCTGGAAACAAGCGGCGATGATACTCGCCGTCCTTTCCCAGAAACCGGTGTGAAACGCTCCTGATGCTTCTTGAATTCGGGGCCACCTTCTATCTGCAAGCAAGCATCTGAAAGCGGTGGGCGATGATTCTGCGGATGATGCTAGCTTGTCTTGCGATTTATAATCTACTGCAAACATGTGCGCGCTCGCCTTCCGACAACCGACCTGCCTCCATAATGCCGGCACAGAGCAAGCATCATCAGCATCATCGCCGCCCGGTTTCGGAGAGAAAGCCGGCCGGAAAGCCAACGTCATCAGCATCGCCTCCCCTCGGTTTCTCAAAACAGACAGCGAGCATCAGCAGCATCATCGCCTCCTCTTTCTAGGTGGCAGTTGGCAAGAAAAGCACGCGTCGTCAGCAGTGCTTTCCTCATCGCAGGCTACCTGCGATGATGCTGATGATGCTCGCCGCCTTTTCCGAAAAACCGAGGGTACGCGCTCCTGATGATTCTCGCTTTCGGGGCCACATTCTATCTGAAAGCGGCGGGCGATGATGCCGATGATGCTCGCTTGTTCTTGCATTTTAAAACCTGCTGCAAACGTGTGCGCTGTTCCTGCAAAGTGCCGGCAGAAACTGGCAGAAACTCAATTTTTTTTCCAAACACGGCGCAGCAGTGATCATGGTCTTCGCTTGCGGGTAGGGGGCGGCTGCAAGGCGCGCACCATCAAAGTAATCACCTCACGGATTGAGTCTGCATGCCGGCACAGAGCAAGCATCATCAGCATCATCGCCGCCCGGCTTCGGAGAGAAAGCCGGCCGGAAAGCCAACGTCATCAGCATCGCCTCCCCTCGGTTTCTCAAAACAGACAGCGAGCATCATCAGCATCATCGCCTCCCCTTTCTAGGTGGCAGTTTGCAAGAAAAGCACGCGTCGTCAGCATTGCTTTCCTCATCGCCGGCCCCCTCGAAACCTGTCGGTGCTGCCTTCTATGCGAAAGGGGTGGACGATGATGGTGATGATGCTGGCTGTTTGAGCTGCTGATGTAGGGCGACCGGGCACTGCATGCGGCCAAAGGCACTGCTCCATGGTGCCAGGCTGGAAAAGCCTGTAGAAACCGAGCACGTCTTCGCACCTCGTTTGCTTCGAAACAATCGGCTGCTATTGCATGCTGAGACGTGCTGAGTATGCCTGTGGGCTTTGGCGCCTGCATCCCAGAATCTGCTCACATGCTGCGGACTGGAGGTCTTAGACTTAGTTCGGGCCTAGGCACAGCATGCGATATCCTTTGTCTGAAAGGGTTGGGACGTTCGGAGGAACACCGTCGTTGGCGAACACCACAAGCGGCTCGATGTTCAGCTCCTCTGGAGCCACGAAGTAGAAAGGTGTCTCCGTTTTTGAACCCAGGCTCTACTCCGCAGTCCCATTATGACTACTTATCTTATGAGTGGCATTCAGATTTGGCCACCTGTTATCGGCCAAGCTGCAAAATGCATATTTTTCCAATATTTGAAAATGCATATTCCTGAAATGCATATTCAGAAATGCATATTCAGAAATGCATCCTCCCTGAAATGCATATTCAGAAATGCATATTCAGAAATGCAGCCTCCCTGAAATTCATATTCAGAAATGCATACTCATTGTTGTTGTTGTTGTTGCTGTTGTCGTCGTTGTTGTTGTCGTCGTTGTCGTTGTTCTCGTCGCTGCTTGGTTTGCTGCTGTTACTTGTTGTTGCTGTCGGGGTTGCTGTTGCTGTCGTTGTTATCGTTGTTGCCATTGCTGCTGATGCTCCTGTCGTTGTTTCTATTGCTGTTGTTGTTGTTGTTGTTGTGGAAATTGCTGCTGTTGTTATTATTTGTCTTGTTGTTGTTGTTGCTGCTTTTGTTGTTGCTTTTGCTGCTGTTGTTGTTGTTGCTGCCGTTGCTGCCGTTGCTGTTGAGCTTGCAGTGGCTGTTGCTGTTGCTTCTGATTCCGCTGCTGCTGTTGCTGTCGTGCTTGTTGTTTTTGCTGCTGCAGTTGATGTTGATGTTGTTGTTGTCGTTGGCAGTGGTGGTGGTGCTGTTGCTGTTTTTGCTGCTTGTCAGTGCTATTGTTGTTGTTGTTGTTGTTGTTGTTGTTGTTGTTGGTTGTTGGTTGTTGGTGGTGGTGTTGTTGGTTGTTGGTGGTGGTGTTGTTGTTGCTGTTGTTGTTGTTGCTGTTGTTGTTGTTGTTGTCGCTGTTGTTGTTGTTGCTGCTGTTGCTGTTGTTGTTGTTGTTGGTGGCGGTGGTGGTGTTGTTGGTGGTGGTTGTGGTGGTGGTGTTGGTGTTGTTGTTGCTTTGGTTGCTGTTGATTGCTGTTGTTGTTGTTGTTGTTGTTGGTGGTGGTGGTGGTGGTGGTGGTGGTGGTCGTGGTGCTGGTGCTGGTGCTGGTGCTGGTGCTGCTGCTGCTGGTGGTGCTGTTGGTGTTGATTTTGGTGTTATTGAATGGTGTTGGTGATGGTGTTGTTGCTGCTGCTGTGGTTGATGGTGCTGCTGGTGCTCTGGCTGATATGCCAAACCGGCCCGGCGAGAAATGCATATTACCGGACCGGGCGAGCGGCCGGCCGCCCCAGCTCCAGCCCCAGCCCCCGCCCCGGCCCCAGCCCCAGCCCCAGCCCCAGCAACAACAGCAACAACAACAACAGTAGCAACAACAACAGCAAGAGGAACAGCAACAACAACGACAGCAGCAACAACAACAACAACAACCAGCAACCACCAACAACAACCAGCAACAACCAACGACAACATCAATCAACACCACCACCACCACCACCAACAACAAGAAGAACAACAGGAACAACACAACAACAAGAACAAGAACAAGAACAACAACAACAACAACAACAACAGCAACAGCAACAACAGCAACAGCAACAGCAACAGCACCAGCAACAGCACCAGCAACAGCAACAGCACCAGCAGCAACAGCAGCATTAACAACAACAACAACACCAACAACAACACCAGCTGCAACCACAACAACAACAAGAAGAACAAGACGAGCAACAGCAACAACAACAACAGCAACAACAACAACAACAATCACCAACCACAACAACAACAACAACAATCATAATGAACAACAATCAACAGCAACAACAACAACCACAGCAACAACAACAACAGCAACAGAACCAGCAGCAGCAGCAGCAGCAGCAGCAGCAGCAGCAGCAGCAGTGGCAGCACCAGCACCAGCACCAGCACCAGTAACAGCAACAGCACCAACAGCAGTAGCAACAGCAATAGCAACAAAAACCGCAACAACAACAACAGCAACAAGAGCAAACAACAGCAACAGCAGCAGCAACAACAGTAGCAGCAGCAAGAGCCAACAACAGCATCAACAACATCAACAACAACAACCCCAACAACAACAGCAGCAACAACAACAACTTCACTCACCGTTGTTGGCCAGAACTTCTGCTGCTCATGTGGGCTCGCACCATGTACATGTCGTTCACCTTGAGCCTTGGGGCCGTGGGGAGCACGCATCACCCGACAACCCGATATGCAGTGTGAAAGTCGTGCCCTGATTGGCATGCATTCAGTTGGGCGGGCAAGCATTGCCCAACCTGCATTTGCAAATATGCATTTCCACCAACATGCATTTCGTAATATGCAATCTTGGCAACATGCATTTCCACATATGCATTTCCAAATATGCATTTCCGTGAACATGCATTTCGTAATATGCATTCTTGGGCCTGTGGTATGCATTTCGGGATCCGGGCCCTTATGCAAAATGCCCCTCATAATACTTATCATCCCCAGATAATCTCTACTCGTTACTACTTGTTAATTATAGTACAATATACGCCCAAACCCTATTCTAGTGATTACTGCGGCTCCGATGGTAGGGTTTGGGCCACACTCCTGCTTGAGGCGATGGGCGAGCAAAGCCATAAACTGGCCACCAACTCCGTGCGAAAGGAAGCCGAAAGGCGCGCCCTCGGAGACACCGCCCTTGGCATGTGTCCTCGGGCACGGGTTTCTATCCTGTTGCGCCGATCTTCGGGACTGTCTTCCGGTCTCCCTGTGACTCTTCTTCTGCGCTTCTCTTTCCCGATTTCGCTCAATGTCTCTCCGTTTTCGCTGCTCCTCCATTCGCTCCCGAAAGACTCAACAACACAACGCCACGCCTGATTGTTGCCCGAAAGAAGTCTCGACTCTACCTCTGCGCATGAACTCAGCCGTTTCTCCTCTCTCTAACAACTCTAAACCCGAAGCACTGTCAGTCTAAATTCTTAGACCCCCCCCATCAGCCATAAAAGCTTTTTCTGTCTCACAGCTCGGACAAGACAAACGAGCTCTCTCGATTCGCAATCGGCTACCAGAGGGATGCATGCAAGCCTGCGCTAACAAGGGCCCTAAACCCCGTTACACACCGAAACAGTAAGGGCCCATACGCCAAAACCGCATACCAAGCATTTTCGAAAGACTAAATCTGTTTTGCCTGCTTGAAAGAGGCAGACATTGCTGCGCCGAGACTTCCCTTAAACCCCTCAACTGTACCAACTTCCTCATGAAGCCTTTGAACGGCTACAAACCCTAGTTCTACTAGTCTAACCCCCTAAACCCTACATAAATCCTACGCCCTATGAGCCCAAAGCCGTCCGTCACCGAGGGTCTCGAAGGCAGGGCGCATGACCCGGAAGGCGTCTGCAGCGCGCTCTTCCAAGCTGCGATCCCAAGCTTCGTCAGGTCGAAAGCCGTGAGCTCGGGGCTCCTGCAAGGGTCCATGTACCCAAATAGTAGATCTATAAAGGTACCATAAGGATTTAGGGTTTAAGGGTCCATGTACCCAAATAGTATATACTTTGTCCCCACAGTGCCTAAAAAGGGACTAATTACTTTAAGGTCAATGCATGGTTGGGCACATGGACCCTCAGGGAGTATGATATGATGATATATGATGTTACTATACTTCCGCATTTCTTCTTAAGCCATGGACTTGGCTCCGAAATTTGCAAGACTGATATGTTTTAGTACAAAAGAGTATGAATAGAATCCGAAAGCGAAAACTATAGAACAAGGGCAGGGCTCATAGACCGCAACTTCGCACCATTCTGGCGCATTCGTGGCCAGCTCTAGCCACAGCCTCAAACTCAGGCAATGATAAGTACCACGAATGGACTGTGAGGCTCATAAAGATGCCGGAGATCTGATTCCAACAGATCACTGCTGCGACAACAACGCAAAGGCAGAGCTGGTTGCTTGGGCAATCACCAAGGCACATACACATAGTGACATCTAAAGATTGTGTTAAGACTATGGACCAAACCCGGGACGGGAAGCATGTAGTTGTCTGCGGCGCCGGGGAAGCAGTAAAGCCGTATCATCGGCTTCCGAGCTTTCTCGGGGAAGAGCTTCTTCGCCTCTGTGCTACTGCATAAAAAATATCGGAGGCCGCAGCAGCGCGATCTAATCGAATACTCTATATATAGACTCTATAAAGAAGGCATCGCAAGGCTGCACCTAGACCTTGAGAAGACCTGCAGAACAACAACCTGCAAACCAAGAACCAACAGAACGTCAGAAGTGCCAATCTCACAGCCTGGATTGGCCAGGTACGTCAAGGCTAAGTTTCTGCGAACTTCAACTCGACCGGACACAAGTTTCGTGCCAAAAGAAGCGGAGGCGCAACCCTCAACGATCCTTTCTCTGAAGCTGGGCTTGCTGTTCCCGGTGCCTTGTCAGGAACTGCTGCATATGTTGGCAATCCGACCGTCCGGGGCATCACGGGCAACTGCCCGCCTGTCAAAAGGAGCTCGAGCTTGGCAGCGCTCCTAATATAGGAAGGATCCTACTATGTAGTATACTTCATATTAAGGTCCCCTATTTTCGGAAAGCCCCTACATATCTCTTATATATCACTAGGACGAGGATCCTCCAGGACTTCCCTGACACAAAAACTGCAGAAGCAAACCCGCTGCCCAAAATGGGAGGTTCAGACGAAGGCCGTCTGACTGTCCTGCTGCACTGAGCCACCTCTAAAACCTCTTCCCAAACCTGAATTTCGCAGACGTTAACACCAAATATCGGAAGTTCCTGCATAAAAGAGCTGAAAGCAGCGATTACACTGCCAAGGCTTGTGAACGTGTATTGCTGGTATTTATTATAAACACTTAAATAATTAAGAAGGTGAAACAAAAGTAAACCAAAGGTATATGAGAAAGCTGAGGAAAAGGTGACACAGCAATGGAAAGCTAAAGCAAAGGTATTTGAGAAAGCTGAAAACAAGGTGACACAGGAAACAAGAGGTAAAACAAAGGTAACTGAGAAAGCTGACAAGAAGGTAACACACCAAGAGAGAGCTCAAGAAAATGTATCTGGAACAGGTGACCATCATGAGCATCAGCCGGGTTTGCGGCGAAGTCAAAGCGAGCATCCTGAGCATCAGCCGGGTCGGCTGGGGTTCAATTGGGGGGGGGGTCCTTCTTGGGGCCCGGGCCTTGAACTCAAGGCTCCTCCTTTTGCTGGCAGCTTTTTCTTATCCTAACTACTCCGGGCAGCTTTTTGTTCAGCTTTGCTTTTGCAGGGCAGCGTTGCTCCAGCTTTTCCGTCCACCTTTTCTTTACCTCGGACTCCGGGCCCACCTTTTCTTTAGCTTTCTTTCACCTTTGTTTCACCTTTGTTTCACCTTTTTTGTAGCTTTTCCCTAGGAAAAGCTACATTTCCAGAGGGAGGGCCACGGGTTGGAAACAAGCTAGGAAAAAGGTGCTCGGAGAACGTGGGACAAAGCTAGTAGCGGCGCGAGCGTGTTCAGTGGGCGGCGACGCGGGGCGCGAGCGTGTGCGGGGAGTGTCGGGGGCCGCGGGGGGGGGTGAGCGTGCGTGGGGCGTCGGGGGGCGCGGAAGAGGAAGGGGGAGAGGGGGGGAGGGGTGGGGGCAGCGCGCAGCAGGAGGGGAGGGGGGGAGGGTGCGAAGCGAAGGGTGCTTTGAACAGGGGGTGGGGCTGGAGTGGGTGGATGCGAAACGCCCAGACTGCAACAGAGCAGAGACTTTTCTAAGTCAGCAGCAACAACAGTCACTATTCCAGAAAAGCTACTAGTAACTACTAACTCCTGCTGAGTTAAGAATTGTTCGGCCGGCTTGTTGAGAGGAGCCGGCGGGTTCAGGGGAGTTGATGTTATGTAACTGGTTTGTAGCTTTACTTTACCTTCTCTCGATATGATTACCTTTGCTTTACCTTTTGCCCGTAGCTTTGTTTTACCTTCTCTCGATATGGTTACCTTTGTTCTACCTTCTCCCTGTAGCTCTATATTACCTTCTTGCCAGCTTTTTAATTATTTATGTTGAGATAGAAAATACCAAATAGACGTTCACAAGCCAAGGCTCCAAGATAGTCCCCTGGCGGCTCAAGGGGCTCTGCTGCCTTCTGGGCCAGAAAATCGTCTAGCAGATGGGCTTCCACCTCAGCGCATCTAACACCTTTACCTTAATTGGCCTTAATTGGGAGTTTCCGAAAACAGGGGACTTCAATATAGTGCCCTGAATAGTAGGATGCCTGTTGTAGGGGCCCCAAAATAAGGTACCCCTCATTTTCGGAAATTTCCAAGTCTCTTCAAGCAAGTCTTGTCTTCGCCTGAGCCCCTAGAACACACGGCTGGAAGAGTGCGTGCAGTTTGCAGGGCCAGGAGCCTGCAAGTCTTCCTGGTCGTCCTACTCAGTCCTACTCCCCGCGGTAAAGCCCCTTTCAAGATAAGTCCTACTTAGAAGAGAGATGTGAGATACACTACAAATCTAAACATCGGGGCTACACCAGGATACAATTCAGCTCAGAAGGACTTCCTCGTAAGCTCTTTACTTGGTCTGAAGACTTCATGAGTCCAGGCACGCTTGCGGGCATCTTCCGCCGCGCGGGCTCCATCCACCAAGCCTCCGCGCTCTTCGCTAACGCCAGCTCCTCAAGACCCAAGGCTTTCACAGCTGCTACAAAGCTCGGCGAAACCAAGTGGAACAATCGTAGAACCTTCGTAGAAATTGCCGGCGCTCATGAACTCCAACACCTCTAAGCTGGCACAGCCGGATGTCCTCCTCGCTCAGCCCTGCAGTAGGCTTGGCCTCTGCGGCAGCCGGGTGAGTGTCCGCTCCCGCACTTTTGGGTTCCTGCGACGAAGCGAAGAACTCTTGGAGAAGCCAGGGCCGCCCCCATTAAACCCGCCGGACTCCGCCGAGCCTGTGGAGGCTGAGCCGGCGCAGCCTCTGCATGCGTCCTGGCCGTTTCGAAAAGCCGTGCACCAGGAAGATCCTGCGCAACGTCTCCGAGTAATCCGAGTGGCTCTGAGCCGACGTCTGCTGAGGTTTGCTGCGCCGGCGCTGCCTAAGCATGGCCCTGCCCCGAACTTGCATAGCCAAGCCAATTTGACTTCTGGTCTGGGTTGTTCTTGTTTCCAGCTACAGAAAAATATTGAACTCACAGATGCTTTGCGGTTTTGAAAGGAGCCCGGCCCACACACTCCCTACACGGAATGAGAAGGATAGAGCCCCTGGCAGCCGCCTCGGAACGGAATCCTTTGTCTTGCTTCCCCCTCGTTTGAAGACCCCACTTGACCCCGCTTCTAATGACTCTCGAACGAGGGCTGGCGGCTCCAGCATTTTCCTTTGCGGCAATGGCCGTGTGGATGCCGTGGGAACACAGCTCCACGGAGTACTAGCTGCTACAGTAGCCAAAAAAACACATCGCACTTGAGCAGTTCCGTATAGTTATTCGCTCAACACGTCAGAGCATCGTGTATTCACGAGAGATGCTTGCAGGCTTGCGCAGTAGTACACTCGCCAGATGCCCAGAAGATCAAAGAATGTCTATGTTTTTGGCGCGCGCGGTACGTGCATGTACGTGCCACGGCAAGGGTTCCTGCAAAGGCCCCGTATTTTGCTCTCAAGTCCCCGGCCTTTCTGAGCAACTCTTTGTCCTTGAGGCTAATACTCACCTGGGCTGCAAAGGTCTTCTCTTGAAAGCTCGCCGCTCGCCATGCCGCCGCTTCGCTTTGCTGTAGGGTCGCCCATCCAGTCTCTGGGCCGCTGCCGGAAATGAGTCGGTAGTTGATGCGGTCCCCGTTCCGCCCCAACTCCTTTACACCTGAGGCTAAACGCATGTTTCGCCCAGCAATGACGTCGAAGCGTCTGCCACTAAGTCTCGGGAGCCCGTCGAGAGTCGCCCCTCGAGCCTGGGACAGCTTGCATGCAGGGTCCCCTCAACTCCCCGAGCCCAGCTCCACGAGCCCGCCAGGGAGCTGCTTCGAGGTCGTACTGGGACCATCTCGAACCAGAATGCCGCCTTTGTCCGCGCCACCCACCACATCCCAGCCTTGAAGCGAAGCTTCAAACAAATCTGGGGCTGTTGCCGGCTGAGGCCGCAGTGAAAAGAGGTAAGAGCTACGCAAGTCAGCACATCGGAGGCCATGTCAGCTTGATGGCAAGTCTCCGCACAAAGTGATGTAAATGGTCAGTTGAGCCATGCAGTCGGTGACCCTATGGTTTCTCCGCCTTTCTTGCTTCCCAGCTGTCATCAAAAAGGCTTTGCGTTCTTGGCAATAGTTGCCGCGTGCTTCTTGTATCAGTCGCGGTAACTTGGGTCTGTATTGTTGGTCTGACCATGCTTCTGTGATGCTTCTATAGTTTCACTTGAGCAAATGCCGCCACTGGACTCGGAAATAGCAGCTGAAGATTTGCAATGCCGGCAAGAGCAGGCGGTGTCGCGGCCGTGTAAGGTCTGCAGACTCCAGAGCTGTGCTGAACTGCGCCGAAAGGATCAGGCATGCCTAGGCGTTTTTCTGCTCTTTGAGGCGCTGCGTGCCCAGCCTGCGAATTCAGAATCAATGGTTCGTTATGGTTCGTTGTGGCATAGCGTGGCTTCTGCAGCGCGTCGTTGCGATCACCGCCGTCTGCACACACTCTTCGCGTGCGGTTGCAAAGAGCGGGGCAATGCCAGCATGCAGCCCTTCAGCTTCTTGCGAAGGTGCAGTTTCCCGCATTGCCACTCGAGTCCTCATGCAACACAATCACATAAACTGCAAATCTATCTTGACGCCTTATCGGCTTAACAAGCCCGAAACCTGCAGCCTGAGCATGGAACCTTTGGGTTACAGTTGTAGAATGGCGTTGTTTGGCCTTTCGATCCCGCTGCCTTGTTCAACGACGCAGCATCCTCTAGATTACACTTTCCAGCTCTGCACCAGCACGTTGCACCCGAAGAGAGGGGCCGGGAAGCAACAGCAAGGGCTGGCAATTCTCAGAGCGGTTCCTGCGAGGTACGCACCTCATCGTCTGGGAGTCGCCGGAGTGTTGGGCGGAGATCCAGCAGCTCTTGAAGGCTCAGGCTCAGGTTGCACTGCACGTAGCCAGAAGGACAATATCAGTTTGCAACTTATCAGACGAGTCAGACCGCTAAAACTCTTCAACATTCCAGTTGATCGGACCGTATGGCCAGTATCAGCAGCAACAAGAAAATTTTGTGAAGTTATGTACAGCAAGACTGCCTTGTGTTGCGTTGAGCCTGTGCGGTGGATAAAGTAGTGCTCCAAGTTGTCCCATGGTCATGAGCCCAAGCTACGCTCTGTGAGTGATGGAGAATCCAAACGAGTCAGATGTTCCGAGTGGCCTGGATCGGCCATCTCCGGAGGAGCAGTTGTTGAGTGGTGCCGGGACGGCGAGTCAGGCATTTGAGCCCGATTATCGTCTGCCTGGAGAAATGGGACTAGATGCAGAAGCGAGGGAGCTACTGAATGAAGAACGTTCAGAGGGGTCGGAGGAAACAGCGAGGCAATCAGCTAGCTCGCGTGATCCGGCTGATGTGGGTTCTCTTGCGGGGCCGGTGGTAGCTCGAGTGGGAGAAGCGGGTCCAACGTCTGCGCCCGCTCGTATGCCATCTGGCAGTGGGGGTATGCGCATGGAAGTGGACGATGTAGAGCTGATTCCGGATTATTCGCAGCTTCCGGAGCACCCAGCTGTTCCTTCTTCCTGGACTGGTCGTGTAGCGCCGTCTCATGAGGCCACGGGCAGTGGATCAGGTCCTTTGGATTCGCTGTCTGGCATGCTTCAGGGCTTGTTGGCCGAACAGTTGGCACCGGTGATTCAGAACCAGAGACTGCTTGCAGAAAGGTTGGAGCGGATCGAAAGTTCCAGGGGATCAATGTCTCAAGACTCGGTGAGAGCAGAGCCACGACTTACTGCTGCGCCGCCTGGAATTTTTCCCTCGGACGCTGGATTGGGCAGTGGTGTCATGGGTGCTTGTAGTGGTGCAATGGGCTTTGGGACAGCAGCCTCAGGATTTGGAGGAGGACTGTCATCAGAAATGGTGGCCGAACTGAATCGGCAGCAGTTCCTAACGCCGTGGTGGCAGTTCCCTGCGCAATGTCCACCCCCTCGCTTGCCTGAGCATCTGAGGCAATCAAATCCGATCGGCAGTACCGGCAGGGCTGACGTGGGTGTAGCGACTTTGGGTGCGGAAGGGGGCATGGGTGCGGGTGGGATTGAGGGGCCGTCACTCGCTGGGCAGGGTAGAACCGCGGAAGCAACTCCAAGACGTGGCGCGGCTGTGCCAGCGGAGAGTGGGAGAGCTAGTCAGTGTGAGGGAGTAGGTGCTTTGTCTCAAGGGGTTTCCGGTCCAATGAACGCTGTGTTGGTCTCTGAGGCCAGAACACCCCAGCTGGGAGGGCAGAGTGCTCCAAGCTCACTCGTACACGTATGTAGTCCAAAGGCCAAATCCCCTTTCAAGCCAGTGTTGCACGAGGGTCCTGCAAGTCATCATGTCGTAGGAAATGCAGAACTCCCGGCCTTGGAGCCGCAGCATGCGCAGATCCGTGTGAGCGAACCTGTCCCTCAGAGGGCCTTGTGTGATGAAACAGGCGGTGGGGAAGCTCGGCCTTTAGGATCCTTGGAAGCCCAGGCTCACAGAGGCCCGGCTCGTTCCATTGTGGGTGGTGCTCTAGAGTATTCCCATAGTCAAGCTGCTAGGCCAAATGTCGGCGAAAGCGGGTGTTTGACTTCGGGACAAGGTCGTCCAAGCACGAGTCCGGTACGGGGATCGTCTGTCCAAGGAGGGATGCGCTCTATGTCTCACCGCGGGTACCCGATCTCACCAGGCGGAACGGAGATCCTGCCTCCGCCTCTTCCTCCTACTACGCCACCTCGTCCAGGGGGGCTTGCTACTGCTGCCGTTGGGGCAAGGCAGAGCCCAGGAGGAAGTAAGTCTCCTAAACAGAGGGTTGGTGAGGGGTTGGAATGGTTGAAAAGTGTGCTTGGCTTGTCGGGCTCTTCCACTGAGGTCAGTGAGCGCGCTGAGGATGTCAGGGTGTCAGTTTCAGAGTTGCCAAAGCTGGAAATCAAGGAACATGAAAGGGACTTGGCTCCTCTTCTGTCGGGGGATTGGCTGGCGATGATTAGCCCTGCCATGAAGGATATTTCGTCCACGAGCAGCATATGGTGGTCCCAGGTTGTGGATGCAGCAACTTCTTACTATCAGCACTGGTTGATGTGTGACCCAGTAGCTCGGCTTTCATTGCAACCTTCGCAACCATATCGTTTTGAACACACCAAGTATGCACGTGTTGAGCAGAGAGCTTTGACGATGCTGTTGCGTGCCGTGCCTACAGTAATCAAGGAAGAGTTGGTTGCAAATCGGAAGTTGTCCTGCATCGAGCTCTTAGCCTTGGTTCACACAACCTACCAACCAGGTGGGCTGAAGGAACGGTCTGCGTTGTTGCGCTATCTCACGAACCCTGACGGTTGCACGGAACCAGTAGCCGCACTTCGCAGCATTAAACGGTGGTCACGGTGGAAGCACAGAGCAGCAGAACTGCACATCTCTACTCCTGATCCTACCTTACTGTTAGGAGGTGTGGACATGATGGTGTCCAAGGCGTTGGCGTTGTACCCGGAATCACAATTTAGGATTTCGTCCTACCGATTCGCGAAGAGCATAGATCACCAGCCTACTGAGGCCAAGGTTGTGGAGTTGGTGAGGTTCGTTCAGGGTGAACTTGAGACCTTGGTGGCTTCAGGTACAGTTCGATCTAAGACGAAGCCGGACGGGGATGCAGATGCCGGTAAGCGTTTGAGGATTGCGAAGGTTGAGGACAACGATGCCAAGGGGAAGGGTAAATCTAGAGATGATGCTCCGAAGGGCGCTGAGGGCAAGGGTAAGGCGATTTGCAAACATTGGAGAACCGACAAGGGTTGCAGGTTCGCTAAGGCCTGTAAGTTTGCTCATGAGCCATTGCACCCTTCCGAGAAGCGTTGCTTTGCTTGCTCAGCGCTCAATCATATGCGATCGGAATGCCCTTATGAGCCTAAGGACGGACGTGCTTCAGAGAATCCGAAAGGAAAAGGAAAGGGAGGTGAAACGGTAGCAAAGGCTAGCGCTCAGGCCTCGGCTCCTGCTTCCAACAATCCCATGCCACCTAGTCAGTCAACTAGCCAGGCCCCCGCCACGGACTCTGAAGACATTCTCAAGAAAGCCGCAGCCATGATTGAGACCCTGCAGACCTCCATAAAAACTGTAGGTGACGGCTACGGAGGTAGGCCAGGTAGCAATGAGCCCACGGGCCTGATAGACTCAGGTGCGTCTGCTTGTATGCGCGCCAAGGTAGATGGAGATGTCGTTGTTGGGGTTCGGGTGGTGTCGCTTGCTCAGGGTGAGGCCGAAGTTGAGGTCAATCAGGCGGGTACGCTGTTGACATCACAACAGATTGAACCGATAGTCTCGGCCAGACACTTAATCAAGTGCGGTTTCAAGATCACTTGGTCCCGGAGGGCATTCTTGCTCCTTGATCCTCAAGGTGTTGCTGTCCCTGCGGTCATCCAAGCTGGTTGCCCCCGGGTCACGCGTTCGGTTGCGCTAGCTCTCATTGATTTCATTGAGAAAACATCCTTAGAGGAAGGGGCAGCTGTTGCAGAATCGGTGAGGGTTGCTCGAGCTTCGTGTGCCGATCAGACTGCCGCTTGGACGATAGGAATGGAGAAGCTAAGGGATGGTTGTCAGGAGGGTGATCTAGTCAAGGCTCAAGCGTGGCATCGGATTACGCTGCAGTCACTGTTTCCTGAGGTTCCCGGTGATTTGGTTGATAGCACCTCCTGGTTGGTTCCTTCAGAAGGGGTAAAAGGGGTGTTGAATCGCCGAAGGAGAAGATCAGTTGAACAATCTCAGGGGGTGATCCTTCACCTGTTCTGTGGGAGTGCTCGAAGGGCGTTTGACTCAGTGGCCAGTAGATTCGGGCTGAGCGTCTTGCCGATAGACGTTGAGGAAGACCTGTTGAATCCTGCCGTGTACTCCTACATCTTATCACTCGCGTTGTCCGGTAGGTTGGTGGCGGTGTTGTCAGGACTTCCGTGTCGTACACGGAGTGTGATGCGAGGTCATGGGAGTGGTCCTCCCGTGGTGAGGTCAAGGGAAGGTGAGGGCAGATGGGGACTTCCTGAACTTCCGCAAGCAGAGTTAGACAAGGTCCAGGCTGACGATGAATTGTGGATCAAGCAGCTATTTGTGAGTATGGCCGCACAGTGGGGTCTGAATCAGACTAGTGAGGGTTTGAGGTTGGGGTATGTCCTTGAGAATCCCAGGGATCCCTATGAGCTCCTTGGGAAGGCGTTCTCCGCGAGTCCTTCTCTTTGGGTCACGCCAGAATACCTCAAACTGCAAGAGGCCCTAAACCTCACACAATTCCATGTTGACCAGGGTGCCTTAGGTCATGAGCGTCGCAAGCCAACTACTATCGCCTCAACTTTTGAAGATTGGCCTGAGTGGTGTAGGATGGTAAAGGGAGGAGGTTTCGGTTCAGGCGGAAAGAAGGTTGGTGACAGCGCGTTGTGGGCGAAGTGGGCACCTGGGTTGATTGAGGCTGTTGAGCAGTATTTGGCTTCGATTGCTACCAAGTTTCGCCAGCAGGCTGCAAGGGAGACCGTGAAGGCTGCCAGGGCTAGACTCTCCAAACAAACTGTGACACAAACGCTTCAGGATCATGTAGCCGCGGGGCATATCCCCTACAACAAGGCCTGTTGGAGTTGTCTCATGGGTCGCCTTAAGCAGCCTCCCCACTTTCGACAGCCAATCACTGACTCGTATGTCTTGTCTGTTGATTTGTCTGGTCCGTTTGCTGAAGGCGTACATGAAGGTGTCAGGGCTAGGTATTTCTTGGCTGCCAATCTGTCAGTCCCATTTGATGTGCATGTTGCTGGGAGTGAGAAGCCGGTAGCCGACGAACCCGACGAGCCTGCACCAAGTGCAAGTGAAGAGCCAGCGGAGTGGGAACAAGCTGGTGATTACGAGGAGCCTGACGCGGAGCACAAACAGGTTGGTGAGCTACTTCCAGAGGAAGGGGTTGACAAGGACAACTACCTGAGCAAGGTTCAGATGGTAAACGTTCCTTTCGGGATTCCGTTGAAGAACAAAGGGGCTCAGGAGGTCTTGAGGGCACTGAAGCTCATTGATGCTCGCGCGTCTTGTCTCGGGATAAAAATCGCTCGCCTTCACTCGGACAAGGGCGCTGAATTTGATAACCGCTTTGTTCGGGACTGGGCGGCGTCAAGGGGGATTTGGAAGTCTTCAACTGGGGGAGACAATTGGCGATCGAATGGCACTGCAGAAGCCTTAGTCGGCATTCTCAAGGACTCTGTCCGAGTTCTCTTGCGGGATGCAGGGCTTGGCCCACGGGACTGGCCTTACGCTTTGAGGCACGCAGCAGGGCGGTTGTTTCAGTCCAGGGTTAAAGCGCTGGGTTGGGATCTTCCGCCTCTGGTTCCTTTTGGGGCAAAGGTGTTTGTTCATCGCCGAACCTGGCATTTGAAGAAGGATGCTGACAAGGAATGGGCTGCCAAGGCTGTTGAGGCTAGAGTTCTTGCGCCAGCATTCGAGGTTGATGGCGGGTATCTTGTCCGAACAGTCAAGGATGAATTGTACAATACCAGCTGTGTGTACGAAAACGTTGAATACCTTGATCCAGCTCGGTTTGTCATCCCTGAGGATAAGGCTACGGAAGCGGTTCCTCTCAAGTCCTCCACCCGCCGTAGGTACAGGGCCAAGACTACAGTTGCTAGTGTTCATGAAGATCCCGAAAACCTCAAGGCTCAAAAGCTTGTTGACACCAAGCCCTTCCCGTTGCAAGCTGCAGTCAATTTTCTCTTGAGTTCATCGTGGATTCAAACGCGCCAAGCCAAACAACGGAAGTTGATGCATGAGTCTTCAGGCACTTGTAAGGTAGTGGGTTTCTTTCAGCATGGGGGCGTGACCGGCATCACGACTTCGGCAAAGCGCAGTCCGGGATTTGCTAGGCTCTTGAATTGCATTCTTCGCGAAGTTGCCCCGAAAGAGTCTTGGACCACGGTAGCAGTCCTGAATCAGGTTGAGTCGCCCCCTCACAAAGATAGGTACAATGAAGATTCCCCAAACTTGGTGCTCCCGCTTGTTGTGCCGCCCTCTGGGGGTGGAATCTGGGCAGAGTGCCCTGACGGTGACGACGTGAGGGTTGTAGGATCTGGTAAGTCCTGTAAAGGTAAGGTTTTTTCCCTGAACTCTCTGACCCCGTTTAGGTTTGATCCGCATGTGTGGCATGCTTCAGAAAGTTGGAGTGAAGGTCGCCGTGTGTTGTTGGTCGCGTATAACCTAAAAGGGTATAGCAAGGCCATGCCTGAGCAAGTTCAGTTTTTAAGTCAACTAGGTTTTCCTGTAGGTGCAAGTGAGTCCGCGCATGCATGTCTTCCTAGAGCTGCTTTTGCAAAGCAGGGGGGAGACCCAGACACTTCACAAAAATCCCAAAAAACCGTAAAAAACAAAAAACCCTTAAACAAAAACGAAGGTTCTGTTGCTGCTCTTGAGGAGCAGGCTTTTAAGACTTCAGCGGCTTGTGCTAGAGGTGAGGCGCAGGACCGGGGGAGCGCGAATCTTGGCCAGGGATCTGTAGTGGTTCCTAGTGTTGGCACTTCTCAGACAGGCGCACTGGCTGAGGCGCAGGGTCGGGGGAGTGCAGTTGTTGAGGGGCTTGTAGGAGCCCTGGGTTCGTCTTTGGCTAGGGAGTTGATCGCCCCTGCCAGCCTTGAGCATGTCGCTCAGGGAAATCATGAGGCTCTGGGACTTAGTGAGGCCTGGGTAGCGGGTCGGGGTTCCGGATGCTTGGGTACTAGGTGTGGGGCGTGTGATAAAGACTCTGTTGGGGTCTGCTCGCTCTGTGAGAGAGACGTGTTGTCTGTAGGTCGCTTTTTAAAGGCTTCGCCAGCGTCGCTAGGACATCCTGAGGGTGAAAGTTTCGTGGGCGGGGCGTGTGGCGGTGAGTCAGCTGGGCCTTTTGATGCCCCTGATGCTCATCAAACAAATGTTGCAGGGCAGGTGGAAGGTTCGGGAGTGTGCGGGTCGGTCAGGTCTGCAGGTGGTGACGAATCTCGGATCGCCTGTCTCAGTGAAGCTGAGTGTGGAGCGCTAGGCGGAACTTCGCTGTCAGGTAGTGGTTTAGGTAAGGTTGTCCCTTCCCTAATTCCCTTTTTTCCAGACACTTGGCAGTCGTATGAGTCTTGCGCGCTGGAGAGTTGTGAGGATGAGGGTTCGGTTTCATTGGGCCTTTGTCCGAGTGCAGTTGACCCTGACGTGTCACTTAAGTGCTTGAAAGAGTGGTTGAGTGACGAGGGCAGGTCTCAGTGTAGGCGGCATGCGGATGTGAGTCAACCAACGCAATTTGCTGACGATGACTTTGTTGATGACGCTGTAAGGCATGCCGTAGTTCGAAAGATCCTTGAGCTGGAGCAAACTAGCTGTGCCAAGGCTGGCGAAGAGCTGGTGTACAGTTTGTTGCCAGATGCTGAGGTTCTGTGCACGCACACGGTGCCCTTGGTTGAGGTAGAGCGGTACTATGGTCTTTGGAAGGATGCTCTTGAAAAGGAGCTGCATTCGATGACACATGAAAAGCAGGCTCTCAAGGTGATTTCTGAGGAAGAGCTGACCAAGTACCAAGAAGCTGGAACGCGTGCCATGGTCATCCCAAGCAAGCTTGTGTGCACCAGAAAGAGTGGTGGTAGATTCAAGGCCCGGCTAGTGGCGTGTGGCAACTACGTTGATCTTCGTGGCAAGGACGGTGAGAATCGGAGTGCAAGTGTGGACTTGTACGCCGGCGGGATCGACGCGGCAGTGCTTAGACAGGTGTTGGCGCATGCTGCCAAGAAAGGGTCATGGTCAGCTGGCACTACTGACGTCTCTACGGCATTTTTGAATGCTGAGCTGTTAGATCGCCAGAACCCGCTCACTAAGCCAGCTCCGCTCTCACAAGAGGTTCCGTCGGAAGTTGTTGTGCTCCGTCCGCCCTCGCTGTTGATCAGGCATGGTTTGTTGCCTGCGCGCAGCTTGATGCTTGTCCAGCGGGCCGTATATGGCCTAGATCAATCCCCGCGTGACTGGGGCATACGTCGCGACAAGGATCTGCGCACGATTCGCTTGATGCTTGACACTTGTGAGTATCGGCTTGTGATGTCGGACGTTGACAACAACTTGTGGTTTTTGACCACCGGCCGTAAGTCGGATCCTGTCGTGGCTTGCTTGATGGTGTACGTGGATGATCTTCTCGCTACGGGACCGCTGGCGGTGATCCGGCCGCTGCTTGATGAGATTTCAAAGCTCTGGCAGTGCGGCACTGTATCTTTTCTGCCTGAGGACACGTCTGAGGTGCCCTTGGTATTCTTTGGGTATGAGATCAGGCGAGTTGGTAGGAGCTTTCATCTCAGCCAGAGGGACTACGTAAAGGAGCTTGCTACGAGGTATCATGATCTTCCCGCTCCCTCTACGCCTCTTCCCCCAGGAACCTTGGACATACCACTCGCAGAGGAGCAATCAGCCAGCGACCTCAAACAGTGCCAGGCCATGCTAGGAGAAGCTTTGTGGGTTAGCACGAGAACGCGGCCCGATGTTTGCTTTGCGGTTTCTCGTCTTTCTCAGGCGATGTCCAAGAATGCAGCTGTAGTTAGGCCACTTTGCCTTCACTTGCTAGGATACTTGTGCCGTACCAAAGACTTTGGCCTCCTGTATACTGATCAGTATCCAGTTCAGGGTGAGCCAGGTTCGGTTGCTTCGGTCACTGGCAAGTATGTTGTAGAGGCTCAAACGGACGCAGCATTCGCGCCCACCTGTGAGAGATCGCATGAGGCCACAATGGTGTACACTGAGGGTTCATTGACGGGTTGGTTGTCAACTCGACAGCCATTCGTAGCGTCTAGCACAGCTGAAGCCGAATTGCTCTCTTTGACCACTGGCTTCTCGTACGGGAGGTCGCAGCGGTTCGTGATTGAGGAGGTTGAGGGGTGCAAGATAGATTTAAGGGTTCTCAATGATAACCTTGCAGCTACCACGATCTGCAACAGTCCGTCCACCAACTGGCGAACTCGCCACCTGAGGATTCGGGCTGCCCATTTGCGAGAGCAGATCAGTGAAGGGGAGTGCTCAGTTTCTCATGTTGAGGGTGCCAGAAACACTGCTGATTTAGGAACTAAGGCACTCCAGCCTCAGAGGTTCGAGATGCTTCGGGCCATGATGGGAGTTGTTAGCCTCTCAGAGGTCACTGCTCGTCCTGCAGCTGCCACTGTCTCGTCCGGTCCACCGGTTGAGGAAGCTCTTAGAGTCGTTGTCGCTGCACTTTGCGTGGCATCAGTTAAGGGTCAACCGTTGAGTGAGGGTTCGGATGATTTTGGTTTTTGGAGACTCATCTTGCTCTGGAGCGTGTTGGTGATTCTTGTCTGGGAGATCGTCAAGTGGGGCTGTCGGGTGAGCTGCCGGAGGTTCGTGTTACCGGACATGCCTGAGCCAGACTCAGAAGCTTCCCAATCTGAGCGGGAGCAGGAACCTGATGACGAGGATCTTTTGGTAGAAACTGATAGGCCTCAGGTTACCGCTGAGCCTCTGGATGAGGACCCTGGTGTGATGCCATTTCGGTACGCTGATGATGTCGTGTATCTTGTTCCTCGTAGGCCCACGATTGCCTATCATACTGAACCAGAGCAGCAGGTCCTAGAGCAGGCAGGGATTAGAAGACGTCACGCTTTGAGAGTTTATGCTCCCGAACCTGATGATGAGCCGTTGCCGCAAGTGAGAGGTGTCGGGTCCGATGATGTTCCTAGGGAAGCTGAGCGTGTCGTTAGGGTCTCCGACCTCGCGCCGCTGCCGAGTTTTCAGGAGGGGGGTCCGTTAAGGCGTCTGGTGGAAGCCAGGGAGCGGGCGGAGGTCCTGCAGGGGATGTTGAACATGCCCCCTATGGTACCTATCGTGCTTCACCCTTTTTGGCCTGCGCCACCACAGCTGACGGTGAGAGAGCTTCGGACAATGGCATCTGAGTGGGGTGGTCCTGCGAGTTCTCTGTATCAAGAGCCACATCCGGCTTACCACGGCGATCAGTACATCTACGTGCCCGATGTGAGACCACGAGTGTTGGTGAGATGGCATATGCGGCCGCGTGTGGGATTGTTCCATCCGGAACAGGCGCCTACGCCAATTCCTCTCGGTGCTCTTACAGGACAGCGACGCACGCTGCAGGGATTTGCCAATGGGGACAGGGTCATTTGGGATGACCGCTTCACGAATCCAGATCCTGAGAGGCCACATGAAAATCTGTGGAGAGGACGCACAGAGCTGGAAGTAGACCCAGATGAACTGGCGAGACTCCAAGGGGGAAATGAGGACTCCGATTAGCTCTGAGTATGAGCTGCATGAGTGCAAACTGTATTCTGGTTCAATCCGGACAGATTGCAAGGCACCACGAATCAGATTATTTTTGGAAGTGATGGTCTTCCAAACTGCCACTGGGTACAGTTGGTGGCAGCGCGGTCACTGATCTTCTATGCGTTCGGCCAAGGCCGAAGGGGGAGAGCGGTTCCTGCGAGGTACGCACCTCATCGTCTGGGAGTCGCCGGAGTGTTGGGCGGAGATCCAGCAGCTCTTGAAGGCTCAGGCTCAGGTTGCACTGCACGTAGCCAGAAGGACAATATCAGTTTGCAACTTATCAGACGAGTCAGACCGCTAAAACTCTTCAACATTCCAGTTGATCGGACCGTATGGCCAGTATCAGCAGCAACAAGAAAATTTTGTGAAGTTATGTACAGCAAGACTGCCTTGTGTTGCGTTGAGCCTGTGCGGTGGATAATTCTCCAAGTTGTCCCATCTCAGAACCAACGTAGAATTGAGGCTCGTATGCTTTGGATATCGATGAATACATGGACGTAAAGCGGGTAATGAGGTGATGAGGCTCTCCGATCCCAGCTCCACTCAGCGGATGTACTGGGGCCGGGCGGTGTGACAAACCTCAGCGCAACGTGGAGCACCCTGCGAGTGAAGGATCCGAGATCTAGCGGAGATAACTGTCTGGTTCTTAGTAGGGAATGGGGGAATGGGTTATGGGGACGATTATTGGGGATTATATATAGGGAGATAAGCAGCCATTCGGTGTTCAACTCTAAGTGTGCATTTCGTTCCTCCTGGAACTCATCGAGCCCAAAGCGGATGCGTAACATCATGCATTGCACCATTTGTAGCGAGCGAAAGCAAGACCGTGTGAAGGGCATGCAGCAAGAGCGGGCGAGCACCCTCCGAGTGAAGGGCGTGCAGCATGGGTTTGGTGACCTCTCTGGCTATGAATCTTCACGGCAATTCATTTGACTTGAGGGTTTGGGGCTGGTTGAGCTGAGGGTGCATTGGATCTAGGATCTTCCTACTTGCAATTGTATGGGACCCAACGAAATTCAGCAGAACGCCTCGTCATGTCCGGGGCTTCGGCAGACACGCTTGGCGACATCGAGAACTGTAGAACCTGCTCGGCGCTTCCGATTTGCATGCCCGCGTTTGCAGCGTCACCAAGGCCCAAACACACAGCACTGAACCCCAATGCGTCGCTTCTGAAAAAATGGGACTGCACCAAACAACAGCGTTGCATCGCACTTTCTCTAAGGTAAGGTTTCGAGCTTGGACAGCATCAGGAGAGCTTCGCAGTTCCATCGCTGTCAGGAAAAGTACGTAACAAACTCCCACGCAGAGACGCACAGCACTGCACACGACGCGGGAATTCGATGAGAGGCCCAACCGGCCACTCATTACGAGAGGCACTAAAGTCACTAAAGCATAAAGTATCCTTGGGACACACTCGCAGGCTAAGGCACAACCTGACTTGCTGCCCAATCTGTCCGTGAACAATTTTCTTGGGGAGAATGGATATGGCAGGGTGGTTCAGGGTGTTATCGCCCGCTCCTTCTGCGGACAACAGCGGCACCATGATGCTCTGCGCAGCCGCGCAAAGACGAGCAAGCAGTACAACAATGCAGGAGCCTGATTCGGAAACCCCTGGCAATAGTTCGATATGTATGGTTCCCTCTAGGTCCTGCGTACTAGTTTGGGTTTAACCTCCGGCTCTTCGGAATCAGGGTCTTACATGAGGCTGGCTGGACGCCTGCAACCTAATCACACCAACTCCCTTCGGGAGTGTTTTGCCCACGACAGAACAAGGGGCTCATGGTTCGCCGCACTTCTGCAGATTCGACTCCCGAACCGTTGCGAGGACAAGCCAAGCTTACTTTCCATATAGGCCATGGTTTTAGGGTGAAGGGTCATTTCAGAGCCCTGTAATGGCACTACCTGCGGATTCTGTTTGGAAGCTTGGTGTCGTGTCCGAGCTGGGGAGGCTGGGCTTCGGAAAATCTCACTTGCTGAGAAACTGCTCTGAGAACGCTAACATAGCAAGTCCAAGAATCCCTGCGCGACACTCAGTAGACATCGTCGCAATATGAGAAGCATTCGAGGGGACTCCGCCTTGAAGCTGGCCGTGCACGGAAGACGAGGTGGATCAGCCACCATCAACGGCCGAGAAGCCCGGGAACATGGAAAAATCAAAGCCAGACATTTTGGGTCGGCCCATCACGAGCGAAGGGCTCGGGCTTACTCTCCTCAATGTCCTCTGTGTTGCTTGTCGGGTCTGGCAGACTTTCTGCCTTGGCTCCATTTTCGGAGGTCTTGCGTCCGAGGTCGGCATCCGACACAGACCTCCGGGAGCTCCTCGACATCATCGAGACACGGCTTGCAAGCATGAGGTCTGCTTCACCCGCCTCTGCTCCCACAGCTGTCATCACGGCACTGGTCATCCGCAGGTCGTAGATGGAAAGGCTCTCCAAGACTTTTACCATCTCCGCGCTCGAGAGGTCCTTGATCACGTTGCTGAAGGTGGAGAGCTTCTTGGCCAAGGCCACAGGGTCGGGGACCTTGCCCAATGCTAAGACCCTCGACTCCTGGGCACTTCCCACAGCATGCCGATAGTAGATAGATGCAGTGGTCACACCGATCATGCTCAGGACCACAACTTGGAGCAGCACCATGATGCCGATTGACAGGTTCGTAAGGATGTCAAGCATCTCTGATGGAAGGTCTGGTGTGAAGGCGCCCATGCACACCATCATCATGACCAGGCAAACACTGACCACACAGTCAAAGAGGTTCAAGGCAGGGAGCTTCCACGGCCAAGTCATGAGCTGCACAACCAGGTACGTTTGAAGGATGGCGACGATGAGCACCATCTGTATGAAGGGATAGTCTGCGGCCAAGACGATGGACAAAGACAGCGCCAGCCCTCTCGGAAGCACGGCCGTCCCATACCACCAAACGTCGACACGGAAGCGGGCGATGAGAAATCTAACCGACGTGAGAAATGTCGCATTGCTTTGTTTGGCAGCCCGGGGCGCGTGCACTGTTGCCCAGATGGCAAGACTGTAGAATCCGATGAGGCCACAAAGAAGTGCCACGCCCATCAGAAACATGGTCGTGTGCTCGGGGCTCTCGAAGCAGAAGATGCCGTTGTGAGAGAGCATTCCATGCTTTCCGTTGGGGTGAGCATAGCACATCATAGGCTGCAGGGCAGTCTTACTGGCAATGGTGAAGGCCACTTGAACCACCTGCCCCATGGTGCTGATGGTCTTCGGCAGCTGGAACTGCAAGCGGTAGGGAGCGCACCTCCGGCTGATCACATGGGCCGTCAGGAGCCAGAGCAACGCCACCGGCAGCGCGACGGCGCTGTAGGCATACCGCCTGGTGGGATCCCCAGCCACGCAGTCGAAGCCCATAGAGTCGATATCCTTGAAGTACGAGATTAAACTTTCCGATTCCCATTATAATTATAAACTATAAGACTTATAAGAGCCCAGAAAGCTTAAAGGTTATCTTGGGGATCTAAGTATCCAAGAGGAAGAAGTTCATCGCGTCGAAGACCCAGGAGAGCTCCGGGGGCCACTCGAAGGAGATCATTCCAACGATGCCGACCTAGGTTGCTCTCAAGCAGCGACTCTAGAAAGTAACGCTCCTATAGTCGTAGATGATGAGGTCGACACTACGACGACTACCCCCTGCTGCTGCTGCTGTTGCTGCTGCCGCTTCTTCGTCTTCTGCTGCTACTTTTTTGACGCTCACACTCTTCTGCGACCGCAGCCACCACCACCACCACCACCACCACCAGTACTAGTGCTAAAGGGAATGCACGCTTATGTGACGCACACGTGCTTAGCAAGAGCCCCCTCTCAGCTCGCAAGACCCAGGAACAACTAAGTTGCCGGCGCTTTGGAGCATGCTGATGGTCATGCCCAGCACACATGTCGTGGCCAACATCGCGCTCGCTCGGGTGGTTGCTGGTGAGTTGATCAAATAATACATAGCTACCAGGGCAGACATTCCAACTATAGCAAAGACCACCCAGCCCGCGAAACTTCCACCCGCACATGGGGCACAAAGCCCTTGATCCAATGACATCCCATCGGGGCACTGCGTGCACGGTACTCCGACTCGGCCGCCTGAGCATGCTCCCGGAACTCCTCCTGGACACTTGTCTGCCGGTAAGCACTTGTAGATGTCATAGGGCGCTTCCTGCGTCGCGAAGAATCCGGGGAGGATCGTCGGCTCCTCGTCCTCCTCGCATTCAAGCCCAGATTGGCACTGAACACATGCACCCAGCTCAAAGCGAGTGCCATCCGCGCAACGAAAGCATTCGCCGTTCCAGAGCTGGCCATTGCAGGTGCAGGCTGCAGCATCCAAAGCGCCCTCGTAGTTCGTGGTCCGTCCAGCTGGGCACTCCTGGCACTGGGTGAGGCCGGACTTGTCGGCATAAGTGCCTTCTTTGCATTTATCGCAGTGGGACATGCCAGACTGGTTTACGAAGAAACCCTGCTGGCAGGAGCTGCAGGAATCCGCGGCCCGCTCTTCACTGATGCTGCCAGCTGGACACGGGTAGCATTCGGCCAAGCCACTGACGTTGCTGAAGGCCCCGGTAACGCAGGGATCACATTGAGTCATGCCTAAAGCCGCAAAGCGGCCAGCGGGGCAGTCACTGCATCCGAGTGTGTTGAACCAAATGGTTCCAGCGGGGCACTCGCTGCTTCGATCTACCGGAAGAAAGCCTGTGGACACGTCACAAGTCCCGCTGCTGCAGCTCGTGCTCTTGCTGCTGTCTGTTCGGCTCCAGGTGATGTCTCTAAGCCACTGAACTCCTTCGGGGGTCCAAATGCCCAGCTGCTCGAAAGGCTGCATGACCGTGGCCGCAACCTGCAGCATGAGGACTGCGCCCTCTCGGTCTCCAAAAGAGGGTGGAGTCGTGGTAGGATCCACGCCGTTGAAGAGGCGCACCCTTCCGCTGCTTCCCAGGTAGTCTTGCTGAAGCGTGAGCTGGTACAGGGAGTCGCGGGAGAAATCTGTGTTGAGCTCGTCGTAAGACCTATTCTGATCAATCAGAAAACCGTGTAGAACCGATGCTATCTGCCAAAGCCCATCATAAACGTAGCCCATGGCATTCCAAGAGATTCCGGTCCCATTGCCAAAGGCGGCGGTCTCTCTGTAGTAGTCGGCGGTGATGTCTGCAAATCTCCGGCCCGACAAGCCATGCACTTCATTCGTCTCCGTCAGGGGGCTGTAGGTGAATCCTATCATTCCCCAGGCTGCATGGAGAACTTCGTCTGCGGCACAGGGACACATAGAGCTGCCGGCGTTGGCATTGATGAAGTTCGGGTTCCACCATCCGTTCAGCAACAACCAATTGTAGTCTGGCGCAAGCATGCCGTGCCTGTAAGCTTGGCAGAGAACCATGGCTCCGTGGTCCTCGTATGACGCCAACACACTCCATTTGGCATCTCGCTGGCGCCTCAAATCCACCGCAGCTGCCGCAGAGTTGAGGTCGGTCACGGTCGCTTCGAAAAGCACCGTCCAAGCGTAGGTGCCGGCTTCGGTGTCGCGCTGCACAGCCTCCCGAAAAAGGTCCCGAAGTCCGACAAAGATGGCGGCCGTGCCATGCACGAAACTAAGTCTCTGGACTTGGAAGTTTTTCAGGATCTCCACGGCTGCCATGACGGTGACGCGGTAGGAGGGCGCCATGCGGCTGAAGTATGGATAGCGATCGCGATCGCTAAGGTCCACGGAGATGGAAAACGGAGAGACCTGCATGATCTTGTAGTGGTATATGGCATGGTTTACGGGCTGACTCGACGCAGAGCAATCGCAACCCAGCAAAATGTGTTTCTGAGGGGCCGTGTTCATGGCCTCGATGACCCTATGGACAGCTATCTGTCCGGAGCAGGCCTCGTCCACCATGTGAAGTTTGAGCCGATACCCGGGTAGCATGTTGCTATCCTCGATCTCCTGGGTGGCAGCCAGTAGGAGCGGCTCGGCCATCGTACCGGTGTTTCCGATCGGGCCGGTGTACGGCAGCATGACCAAGACATTCAGATCCTGTGCCGCATTCCGTGCTGGGTTAGGAGTCGGGTGAATTTCGCAATTGTTCGAGTAGTAGCGGCACGGATAGCTTTGCCCATCAGTCGTGGCCCCGGAACACATCTCCGGGCAAAGCAATGCTTTCGCAGTGTGCACGAGCAACAACCACGGCCAGAAACATATCAGGCACTGTGATCTGGCCGCGGCCAAGACGGCCATCATCCTGACACTTTACGTCGACTGCGGGGCGCCTGAGCCGAGTTTCACGTGGCAAAACAAAGCTCACGGCATTCATCAGCCCAGGCATGCAGCACAAAGCCAGCTTGTTCACGATGTCTACTTCGTGCTAGCAGCTGGCAAATGGAGATGCAACAAACCTGGCCCCGACAGCTCGACCATCATGATTGGATCTGCACCGTCCTGACACGGAATGCTCCGACAGAATGCTGAACTGTACAAGACAGTACTCAGCAGATCTTGGCAGGCATGCCTTGAGGTCGAAGCCACTTGGGGTGCTTTGTGGCCTTCAAGTAAATATGCGGAATTGTGATGACAGCGTGTCTGAATTCCAGCATGAGCATTGAAGGGCACATGTTCCGAAAGAGGGGCAAATCAAAAAAGAGCTGAGGTCAGTTTCACCTCCACTTGTCACTTGGCGCGGCGCAAGACTCCGCCTGCATTGGTGCGCTTCAACCTGGGCCATGGTGCACTTCCCAGAATTTCGCCCTCCAGAATACGGTACGACCGCGCAGCCCGTGACCTGTAGTCGTCCGTCACCATTCATGGCCGCTTCACATCTCGGAAAGCTGGCTGCAGGCGAAACATCGGTGGGTTCAAATAAATTGGGGTCCGCTATTTGCGACACCGCTAGAAGTTTTGGACTCTGCTGTGCGCAAACCGTAAACCCGCACTGAGGTCGCAGGCGGATCAGGCCATGTCTCCTGGCCTGGGCTCCCAGAAACTGCGCTACGGGACCGGCTTTGTTTCAGGGTGCATGTCAAGCCCGAAGGGGTCTCACCGCATTGGAACATGTTGCTTCGTAAGACCACACTCTAAGCACCCAACTCCTAACGTTAGACCCCAATAAGCCGTACAGCCCTACCTATTACAGTCTCATTGCAGTTCCTTTTTTGTTTACAGTGTGAACTTTAGGGAACAATTGATGCCAAAGCACCAGCACAGTCCAAGGGCGACCAATCCGTGTTGAGCTCGGTCTCAGCAAACGGAATTCGTTTAGGGTTCTGGCTTTAGGCGCATGAACCCTCAACAGCTTTCCCCTGAAGCTGTATACTCTATACACCCTAAACCCTACGCCTATAGTACAACAGCATCTAACATCATCGCAGCTGCTTGGGACTTATGCTGCGGATGCATCAGCACCGACCTCCCACAAGCCGCCGGCAGTAGGCTCAAAAGCCACAAAAGCTGCATAGCATAGTGTGTAAATAAGGGCCTTAAGCCTTCATTTTCATTCTACTTTACAACTCCTGAGGAGTACTGGGTACTGCAATTGAATAGAGACATGGCCCCTGAGTCCTATGACTGTCGACACACCCATGGTGCATAGCATCATACACTCTTCCTGTTAAGTATCTTCAGCATCGGCTAAGCTCTCAGGCCAGGCAGCGTGGGGTCTGCGAACACACTCTCATTTGGAGTGCCTGCAACGAGTTCCTGCTAAAAGCTGCTAGTATCACAACAAAACAAGAAACCCCCGACCCTATGCTCCAAACCCTATGCCCCAATCCTTGAACCTGAAACCTGAAAGCCTCCGACCCTGAACCCTAGTTCCTTGCAGCATCCTTACGAATCCCTTACAAGGAACCCTTGAAAGAAATGCCTTGAACCTTCGGGGGGGTTGAGGCGATGACAAGCGGCACGGCTGAGCGGCACTGCCGCTGAAAAGGGCTCGAAGGTGGCCTTTGCTTCAAGGCGAGACAGAGTACATGCCAGCTGAACATGGTTCAGACGAACGATAAGACAAGCCAACCCCCCTTGGCATGCGACACCTCATGTGGTGATCTGTTGAAGCACAAGAACGGCAGCATCGGGTCCCTCCCAACTCACGGAAGGCTCACAGATTTGGCTGCGGTCCTCAACATGTGAATGTAGTCGTGACGGTTTCTTGGGCTCGACATAGACGAACGAGCATTCCGCAGGAAGCGAAAACCTGCACCGATCCCGGCTCAGCGGGTGGTCTGTTCGATGGGCTCCCGGAAGACTGTCGCGGTGACGAACCAGCACGTTCCACAGGTCGGGCAGTGCCCATATTCCGGAGCCCTCAACCTAGCTCAGAACCTGTGCCAACAGACTGGGCGGCCGACTTAATCAGAAGTCGCTGTTCGTGGGCTGGGGAATGATGCGTGCTCGCTTATGCCTTCCACAGAGTCTCTTGATACCTGATTTCGATCCTTCACGGTCACGGGCAAAACGAAGGAAGGACCCTGAGAGCTGAACTTTGCATTTGGACACGAAGTTAAACTTCGTCGCCTCCCGGGCAGCCCGTTATGATGTTCAGGGATGCTCTCGCTTGGTGCTGTCGTGCTTACCGGTTTGGTTTCGGGTTGGCGGAGTTGGGTTTGGGGCTTCGGGTTTAAGGGTTTGCGGGCGAGGGGCACACTCGGACGGAGCAGGGGTTAAGGGCTTGCTGGTTTTTGGCGGGTTGACAGGTTGGGGTGTTTCGAGTTTCAGGATTTGTGGTTTGTTGGTGTCGACGCCCATACGAAGGGCTTAGGAAGTCCGGATTGAATGTTTGTGGTTTCGTTTGACAGTTGGCAGTTTCAGGATTTCGGGTTTGAGGGTGACGGGGTGTTGGATTCGTTTCCGGTGAAAGGTTTCAGGGCATGCCAAGCCAAAGAGCCTGAAAACTTCCAAATTCAACAGCTCCTCAGTTTTTGCGCTCAGCTCGCGCGGGTCCTTCCGGGAAGCCAGAAAGTTCGCGAAGTTTCTTTGGAAGGTTTTCCATCAGATCGTTCATCCTGGCAGCCTCTTGAGCTGGAATCCCTGCATCGCCCCTCTGCGCGAAAACCATGAAGTCCAGGTTTGCCGACAGCTGGTCCCGAAGCCAGAAATTTGTCGTGCCGATGCTCTTTGATTCAAGGTGCAGGTGGGAAAAGCCTGCCGCTTTCAACGCATCCAAGATTGAAGCGAAGGCCAGCGGTCCTACGCCGAAATGGCGGCAACGGCCTGCGGAGAATTCAAAAATGAGCAAGCGAGTGTTCTTCCAATCTCTTGGCTTTGCAAGAAGCTGAAGCTCAGAGCCTTCTACATCCATCTTGATGATGGTGTGATGTTCCGTCAACGCGTCATCAAACGAGACAGCAGGCACCAGTCGCATGGCCGTCGGAGTCAACCGCAAGGTTTGGCATGAAGCGGCTGACGACTTCCAACTTCCGATCCTCTGGTTACCCTCATAATCGGAGAAGCACAGGCACGGCTGCGCGTTGATCTCCTCGAGCCACTTTCTGAAGGATCCTTTGTCCTTCTTTTCCAAAAGACGCCCTTTTTCATCATGCCATGTGGTAGCAGAAGTCTGCGTCCAGAATCTGGAATCACGCTGCAGATCAGGTCCGAAAAAAAGCCTTAAAGTCAACATAGGTGGCAAGGGTTTTCATTATTCTGGAACATTCTGAGAATACCTTCTCCACCTCTGTGTTCACACCACTCTGATGCGCTCATGGGGTTTGGTCCACAGATGCCGAAACCTTTCGTGATGGTTTTTTGTTGCTGTTGTTGTCGCAATTGTGCAAGGGCTGTGGAGCACGTTGCTTTGCGGTTTTTCCCAGTAAGGGCTATGATTTCGAGGGCTCTCTTCCAGCGATTCGACCATGGATGCTCTGAGGGACCGGATGGAGTCCGGGTGGGCGATGGTGGGTTCGCCCATGCTGCTCTGCAGGTTTTGCCGCGGACTGTATGTGAAAAACACTTGGTGTTGCTGGACTGTTTTGGGCCGAGCTTAGAGGAGTGTTCAGGAGAAAAAGTATGACGTGGTGGGAGGAGGAGGAGGAGGAGGATGCAAGAAGCAGGACCTGTGTTGGGCCGAAGCCGCTACCCACGTGCGATCCAAGAGACTTCAATTCTGGCAGCTCTGCCTCCATTGCTTTCATGCGCTCATCCAGCGATGCACAGGGCCTCATGCGTTTGTGGAACTTGCTGCCGAGGGAGATGCCCGTCAAAGTAGTCGCCATCGTGAGAGTCAAAAACGTGTTGACTTGCTTGAAATAGAAGGTGTGAGCACCTGATCGAATGACTACCGAGTCACTGTGGGGATCCGCTGCGGCCGCATGCGCTTTGAGGATGCCTCTGCCGATCTTCGAGCAAGATGTCTCGGCCACCACCGCCTTCTGATGCAATCTGACTCGCGCATCGTGGCCAAGGTTCTTTTGCAGCAGTTCGAAGGTGTGGCTGGGCTCGTAAGCTTCGATGCTGCCCAAGTGGCCGGGCAGGCCAAGCCACCACGCACTCGCGGCCCCAAGGTGGGCCCCCAGATCAAGCAAACACTCCGGGGGCACACCTGGGGCCGCGGAGCGGAGCTGCAAAAGGAAGGCGGCTTTTGAAGGCCGGTATACCTGGCATGATCAATGAGGCTGTCGTTCTAGAAGTCTTTGTGTATGGATGTCAAGCTGTAATTTGGCATGTTGTGTACTGCATATGGCATATGACGCGGTGTGCGGGGTCGAGCCTGGCTTCTCAACTCAATGAAAAATTCGATGTCTTCAAACCTTGTCTGGATGTGTCCGAAGGTACATGTCAAAACAGCTTCAGTCTCAAGGCAAAACCCGTATAGGGCGAGATGTTTCATCTGGTTTCGTATGGCCTGCGTGGTGCTCGACTTTTTCCTGGTGGTTTCGTGTGGCCAGCATGGCGCTCGAGATGGCTCATGCGGTTCGGCCGGCTTTCTATTCGAGATTTTCTATGTGTTTCCGTGGGGCCAGCGTGGTACTCGAGATGCTTCATGTGGTTTCGTGTGGCCTGGCGATGGAAGATCTCGTAGATCACCTTGAGGTCCGCATCTTCGTTGGGTCGCACCGCCAAGTGGATTGGTGAGTGTGCCATTTCACTGTAGAAGCCTCGGACTGCCTTCATGTCGTACCCGAGGAATGTCCTCCTCCGCTTCGACGGGGCATCGGAAGCTTCCAAGGTATCCGGCACAGAGGAGGATGAAGGCTCGGGCTCGGTAGGCATGTCGACCACAGTGCAGTCAGCTCTTTCGAACGTTGGGTTTTGCCCCACCAACTCCCAATCGCGCATGTTATGGGATGTTGCAAACTTGGAATGTTCGTTGCAGATGATCCAGAGGCCTGTCGATTCCGTCCTCAGGAAAAGACGACAATCAGCATGAGAAGAGCGAACGTAGCTTGGGGCGCCGTCATGTTCCCTCCCGTCGGCTTCATAGCTACCACTCAAGCTTTTCAGCTGGCCCGTGAAAGTCAAGATATGCATCAAGATTCCTTGAGCTGAGACGAGGCGATTCGGCCTCCCTCTTGGCCACGTCCGCAAAGCCACCACCGGCGCAGTGACGGACGGAAGCTGTTCGCCAAAATACCATGCCTTCGAATCCTTCGAGATTGCAACGAAAGCTTCACGGTCGTTCAACTTGGTGATGGCCCAACGTCGCAACGTTCTTTCGGGGTTATAGGAGAGCATCAGACCCAGCCGATGGCAGCTCCAATCATCTGCCTCGTAGCGAATCTCATCTGGAGCGAGACTTGCACAAGAAAAGGGCACATCAAACCGAACTAACACTCCCACGTACTTGATCAACGCCTGCTTTTCACCTTTCCTCTTGCCTTAACGGGTGTCCTTTTGGACAACATCCCACCTCTCCCAGAACCGGCTCGAAGACGCCGTTAAGTGCTTTGTCACGGAAGTTGGTGAGGTAATAGGTCATTGTCTCCAGTGGCCCGGGGCACGCAGTGTTTGGGAGCAGGCTTAGAGGCTGCAGTGTAGGGCTGCGGGCGTGCAGGATTGTGGAAACCTGAAACGCAACCCACGGCTTTAGAAGGCTAGACCTTGCCAGTTGCCTAGGCTTTTACGCTCGTCGTGCTTCTGTTCGTAGCATCGTGGCCAGCATCGTAGTGACGAGAATACTCATGACATCTCAACGTGATCGCACTAAGGCTAGGTTCAGGGCTTTCGACAGAAACACTCGCTAACGCAGGCACGGCTTCAGGGCTTTACAGGGTTAGGGCTAAGCTTCGGGGTTCTGTGGGTTTGGCATCAGCAGTCTTGTATGAGGATCCGTGATCATGAGACAAAGCACTTGTGGAGCCAAGACGCACAGAGCGATTTTCGATTCTGACTGATCATAGCAGTCAGCAGTCAACTCGAAACCCCAAAACCAGAACCCACGATCCAAAACCCCGCGCCACGAGTAGGGTTCTGGGGGAAGTTACAGTTTCTATGCGTCATAAAAGCAAAAAAAAACACCTATGATTCAAACTCTCGTGCTGACTCCGGTCTGAGACTGCAGTGCGACCACTCAAGCTCTGGAAAGCAAACCCCTCATGCTTTGACACACGGCTTCTTTGCTGCTCAGGTGTCTCATGAAGCCGATTTGAGCACTGACACCTTGACACTTCTGGCTGGAATCCGGGCCTGCGCGAGTCGAAATCTTAACACCCTGAACCCTTAAAGGAGCTTGCGTTTTGTTGCGGCTTAGTCCCTCACAAGGCTTCCCAGGAAATCCATCCGGCAAAGCCTCTGAAATTCCAGAAGCCAGGCTGCAGGCTTGATTGATGATGGTAATAGCAATCATTAGTGGAAATAGTAAAAATACTCATGCTAAGATTAAGAAGTCGGTTTGTAGAGCTTAGCCATCACGATACCGAGATGCCAGCAAGGCGCTGATATTTGCCTGCTCTACTGAACTGCTTCGCACCTCTGTATCCCGAATCCCACCGTGCTCGGCGACACCGCAACAACGGCTTCCGGAGAGGCCTCCTCCAAAGACTCAGCCCTTTCGCTTTCGACCTCGGCAAGCAGAGAGAGGGGGCCACGTACAAAAGCCAATGGCAACTTCAGGTGTGCCCGTTGGAAGTCTCAGCCTCTCAGCTGGCTGCATGGACCCTGCTCGACCTGGCAAGCAGGAAAGGCTCTCTCAACCAACAGTCCTGACTTCCAACACCGCAACAAAAGCAAGGATGGCACCGACGGTTCGGGACAACGCTTGAAACAACAAAAGAGCGGCCTGCCAGCGAAACTTGTTCGAACAAGTTCGAGATGGGCTAGGGCACCTGGGAGGCATGGTGCAACGGGCGCAAGTTTGAATGCTCGGCGGAGCTCGGCTGGACGGCCTTGTTTTGAACGTCCTCCGCAATCCTCGGGAAACATGGGCATTCAAACATGCTCCTCGAAAGTCGGCATCTGTAATACTGAGCGGGCGTTACTCTTAGTGGCCTGCGGTGCAGGTGCGGGGCCATAAGCACAGGGCTTTTGCATCACTCTCACACGACATCCCCTTTTTCTTTCTGCCTGAAATGGAGATGCAGGCTCTCTTTAGCTTGCACAACACAACAATCCGAAGCTAGAAACCCAATAGGAGCAACAACAGCCACAGTGACCAGAACAAACAAAATGCCACCACACCGGTAGTGAAGGGCGCTTCCGAGAGGCTGCAAAAGTCTTGAAATCCTATTTTAAAGGGACAAGAGCGCTATGTCGCAATGGCGGTCGTCAGGGCATCGTGTCCAAATTTCACATCTCACAGGAACTTGTTGCGCACGTGTTTCGTGCATTATCAGGTTTTGCTTTGGGGTGGTGCGGGGAAGGGAGGTGGGTTTGGGGTGTGTTTCAATTAACGATCTGCTTGCCATCCAGCTAGACGTGGAGAATGGAACTCCGCATACATTTGCAATCACTGCCCTTCGGCTAAGCTGCATCGCCCATGTGCGAACATTGATGGGATTTGCCCCGGCTGAGGTCCAGACAGTGTCGACGGCCTCTTCATCTGTCGCAGAAATTGAAAACACGTACTGTCTAGGCGGGCAAGCAAAGCCAACAGCGCAAGCACCCAGCAACACTACATGCAGGAATGCCGAGTTTCGAGCTGCCAGAAACGTGTAACCACACTGGTGCAAATTGGATGCGTGCGCCAGCGGGCTTGTATTTGCTGAACCGTTTTGCTTGCTGACCTGAGAATCGGGAGCCACCGTCTCCATGACACTCTGGGACGCCAAGGACGCTGCAATGTTGCAGAACATAAGGACCGCCCTGCAGCCTCTCCAAAAACCTGCAGATATGCGAACCGCTGCAAACAGGAACAAGCACGCAGACACTCGACTGAGGTGCTTGCTGCACTGGCGCCGGGGCCACGCAGGGCTCGCCCCTGCTATCGATGATAGTAATCCAGCCTTCAACGATTGAGACGAGCAGCTCTGTGCTGGCATGAAGAACACATGTTAGCAACCTTTGATCTTATGCAGCGGAAGGTCGAAGACTTGCCTTGGCGACCGGAGTCCTCAGTGACCAAGGCACGCCGTTCGCCCGTCTTTGGAGCGGATGTCCGGAGAACCTGGCGGAAGAGACGCGCATGGGTTTTCATGGCTCCCAAGCGCGTGCGCGAAGTCCGAACTCGGCCTTGCAGTGACGTCCAACGTCCAAATGACCCAGGAACTTGCTGGAGATGCTCTCATCCTGGTGCAGGGCCACCTGCAAGCCGTCCAAGCTCGGGGTTCCGGGAAGTGTTCATGCCCTTGCACACAAGGCTCCACATGGGCTGAGAGCGCTGCATGGCGATGCAACTGGCATCCTGCACGTGCAAACTTCGAAGCTGTGCGTGTGTGGCATCAGTCGCGGCTTTTTTCTGAAAAGAACTTCTGCAAACACTCAAAATTGGTCTGGGTCTGAATCCTGAAAGTGGTTTGCAAGCCTCAAAAGCAAGGACACCCAGTCAGGAACGCTTCAAAGAGAAATCTCACAGACTCCTAAATGCATGCGCGTGCGCACCTCGTCGACCAGCTTCTCAAGCTCGCCTGACCGCGGGAGGCAGGGGGTTCGGCCCGGCTTTGGTTGGGTCGTGTTTCAAAGTCAGGGGATCGGGTCCCAGGTGTTGGGAGCCTCGGGATGATTCAACCTGGCCCACTACGCGAGACTGCTGGCTTCCCACAATATTGTAAAGATGAATGGGCCTGCTACCAGCCGAAATTCATGCTGTGTTGGCAACACTGCACTCTCTCCTGTTTGAGGCAACAACATCTTTGCCAGCGGTCAGCAGTTGTCCCACCAAATCCGCACCATGCTGCATGTCATTCAAAGCCGGCCTTCCGCGGCTGCTTCGACGGGAGCCATGGCAGCACGAAAACAACGACTCAGCTGGAAAAACGTTGTGGGTCTTCAGTAAATATGCCGACATTCAGTTACTGAATCCTCTTGTCGTCTCATGCGCCCGCCTTTCCTTTGGGCCGGAAGCCTGTCGTCAAGCGCTGGTTTCGGATGTCATGATGGGCACCGGCGCAAAACCACTTCCTCCATGTCGAACTGAAAAGTTGTTCCTAGAGTTCCCAGCACAAGTCAGCCTCCCTTCCGCGTTTTTTTTTTTGGCATCCGAATTGTTTTGTTCAGACGGTACACTGAAGTTGAAAGCGGTTTATAAAAGCTTGGAATTTGGCACTAGGCAAAACTAGTTTTGCGGCTTCTGCACTTTGGGACATTGAAAAGGCTGAAGGAAGGCGTCGGAACGTCGGGTCACCAATTGAAGTTGCTGGTCCAACCGTGTGCGTCGTTCTTTTATGTTGGCATACATGAGTGGTACAATATTCTTGATACGCGAGAAAATCGGGCTGTGATTGCCCACCTGATATTACCTGCAATCCCCCAAGCTATCCCCGGCGTAGCCAAACCCACGAAACAGGAATGCTGGGCGCATTTGTGCTCGCCATGGGCTGCTCGAATGTGCCCGGCCGGGATCCAGCAGGAAACACGACCTGGCACACGCACACACACACAGCCGATTTGCTCTGTGTGTGTGTGTTGCCCACCGGCGAGGTTCTACGGGCTTCTCCGAGGCTTTCAGCAGCGAATGCAAGTTCACGCGCTCCCTGAACTCGGACTGTGTCGTGAGCAAACGAAGCCGCTATGCACAGTTCCCCACTCAAAGCCCGCGATCCCCAGCAGGCACTTCCTTCGTGTCTTTAAGGCACGACGCACTTCTTGACTTTGGACATGACCGCGACGAGGAACAATAATTTTGGAAATGGGCCACATATGGCAGCAGGTCTGCAAATGATGTTGAAACGTACTGTTGAGAGCCTTTGCACGAATCGGAAGTCCTGGGTATGGGATGCTGAACTGCGAGTCGTCTAGTTGAGCTGGGCAGGCCAGTATCAACCCGCAAAGAGACCTCAACCCTAAAAGGAGTGGCCTAGGCTGCCACCAAAGAAGGAATGGCCAAGCTAAACAGGTTGGGGCCGCTCGTCAACACGCCCTCACACATACATACAGTATACTCAGTACACATACATGCGTCTGGACGCTGAGATGGCGCAAACGGACGATGACCTTTTGCAGGAAACATGTTGTGCCGCCAACAAGATGCAAGACAGCGAGCTATACAAGCTATTCCAAACCAGTTGACGAGGCCTGATGCGCGACCACCTCATCCATCGAGGTTCCTAGCACAGCGTATGCATCCAGCAAAGGTCTGGAAAGATGAAGCCCTTAAGGTTTGCACTTGGGGCTGGGTGGGTGGGTGGGTGGGTGCTGAATACGAAATGGACATTCACCCATGCGCACGGCCTGCTGGTCTCGATGGGCCAGGGACAAGCGGAGCTCTTCTGCTGTGCCTTGGGTCGCGGTTGTGTTTCGGCTTCAGAGGGAGTAGGGTTCGGCAGGGTCCGAGTGATGGGGCCTCCAACTCGGCCACCACCAAGGTGTTCGAGGCCCGGCGGAGGACGGAAAGCATGCATGTCCTTCGGCAAAGTTGCAGAAGCAAAACACTGAATGACAGCCGAATCTCCTGGGGTATCGTCAGCTGGGAGCTTCAAGAAGCGGCACGGATCGTGCTCGTGCTCTGGCCACCATTCATCTTCTGAGTCGGATCCTCACAAAGACAAACGCAGCAGAAGCAACACAGCAGGTCGCGATATCGCCTCGTCCTTCATCGATGCGGAACAAACCACAAGGCTTGGCCTGTAGGCGCAAGCTCTTGTGCATACAAAATCATATACAAAATACGCACGCCAGCCTGGACCAGGTACGTTGTGGAAATGAGGCCAATCTGCCGCTTTGAAGACTTTGCGGCGGTAACTTCAATGCCCGAGGACGCAACGTATTGTTGTGGTTGCTAGAAAGGTGGTGAGTACGTCGGGCTCACGAAGGCAGGACTAGGTTCCTGGCTCCAGCGTATCCACTGCCCATATGTTGGGCTTCAAGCGCCAGGCGCGCTGTACCAGGAGCGCATGCTGGCCGCAACACTTCGGCCCCAGCATTATGTCTCCCACATCAACCTGCCATGGACCGGCCAACAGTTTTTTTTGTTTGAAAACGCTCCCCAAATCTCCCCAACAAGAAGCTAGCCAGGCATACATCCAGAGACCACTCATCCTGATCTGCCTATAACTCAATTCTTTGCACCAGCATTCTCCGAATGCACCGTCAACGCTCCAGAAACTTGAACGTCGTGCTTCGCAGCCTCGAGCTTCAAGTGCAAGTTCCGCCATGCTTCCTTAGGCATAACTTTGACCTGGCAGGCTCGACAAGGCACTAATGTGACCCTAAAACGCATGACATTTGCCTGATGCAGGCAGCAGTATACACAGAAACAGCCAAACTTCTGGGACAGCCTCGACTGGGGCCCCGCCACCTTCAGAACCGACATCCTCCAGTGACAAACCCAAGCAAAATCAATGTTTGTTGGGGTAATCAATTCCATCCACTGAGGCCATCCTGATGAGAACGGCTGGCAGCCAAGCAAGCACGCCACAACTGGGCATCACACCAAGTTCGAGCTTTCTGAGGGCCCGCCGCGCCTGGGCTGAACACACGGGACAACTTACAAAACAAGGAGGACCGAGTCCTAAACAACCGGAAAAATTGAGGAAATCACTCTCGGAAAGCAAGTAACACAAATAACATGAGCGCAGATTCACAAAACATCGCCAGCGATTCTGGAAAACAAGCAACAACCAAAACTGCCGTGAAGAGATTGAAGAAAGTCGACGAGATGCAGCAGATCTACTAACCCATGTTGCAGCTTCGGCTGTATCGAGGGTCATTCCCGGTGTGTTTGTGTGTGGGGGTACGCCAGCACGCTGGCTGTGGAGCGTTTGTTCTTTTTGCTGCATTTACGTGGCTAGTCTACGACAGGGAGCCAAAAAGACCCTGAATTTTCCAAGTGCAAATCTGGAATGTGTGAAGAAGCGCACAGAAGCCGGAGGCAGCGCAACCGTGTCCCTCTTTTGGGGCTGTGCTCGGAGCTCCGCAGGTATTCCCTCGCCAGCCCTAGCCATGCTCAGCATTCCTCAACACCCATTGGGTCGTTGAAGACCAGGACCCGAGTGGCATTCGACACGAGACCAGGATAAAGTCCTACTGCGAAGTCGAAGTTGTCTTCCCACGTGGGAGTTGGGGGCAAGACGCTGCTAACCTGCATAGAGACAGGCTCCGGCTCCGGCTGGTGGAATTCAGATGCCATGCCCACGCCCTGTGTGCAAGTGGCTCCCGACGGGATGCCTTCTTCTGCAACTTGCCCGTTACGCCAACGGCCGCTGGGGTGAGGGCCAGGGCCACGCTCTTGCCTCCGGGAGTGCCGGCCCGCTTCAGAGGGAGGCTCCTGGGCGGCGCCTTCGGATGCTTCGGCATTGAAAGCAGGCTTTTGGTTGCACATCACGTGCCAGGCTCTGGTCGCCAAAGTGTGAAGGCCGTCCCAATCACTCAAAAGACGGGTCAGCTGATGTGGGTTGTGCCCACGCCGCCCGGCCGACACCACCAAGGCCAGGGCCATCGCGAGCCACGCGGAACGGCGCCTGGTCTTGATGTTCGATCCTGCTCCTATGGCCCGGGTGCCCTCAGGGCCCTCAAGCTCTAGCAGAGACACATTCTTGACTTCGGGCCAAACGCCCACTTCGCGGAAGAGCGGAAGGAACTGTTTACTCACATCGGTCTCCTCGGCTTCCATGCGGCTGCTACCCATCTGCAGATGTGCCAAGCACCCATCCAGAATATGCGCAGCTTGGCCGATCAGAGGCGACTCCGATGCTATGCGAAGGCAGAGCACTTTCTGGGATTCGATGAGCACAGAAATGATTTCAACTTCGGCCGGATCCATGGCGCCAGACTTTGCAGCAGCCAACTGAAGCCTACTAAAGTGCACAGAAATCCCTGAACTGAGGTTGCTCTCGATGCATGCCAGCCCTTAGACGGGTGGCTGATTGCAACTATGTGGAGCTCATGCCCAACTCGGATGAGACATGGATAGCACCAGCAAGATACTATTACCTGCAAGTTTACATTCGCTCGAGCCGCAGGCCATGATCCGAAGCATTCTCTCTTTGAACGCATGTACTCGAGGCTGCTGAACTGGTGTCTCCCAACTTACAGGACGGGAAGGTAATCAGGACAAATGTATGTATATACATATATGTATATACATACATATATATATATACATACATATATGTATGTACAATGATATCAGTATGTACCTACTGAACTCTGGATCACTCGCATCGAATCTCGAACAAGGTCAGTAGCCCTCAGTATGCTGCAGTGCTGACACTACCGCGCCTTCTTCGGAGAGAAACGAGCCACTGCATGGCAAGGAACGCACAGCCCCGTGCTGTCTCTCGGCTGGCCCCCAACTTATGAAGCGAAGAATGTGCCTTCAAACGGAGCCTTAAATGCGTGTCATGTGAAATGGACGAGTTCACAACAACAAGGCAGCTAGGTCCACTTCTTCACCTTGGGCACAGCGAAGCCACTCAACAGGCAAAACTCACCCGGCTATGGATGGACAGCATGCTGTGAGTGGCAACGGGCGCGCAAGAGCAGCATCGTCTGCAATCGCAACTTTTGCAGATACGCTTCGTCGGTTCTTCAGCGCGAGGAACCTGAGAAACCTCAACAGAATCCACGACTTTCCGCAGTTCGGCTTGACTGGATGCTTCTGCACAATGTTGAAGGACCATGAGCTGGAAGGGTAGTGGTTATCCACATCGTCGGCATTCCTCCCTTCATGTCTTGGATGCCTGGTCAAGAAGTCCTTCGCAATCGGTTGTGCAACATCGCCAGCAGCCGTCGACCGTCGAACCCAGACAAGAAAGTTCCCTAGAATGTCCTAGGATTCGCAAGTCTCGCGACTCCTACAAGGCCTGCCGATGCTTGAATTCACTAAGCGAGCCACGACCGGAAATGCTCAGAGTCCGTGATCCTGGAAAGCAGTAGCGGCAGCGTCGATCCGGTGCCTCTTCGCTCGCGCTGGAGATTCCGGCTCGGTGCCTTCAAGATTCGCGGATACGAAGCTCTGCGTATGCTCTGCGTGCCATGGGTGTGGGCACTGAACTGAAAGCCACAGAGTCTTGCCTCAGGTCCCGGGTGATGTGCTGTAAGAGGATCAGCTCCAAGGCGGTGTCGGCTTCAAAGTTCCGTTTTGCAGGGACCGATCGCCGTGCCTGGGGCCAGTGCCATGCGGCCAGGCAGCAAGACTCTCTGCCGTCTCTGCCTCTTGGTTCGGGCGGCAGATCCAGACTCCAGACTGCATCTTCTTGGCCGGACTCAACTGCTCGCAGGTATCCGATGAAGCCACAGCCCTCGTCCCCTAATGAACCTACAGGCGGCATAGCACTCTGCACACGTGCTTCTCGCGTGAGTTTCCGTTCTAGGGGATCCTTGACTTGAGCCCAGCAGACCACTAGGATCTTCATCGTTTTTTCCCCAAGATTGCCAACTTCTGCTGGGTTCACCCCTCCTTTCGACACCAGTGACACTTGCACAAACATCGCAGACTTGACAACTGGTTCCTCCGAACAAGACAGTCTTTCTTCAAACGCGTGCGTGACAATCGCATCTGTTGCAGAATCACTACCGCTTCCTGTGTTGTTGTCTTCGTCATCTGCTTCGTGTTCCACTTGTTCGGCTTTTGTGGATTCCTTCGCCAGATCAGGCGACCCAGACGGTTGATTCTTACGATTCTTCGGCTCCACGAATGAAGCGTACTCTAAAAGCTTGCCCGCTGACACATGAGCCGCTGGTAGCGGCTGGTCTGCCCTCTGTGATTTGTGCCAGCACAGGGCCCTCGAGCGGTGAACCTGCGTCTGTCCATACCCACTGTGCTCCCCGCACCCACTGTGCCTGGCACGCCATGCTCCCAGTGACCGACGGATGCGCAGCCGGTCAGGTTGATATTCTCCTGCCACTTGGCAAATGCAAGCCGTGCAGGCAGAGGACTGCTACTGGCAACCTCAGATTTGCCATGATTCCCAATGTCTTCCCGGTCCTGTAGTCCCAGGAGAAGATGAGGCCTCTGAGTCAAATGCCAAACCTTGGCAGGACGTGAGGCTCATCACCCTGGATCCTGACGTGGATCGCGGAGGTGAACGTGGGGTTGTGGAGGCGGTGGCTCTGCTGGCGGCAGTGGAAGCACTGATGCCGACGCCGGCGCTTGCAGCGCTGGAAGTTGTGATGGTGGTGGAGGTGGAATGAGGTGGAGATCAGGATGCTGCTGCCAATGGTGGCAGTGGTGTTGATGTCAGCAGTCCTAGTGCTGGTGGCGATGATAATAATCAAAATAAGAGTGGTTACAATCATGGTAGCATCACAATAATGCTGGTGATGGCGATGGTGGCTGCGACGGACTTATTGACCGCCGCGATGCGGAGAATAAGGAGGATCCTCTTTTCCGGTGGTGGCAGTCTAGTCGTGAAGATGAACATAGCGTCATCTCCGCACTGATGCTGAGTTTTGTAAATATTGTTGAAGCTGATGAGAAGCCACAACTAGGTGACACTTGCCGTGCAAAACTCCTGACATGGTGCTGCTAGCTGCTAGCCCTGTTCAGATGTGGCGAGACAAAGCTGCAGCTACGCTGATCCAAACCCAAGGGCATGGCATTCTGCGGCACTGTGCCCTCAAAGTTGTTGGCATGAAGCCTCACTTTGCAGCCCGATGCTTGCGATGCTCAGTGACACCTTGCCAAACTGGTTAAACCGCGGCTGTCTTTCGTTTGCCGGTTGGGCTTAGAGATCAGCGATAGTTCGTTGAAACTAGGAGCCGCTTGATCTTGCTGGGTCTAGACAGCCTCTGGATGCCTCTGGAACCTTGAAGGCCTTCAGCTGCGTGGGTCTGTTTTGGAGCCACGCGACTGCAGCTTCACGAAGGGCAAAGTTCCTAGAGACTCCGGCAAGGGTCCTGGCAAGATGGAGGTCGTGCTGGACTTTCGGGTTTCGGGGATATCCAGAAACCAACTGCCAATGGCCTTCCAGATCGTTGTCATACAAATCTAATGACTTCAACCTCGGCCATCGCAATGCGATGTCATCCTTAGCTTGAGCTTTTTCGGTGACTGCCGACAGCAGCAGATTGCAAGTGTAAGTAGGCTTTCAAGCTCAACTCCGCTCATGAATAAAATGAGAAACAATGAATTCTGAGAATGACGAAGCTGGCTATAATGGTGGTGCCATGGTGGGGCTGAAAAGACAGGACAAAGACAAGAATTATGACGACTGTACTGGTGAGGTTGCTGATGATGATGGTGACGATCATGGGGGCGACGGCGACAAAGACGACTAGGAACCTTGATGTGCTTGCCAGCCCGAGAACGACGACGATGCTGAGGGCAATGATGCATGACATGATGCGGTGACAAGTGCGACAGCGAAGGCGGCAACTGCTTGCTACAACTGTGATTGAGCAAGGCTCCGGTATCTTGCCGGTCAGAAAGTTCCCATCTAGCCAGACCTTCTCGATGTTGCTCCAGCCAAGCTTTACGAACTCCTCGATTCAGACGATGACACTGTACCGGCTACGATGACGCAAAGGAAAGGATCACAACCTAGCCGGAACTCCTCGAAGGCAAAGCCGAAGGAGTGCTGAGGGCATAGAAAGCTGGGCCCTTCCTGGAAATCTTCCCAGGTGCCAGTACTTGTCGCGCGGCCGCCTTCCTCCACTGACTTGAGGGTGGGGCCGCAGTGTAAAAATGATTGGTATTGAAATCCGTGGGGGCTGCAGCCCTCAATCCCTCTGCACCCCTCTCATGTCACTGCACCTTGAAGAGATGACGGGTCTCCCAGGAGGCTTTGCAGCCACCTCTCGACAAGCGCTGTAGGGCGCACGGAACCATCTCCTGGGCATCCAAGACGAAGTCGCAACCGCCCAAAGTTTCTTCTTTGCATCCCATATCATCCCGTGACATGCACGGTGGGTGGCAAGATGCCCACTGTCGAAAGGCGACGAAGGATCTCAGAGACTGCAATCCCCTCAAGGCTGTCGGAGGATGGGACATCATGCAGTTGGAGCCTGGGCTCATGAGCCAAAGAACAGAAACCGCATTGATGCATCAAGCTCATGAAATGTGCTTGAGAACGTGCACCGAGACATAAGGCAGCCGAGAAGCAGTAAAAGTTTCTCAAGTTCCTCATCTTATTCCAGCATTCAGGAAGTGCACCGCCGGCGACGTGAATAACCTCAGTGAACTCTACAGTACAGCAAACTCCTCGCCGGGAACAGGTGGTGCCAGCGCCGATTGATCGAAGGATCAAAAGAGTGGGAAGTAGGCATGAAGGTAGATTGCTACATCGCTTGATTGGTGGATGGATGGAAGCACATCTGTGTAAATGGATTCGAGTACGTAAGCATGCATTCCGGCATGCATGTGTGGGTATGTCTGAGTATGTGTGGGTATGTGTGAGTATAAATTTTTATGTACGGTCAGGTAATGTCAGGTCGGTATGACTATGCAGGTTATATGTGGTGATATATGGATGGCTATGTATGTACGTCGGTAAGTAGGTTGATGGCTGCGTGGGTTGGTAGGCTAGGTAAGTAGGCACGTGGGCAGGTAAGTGCATGTCCACTGTCTGCCACCGCGGGGCGAATGCAGTGAAGTGAACAAGGTCGAGGCCGCAAAACTCAGCCAGATCGACTGGGGTCCACCGAAGCACATCCTCCGCATAGCATACATGCGTGCTGTGTGTTCACACGGTTGCTCTGACGGGTTAGTGATGACGCCATGAACATGACCAGAAACCTGTGCTATAGATGCAAATTGTATCGCGAGCCAGAACAGCGAATCATCGAAAATCCAGTGTTTCATACTGCCTGCTCGCAAGCCAGACGCTGCTCTCAAAAATGATTCTGTATGTCGCATGAAAGCCCCAGCTAGTTCAGAAAAGAAACAAGTGCGGCTAATGAAGCAGGGGATTCAAAGCGCGTCAACGAATCATGGCTGCCAAGTTGATTGGGGTCGGGGAACCCAATTTCGTGGCTCGTAGCAAATGACGTGATTTGAAGAATCCATCTCCGGAGGTCCTGGCGACCGTAGATTTGCAAGCTCCGGAGCTGTCGTCCAGGCGGTCCCTGCAGCGCCTTCGCCACGGTCTGCACCACGTCTTGGCTTGGCGCCTGAGAGGTCAGACGGAAAGATCCATGTGAGACTCTTCATACTAGGTTTCCAATACAAGGACGCACACAGTAGTTAAGAAAAGCTAACCATCCCTTCAATTGGCCTCCAGCCGAAGGAACTGCAGCGATGGCCAAGAGTGACCTAACCGAGAAGTTCAAGCAGAGGATGTGTCTGAAGCTCCAGATGAGTTTGGAAAATCTCCGATTTGACCTAGCACCTAGCACTGTTTACTGCAAAGATGCGAGTACACGGCCAAACGAAGAAACCCGACTCAGCAACGAAAAGCACCTCTGTGATGGCCGCATTGCACAGCAAACCTTCTTGATAGTACCTTGTATGGCCCCATGTAATACTCGAACAGTACCCTTGCCCCTCTAGTACCCTCATAGCAGTAGTACCCTGGTAGTACCCGTATAGTACCCTAGTATTGCGCTAATAAAACCCTCATAGCACCCCCAATATTTGACGCAAATACAAGTGGTACCCCAAATAGTCCCCCAGAAGCACCCAAACCCTAAACCCTAAACCCACCCTAAATACTAAACCCTTCTGCTGCAGGCTTGTTGCAAGGACGCCTAAACCCCGAAACCCTAGAACCTGCAGACCGCGCCTTCCACATCGCTCTTGGCCGGCCCTCTCAGAACCGCGGCGGATCTTGGCTCAGCACTCGACGTTTTCCAAGGGATACTTTTGGGCCACTGTAAGAGAAGCTATAGGGTACTAGAAGGGGGTGCCGAAAGCAACCGACAGCACTGCCGTTAAGCCTATGTCATTTCATATACTGCTTGTCTGTGAGTGATTGCAAGTTGAACTTCTTGTGGCGTGTGTGTTTTCAGGTGACTGCCGCCCGCTCAATGCTGCAATCTCTGTTGTCTCCTAAATCTTGCAATGTTGATTAGATGACTCATACCAAGGTGCAGGTAAGGCAGTCCGGACAGCTTTGTTAAGGTAGTCTGCCCACCCAGCTCACCAGCAAATCCGACGACGCGGATCTGGCCCTCGATCTGTCGGCAGGCCACCTGACCTGCTTCGGGTAAACTGCCTCGACTTGGCCTGTACTGCCTCAGCCGATTGGCCCCACCTCCGCACATTTCGGCGACAAGAGCATAATCCTCCTTACAGGGCCGTCCGCCGACGCCCTCGTGGATTAGTGCCTGAAACGAGCTCGAGTTCCTCGGCTGGCATGTTCCCAAACTTGACGGCCATGCAAGTTCAGTACCATGACAAACACTGCCACAGACCATGACATTCGCCACAATGTGACTGCACTTCTTTGAGGCAAGATAGAAGGAAGAGGGGCAGGGCGGGAAGCGTGCAGCATGTTGCAGTACTCGGTCACTGCACCACTAGAAACCTGTCCTTCCCTTCCGAGCTGCCACTCGTCGATGCCAAACGTAAGGCATGAGTCACTGTCACCGGACATGCAGTGTCTGCGGATGTTGCCCCAATCATGAGCAGAAGGCTCCGAGAACAGCAAGTCCTGTGTTGGCCGAACCGCAGCGAGTCTTACTTGGCATGCGCCACAGCCGTTCTCACGTCCTCCAAGTCTACGGCATCCGGATCGCCCACTCGCAACGGCCCAAACTTTTCATCAGGAGCATCAGTTCCTGAGATTGGAGACTCTGATCCTATTGGTTGCACCAACGTGTCTGAAAGCTCGTATCTGCGAATCCGGGCGAAGAGACACTAGTCGCTTCTCGTGCTCTCAAGCCAAGGACAGAATTCGAGTCTGTCTTGTGTTTGCCGAGTCGCTCGACACTGTCACTCCACAGTTGCCTGCCAGGATCTGCTTTGCCCCTGGCATCAGGGCCGGAACAAGCAAAGCTGCAAAAGCAAATCTTGCACTATACTTTGTTATACATACGTTTTTATACTATACGAAAACTATCCTGTTCCATGTTTCACTGTATCCAACTATACGAGACTGTTGTATACGATGCTATGCGGTGTTTTGCGATATTATCCTCTATATGCAGAAGATATGACATCATTCGATATGATAGTGCTATATCATACTGGCTTATGCTACTTTATGAAAGTATACTAAATTATACCCGAATTGTGTCACATACATGTGTTCCATATCTTATACTATTTCATTCTCTCTTATACTCTAGTGTTTTCTATTTATACTATCTTGTACTATGTTGCATGATTAGGTTTACAATATGATATCATAAGCCACATGCCAAGATCTGACCCTCGGACAGCCCGGCCTGTGAGCAGGACGACTGTTGAGAGGACACGGCGGCAAGGAACCATGAGGGGCTCAGATCGCCACGAGCTCAACTGAAAGTTTATGTCCTTGGCTAGTCTTGTATTTAAGGCTTATTAGTTTCATGGAACATGCTCAGAGGCTCGGGGATGAAAGCGAAGTCGCATGCCTGCTGCAACTCGTCCCACTTCCGCATATTCATGCTTCATGCTCCACGATAAATGATGTTTTGAAAGGGTTGGACTATCGAGACTGACATCTTGAACAGCCACTCTGGGCAAATGTCGCGAAACACTAGATCGCCTTCCCCATCTGCATGTACTATACAGCTAACAGTGGTCAACGTTTTGAATTTTTATTTTTCAACGGCACAGTCAGCCACTTACGCACCCACTCATTCACGCATGCTCCGTGTCACTCATTTCCTCGCGCACACTCACTGCCCTCCCTCGGCCCTCCCACGCCGACTTACGCGCCTCGTACGCTCTAATGTACATGCATGTTTCGCGTGTGCTTGTAAACCGATTTGCATGCCCAACTCGCCCAGTGCGCGAGGCGGCACCGGCAGGGGGCAATGAAGTTGAGCTATGTGTGCGACCACACCAAGCGCCCCCAATCGCCGGTCGACCCACTCAGCCCCAAAGTGCCCGTTTATGTGTTGCACTCTGCTCGAGACAATGTTTCACGCATTTCACGCCAAAAAGCTAGGATCGTTGTGTCTACCTGCTCACTTGCGTCTTCGATGTTCGTGTTGCATGCCAACAGCAGCACTTGAGTGCGCCTTGGCGTCATATCGCTGGGTCTACAGGCTCCTTTTTGTTTCGGACACCATCTGCAGCTCTTGAGCACATTCTGACGATGGCGAGATATGTGTGCTCGCGTTGCATACTGCTGCACATGCTAACGTCATATGCTTCCGCCTGCCGACCAATGCTTGTGTTGCACGCCGGCGGCAAAGTCGAGCTCGTGAAACCATTCTCAGTGAAAAGAACGACATGTTCCACACCAAACGCAGCAAATTGAACCCCCTGCCGTCACATCCTCGCGTCTGCATACCTCGGTTCATGTTGCACGCCAGCGATCATATGGTTGCGCCTCCGAAGTTCGTGTTGCCAGTTGCATGCCAGCCAGTAGTCCACACGGGCGTCATATCGCTTTTGTTGTACACAAGCAGCAGCACTTCGGCCTGCACTGACGACGTACTGTTGAATGTGGCATCACATCGTTGCGACAGACTTGCGCTCGTGTTGAGCAACCCGAAACCCGATGGCTAAATCGCTTCCGATGTGCCAAGAGAAGGGGTGCCCCCCAGAGGAATGGCACACCGCCTCGGTCGGATGTTGTTTCTCGCGTGGACAGGTGTAAAGTTGCAAGTTGTTGGCTTCGCGCGGTCCTTATGCCCTGATGAGGCAATAACCACCCAGCAGCTCGCAAAACTACTGAAGACGGGTAAGCTTTGGCCTGCTCGAAGAGGATCACAAACATCTGCGGCAACTAAGGCCTTGTCCGCTCTCCGACCATAAGCCTCTCGTCCAGAAAATCTGGTTGCCGGTGGACGATTGAGGATGAGCCGGTTTTCCCTCTCCCTTAAGAGATACCATTTGACATTTTCCCCTTTCGGATCGTTCCCACTCGTTGTCCAGTGATCCGGTGACGATGGCTTTCCGGCTAATGCCAATCTGGCGCACTGGACTGGAATGTAGGAACGGTGCAGCTGACCGAAAGGCTACTGGAGCCGAGCTACCGCGAGGCTGAGATCGAAACCCTTTTGCCACAACAGGTTGATTCGTCCGGGGCCACAGCGGCCCCAAACATGGCTGATCCCCGTTGCCATCAACTCCTATAGGCCAAGGCTGCGTGAAGCAAAGGCTACGCGAGGTGAACAAGTCCCGCAAGATGACAAATAGGCCGTAACGCAGTCAATAGAAGGGGTTCTGCGCGCGCTGCGAACGCAAGCAGGCAGCATGCTGATCCAAAGTGTTGCAACATCCCACATGCGTGCAACAGCTGCGCTGGCGCAGCGCCAACAGACATCCAAATTAGGCGCACACGAGTTCTGGCAAAGGCGACATCCCGCATACCGACAAATGCCGCAAGCGAGTCCACGCCTGGGCCTGCTTTTTGAATTCCCGCCATTCTGACAGCATCTCCTGGGCAGCATCCGGCCAGCACAACTCCTACCGATACGAGACCAAACCCAGTTGGGCCTCGAAGACGGAGTTGGAGAGCACAATCAGGTCATCGGATAGACCGTGCTGCAGAGCCACCGCGTCATCTAGGTGCAGCGGTGCGACATAAATAACCTTGCAGCGCGAGACGCAAGTAGTCCCGTCTCTGTGCGGCGAAACAAAACGGACTGTGGTAGAAAACTTTCCCGGCTGGCCGCCGCCCACGCCTGCGGGTCTGAACAGGTTGCAACGTGGGCGTGATCAGAGCTTGATGACGAAGACGCCTTCAAAAAGGTTGTAACTCATGTTGGGCTGCGAAGTGGAAACATGTTGCTGAGGTTGCTGCTTGAGAAGCTACGTGTTCATTGGCGCCAGTAGCCGTGCTCGCAGAGGATGACGCAGCCTTCAATAAACTCAGCACGGGGAAAACAAACAACTGCACGGTGTTTGTAGGTTCAGGAAACACCGGCTTTGGGTGGCGAAGCAAAACTGATTGAGGTACCGGCTTCGCTGGGGGTGGCACTTGCGCAAGTTGAAGATGCCTACACGGTGTCCGCTCAAAGCACGTGAGCTGCGCTTGCAAGCCAACTTTGATTGAGGTTGCAGCTGGACCAGGCACGTTGCCGTTAGCATCCGTCGAGTCCGTAGAAGCTGCCTGCGAACTTTCGGCGCGACAAGTCAAAACACATGCTCATCAGGGTGCGCAGGTAGAATCGTCGGCTCTGCCTATACGCAAAGCAAAGTCTGCACGGAACCTCGCCGGCTTTGGAGGCGGCTTTTGCCTTGGCTTTTCCTTTCGGCGCTTTTCCTAGCAACAGGTTTTGATGTGTTTTTTTCGATTTCTTGCACAAGGATGCCTGCCTGGACGATTTCGCGCGCCTTCGGTTGTCAGCAGCGCCGTGCACACAAGAACAAAGAGCAGCAACAAACGCTGTGGCATGCCTGTTTGTATGGGCAAAACGTGCCAACAAGCAAACTTGCAACCTCCTTCACTTCTTACCGTGCCAACAAGCAAACTTGCAACCTCCTTCACTTCTATCGTGCCAGCAAGCAAACTTGCAACCTCCTTCACTTCTTACCGTGCCGATAAGCAAACTTGCAACCTCCTTCACTTCTACCGTGCCAACAAGCAAACTTGCAACCTCCTCTACTTCTTACCGTGCCAACAAGCAAACTTGCAACCTCCTTCACTTCTTGCCGTGCCAACAAGCAAACTTGCAACCTCCTTCACTCTATTGTGCCAACAAGCAAACTTGCAACCTTGTGCACTTCTGCCGCTGACGGGATAATCGCAACAATAAGATCCCAGCTCTGCAAGGAGCGGAAGCCCAGACGCATGCAGCGCATCAATTGCCGGTGAAAAAGCAAGTGCAGTGCGTATTTCCGGCGGCGCACTCACTGTCTGCTCTGGATTGTAAATAGTTCATGAAGGCAACCGCAAACTTGCAGAGCATGACCGATGGTGTAATGTGAAAGCAACGAAGTCAGGCAAAACCAGAGCAGCCAAGGCAACATCATCCGACAAGTATGTCGTGAGAGCGAGGCTCGAAACAATATTGTCCAACTACCAATGATAAAGCCAACACAGCGGCATCCAGCAAAGCAGTCCAAGCAATATCGCCCAAAGACGAAAAGCGATGCTTCTCCGAAGGACACTGCCGATGTTGTGTACACAGCAGACTCACGAACAAGTATGCAGGCTAGAAACGCATATGTGACATGTGTTGGGCGCGTGCTGGCCTGAAAGGCATCAAGACTGCTGGGCTTCCCACATTGACATGCCCTCGCAAGCTTTTGATTTAAGTGGCGGCATGCGGTGCTCCGCAAAAGTAGTTTCAACAAGCAAGAGTGGAAAAGGTTTTTGGCTATTACGATGGAAAGACCGAAGCCAACGGGAATCATATGTGTCAGCCCGTTCAAAACACATCGGATGTGCGTTCACGCAAGTCCTCAATCGCAAGTCCTTTGGCGGAAGTCCTCAGGCTGTCAGGCATCTTGAGCCTGTATTGATGGAGCCAGTGGCCGTTCAAGAGGAGCACGCCTTGCCAACAGAGCGACAGACACTGGAGCATACTGTGGCAAGACATTGCGACGTACTGAGCCTCCTTTGTCTTGATGACCCAGCCTCATTTCTCTTGATTGTTGCTTGGTGCAGCCTTTCCAGCGCAACCGACGCTGCCGGAGTCGCAGGAAGCGACAGCACGACGAAGCGCAACATGTGTATCCCTCAAGTCGCTCACTCGGGTACTCACTCCAGCCCGGAGCGCGTTTTTGCAAGCTTGCTTGGCATCCTCACTCAGGCCCTCGTTTTGGGAGCCGGGGGTGAAATGCAGCGAAGCCGTGTCACGATGTATCGACCTCAGCATTCAGAGCTTCCCATACCTGGGAAACCCTTACGCCTTTTATAAATGCCGGCGCCGGGTAAAGTCGCCTTCAAGCGGTCGGATGCGGGATTGCAGGTTTGTCGGCGCTTTTGTAGATTTGGCGGCTGATTTGTGTTTTGGGCCGTCTCAGCCCTTTGGCTCCCGTTGTGGAGCTGCTGGTTCCCCTTCAAGGTGGGCCCACCGCTCTGCTGCAGCTGTTGTGATGCCGTGAGCATTGTGATTGGTTGCGAAGTGTGCTTGAGCCTCTGATTGTCCAGTTGCTTTTGTGCTCGAGGGCTTTTGATTGGGCAGCAGGGCTTTGATCATGGAGCAACTTCCTGTGCCTATGGAGTGCTTCGAGCTCCTGAAGTCCGTAGGACCCTGATTTTCGCATTAGCAGAAACTCGTAGCAAGCAGTTCGTTGTGATGATTGAGCTTTTCCAGGACTCCAGGAAATGCCCCTGGCTTTCTTCCATCAAGTCCAAGGGGTGCTCTGGCCAGAGATCGAGAATCCTCACGTCACTTGAAAGCACAGAGATTCGATGAATCATGTGAAGCATTTGCAGCCTCCTTCATAGATCCTTCCCTAGGATGTCCTGAGCCCCGACGAGATAGCCGTCATAGTTCAGAACTATCGAGATGGCGGGTCGGTCAGAGAGCTGGCGAAGCAGTTTTGGGGGGCCCAGGAAAAGATTCGAGCCTCCGAATGCAGTTGTGATTTGAGTTGTGGCCAAAGTAGATAATCATTATGAAATTCCTCTTGCCCAGGACTTTGTGCTCAACCTCAGACACCAGAGAAGGAGAAGGCGCCCAGGAAGGATGTGGGAGAGCAGTCCAATTAGATCATGGGCAAGGAAGACCGCATCCGCTCGAGCTTGTTGAAAAAAGCCTCGAACATTGGGTGAAGACTGAGTTTGGTCCAGAGCCCCATCGCTTTTTAGATCGGTGCCTTCGCAGGTTTGACATGCTTCGGCTCCGCATGGTCCGACACCGAGCATATGCTGCATCGTTCCCTCAATCTTCCTTCTTCTTTCTCTCTCTCATCTATCCAATTCGCTCTTTCTGTATAGAGTGGGCTATCGCCCGAGGCCGGGTGGCTTCTGATGGATGGCTTCGACTTACCGCAGAACCACGATAAGGCTCTTCAATCGCAATTCCCCAAACCCTTAAGCCTTAATCTCTGAGTGGGTTATCGCCTGAGGCCGGTGTGGCTTCTGGTGGATGGCTTCGACTTACCGCAGAACGACGATAAGGCTCTTCAGTCGCAATTCCCCAAACCCTTAACCTCTGAGTGGGTTATCGCTCGAGGCCCAGTGGCTTCTGGTGGATGCTTCGACTTACTGCAGAACGACGATAAGGCTCTTGATCCACAGTTCCCCAAACCCTTAACCCTTAAAAAAATCCCACGCTGCAGCAGGTCTTCATTTGCAACTGCTCGCTGGAGCGATTGGGCTGAGGCCTGCAAAACCGTCGCATAGCCCGATTCGCTAGAGTGATTTGGTCTTGGTGCAGGTTGTGACTGGTGGCCTGAGCATCACTGAAGTGGTGCCCCGTCGTGCTTTCCCAGCTGTGTGTTTTCACTGCTTCAGTGGTACACGCATGGATTGAAAGTTCTTGTTCTGTGCTTCTGAAGCTTTTGGGCCGGACCCGGGGACTTACGGACACTTCCCCCCGGAGTGCTTTTTTTCTCTGCCATACTTCAGCATGGCCGACATCCTCGTGCCGCAGACTCCGCCTCGCAAGGTGATGAAACCGAGAAGGGCGGCGGACTTGACAGGTCTTTGGGAGGCCTGGGAGGAGAACCGTCAGCTACGCAAACAGAGCCGGAAGAAGGGAAGCTTGCTGGAATGGGAACACCCCTCCAAGGTTGGGCTCATAAACCGGAGGTCTCTGATGCTGAACTGGAAGGTGATCTTGCCTTTGCTTGAAATCTACTGCCCAAAGAATGAGCCCAAGACCGTGCCCGTGCAAAGCCTGAAGCAGCACGCTACTCGGTAGCACCATACAGTTTCAACATTGCAGTACTGCAACTCGTGTTTGTTCCTGCTTGGTTATGTTTTATTTCTTGTTTTAATGATCATGATCAGGTCAGGCGGTTCTTCGAAGAGATCGAGGTCACTCCCAAGAACGGTTTGTGCCACTGCACCAGCCACAGCTTGAAAATGTTCGTGAGCTACATTATTCGGCGACATGACGGATCTGTGAGAAAGGTCCCTCTACTCATCCTAGTTTCTGGGTCTTGGGTTTGCACATTCCATTATGTGTAGGTTGCCTAAGCATCATGTGAGGATCACCGCCTCAAGGCCATCTTCGACGAGGTGGCCAAGAGCTGGCCGCCGAAGGCCCGCAGCCGCAGGACCTTGGTTGAGGAAGCCGAGAATCCAGATGATGATGAGTGTGAGAAGGAAGGCCAGGAGGAGGAAGAGGAAGAGGAGCTACAGTTGACCGAGGATGAGGTTGAGGAAGATTCTCAAGCAGCTGAGGTTGATGACTACCTAGCCGAGGCCATGGGCCTTGTTCCGGGAAGCCCGCAACCACCTTCGGCCTATGTGGGTACGGTGGCCTATGAGCTGAGCAATGAAGGGGAGCCGGTGCCTTATCGGCCAGCTTTGCTTGATGGCAATGAAGGCGAGGCTGGTGCAGGCACAGATCTGGTGAAACGGTTGGCTGAGCTGGAGCATCTTGCTTCAAATGAAGGGTGCTCGTTCGAACACATCAATAATGAAAGCACTGGTGTTGTATCTCAAGCTGAGCAGCCGAGGCAGCAAATCGCCCATCGAAGAGCAGCTTTGTCTGGCCAGATGGCAATCCAACGGTGGCACAGCACCTCAGTTCAATCTTGTTCCAGCCCCCAAAACCGGCGACCCCCGAAGTCCTTAAACTCTTTGAGGCCTCACGGCCTGAAAACCCGAAACCCAAAAGCCCCGAAACCTTAAACCCCTAAACCCTGAAGTCCGAGTGCGAGCGCCGAAACCCTGAAGCCCCAAGCCCCAACATTATCCCAGGTTTGCAGCACATGGAAAGCCAACACCCGAAGCCCAAAAGCCCGGAATCCTTAAGCCCCTAAACCCTGAAGCCCCAAGCCCTAAATCCTGAAGCCCCGAACCCCAACATTCTCCCAGGTTTGCAGCACATGGACAGCCAACGGACCATCGCTTGGCCGGAGCGGCTAGATGATGGGCATGAGCAGGATGCCTTCGCAGATCCTCCAGCTACCTCGGAAGCTGTGGGTGGGTTTGTGCGGCAGGATGCTAGGAGTCATCTATCCCTCGAGGCCCTTTCTTCGAAAGATGTGGCTCCAAGCAATGTACCCGTGGCCACCCCGGCAAGGGCGGCTTCAGAGCTCCCAGCAGTTTCGGGGGATCTAGCAGACCCAACACATCATGCAGTTGCTCCTGGAGTTTCCGAGGATCTAGCACACCCAACACAGCCTGCAGTTGCTCCTGGAGTTTCCGAGGATCTAGCAGACCCAACACAGCCTGCAGTTGCCCCTGGAGTTTCGGAGGATCTAGCAGACCCAACACACGCAGCAGTTGCCCCTGGAGTTTCGGAGGATCTAGCAGACCACACACGCAGCAGTTGCCCCTGGAGTTTCGCAGGATCTAGCAGACCCAACACAGGCCGCAGTTGCCCATGGAGTTTCGCAGGATCTAGCAGACCCAACACAGGCAGCAGTTGCCCCTGGAGTTTCGGGGGATCTAGCACAGGTCTGAACTGGTCCTGGAGTCTTGAAGGATCAAGGCGAGGCACAGCCAGGAAGTCCGTGCCCAGAGTCTGTGTCGCTGGCGATTCGGTCGGAGCCCGACTCTCCTGATCTGTTGGCTTGCAAGGTGGGGCAAATCCAGTTTGAGCTTCAGGCTTCAGTCTTTCACGGTACTTTGGGCTTCAGGCTTCAGTCTTTCCTCGCACTAAGTACTATACCCGGAGCTCCTAGCAATCCGAAACCCCGAAACTCCCAAATCCTAAATGCTTTTCATCGCACTAAATCCTATACACCGAGCTCCTAATCCCAAAATCTCCTAATCCCAAATTCCCGAAACCCCCAAATCCTCAACTCCTGCAGGCTTCGAGAGTCTTGGCTCACGGAATTCAGGGCTCAGCATTGGCAGGCTAGTATTTACAATACGAAGGATTTAGGAAGCCGTCCTTTTAGGAGCCCGGCCAAATAAAGCCAAGGCCCAAAGTTTTACTTTCCCGAGCATAGCCAAAGGCAAATCTGCCACGCAGAGACTCCTTAACTTGTGGGGTTCGGTGAGGATTATGTAAGCTTGCTTTTATGGGGCCGCAGCACATTGGAACTTTTGAGGTTGTGGGCGAATGCTAGGATGAGCTCTTCTTTGTATGTGTCCTAAAAACTATAGCCAAGGAACGATAGTACTAGCAGCAGCAGCAGGAGGAGTAGTAGGAGTAGGAGTAGGAGTAGGAGTAGGAGTAGGAGTAGGAGTAGCAGTAGCAGTAGGAGTAGGAGTAGGAGTAGGAGTAGGAGTAGGAGTAGGAGTAGTAGTAGTAGTAGTAGTAGTAGTAGTAGTAGTAGTAGTAGTAGTAGTAGTAGTAGTAGTAGTAGTAGTAGTAGTAGTAGTAGTAGTAGTAGTAGTAGTAGTAGTACTAGCATTACCACTAATACTCGTACGAGTACTAGTACTCATACTACAAACAGTGCAACAACTACCACAGCCAATAACCCTAAACCCAAAACCCCAAAACCCTAACCCTTACTTAACCCCTGAACCTTCAATCGGCCACTCTCCAAGCTCGGCAGGTTCAGACGAGACGGAGAGACCAGATGCAAGAAAGGGAGCAGGCGAAGCGGGCAGACGATGATTCCCATGAAGCGGCCTGCAGCCAAGTCGGCAACAAAGGGTGGTGGCCAGAGGGGCTGGCCGAAGGGGAAAGCAAAAGCCCGGGCCAAGCCTTTGGAGAAGGGTGAAGACGAGGAGCCAAAGCCGAAGCCAGCCAAACAAGGCAAGCAGGGTGACGACGAGGAGCCAAAGCCGAAGCCAGCCAAACGAGGCAAGCAGGGTGACGACGACGAGCCAAAGCCGAAGCCTGCCAACAGAGGCAAGCAGGGTGACGGAGCCGAAGCCGACGCCTGCCAAAAGAGGCAAGCAGGGTGACGACGAGGAGGAGCCAAAGCCGAAGCCTGCCAAAAGAGGCAAGCAGGGTGACGACGAGGAGCCGAAGCCTGCCAAGAAGGGCAAGCGGGGTGACGACGAGGAGCCGAAGCCTGCCAAGAAGGGCAAGCGGGGTGACGACGAGCCGAAGCCGAAGCCTGCTACGAAGTGCAAGCAGGGTGACGACGAGCCGAAGCCGAAGCCTGCGAAGAAGGGCAAGCAGGGTGACGACGAGCCGAAGCCGAAGCCTGCGAAGAAGGGCAAGCAGGGTGACGAGCCAGTGCCGAAGCCTGCTAAGAAGGGCAAGCAGGGTGACGACGACGAGCCACTGCCGAAGCCTGCCAAGAAGGGCAACGAGCCGAAGCCTCCGCTCAAAAAGACGTTCGCCAGAAGGTTCGAGCCGCCAACCGAGGGGGACCCCAAGTGCCTTTGGACGTCCATCCGGGATGCCTTCAACGCCGTGATTCGCCAACACTTCCGTTTCCCTGTTAAGCACGAGGATTGCCAGCCGAAATCTAGTCCCACCTAAACCCGAGAAGCCCTGAACCCTAAAGTTTACTTTAAAGCCACACACCCCTAAATCCCTAAACTTAAATCGCTGCTTAATCGGAGAAACCTAAAAACCCTGAATTTCGACTGATTCTAATGCTTCTCTACGCACTCCTGGCTAAGGCCTTGATCATACTCAAAGCCCACAATCCTCCTAAACCCTCTAGGCCTCGAATCATCAAGCCCTAGACCTTTCCAAACCCTAACACCCTCTACGCCCTAAGCTCTCTTAAGTCGAAACCCATTTATGTTCTGCTTGCAGGATCTCTTCTGGAAGCACTGCCGGCCCATTCTGATCCAGGAGGAACAGCCCCACTTCAGATCGAAGGCACAGCAGGTTGCCTTTGAGTGGTTGGAAATGCAGAGAGCAAATGGTGCTCTGGACAACCTTGACAACTAAAGCCGCCCGTCTAGAGCAATGAACTGTTTCAATTGTAATTAAAGCTTACAAGTTCCCATGAACTATGCCACCCTATCCGAGGCTCCGTGGTACGATCCGACCGCCGGCTACATGAGTGATCCTGAGTCATAGCATCGACTCGGGCCTGCTTTTGTGTTTCAGTTCCAGTGCAACTCTCTGGGATCAACTAGGATCCCCTGACGGGTGTCTGCTTTCCAGGGGCGAGTGTGGGCTGTGCTTAAGTTAGTGTTCAGGAGTGACTACCTGCACGCACCGGGTTATGCTTGCTGGGTCGCCAAACACTGCCCTTTAGAGGAAGCAAGAGTCATGGCGAGAGATGCAGTATGTTCGTGGCAGCAACAAAAGTTGAGTGAGTCTTCATGACCAGCGACTGCATTGATTGATACTGAAGCCAAGTCTCTGCATAGATATTGAAGATAAGATGCTCTCGTTCCGAGTGCGAAGGCTTAGGTTACTTTCAGGTTTTACGTGTTTGGAAGGCTTAGGTTACTTTAAGGTTTAAGGTGCTTGGGGTTTCCGGGGCGGGTCTGAGGATCGTGGGGCTTGCCGCTTGAGATTGTGGCCTGGCTTGGGACGGGCTTTGGTAGCTTTCTTCGATCTAGCACTCCAAACCCTCAGCCTGAACCCTAAAACCCTAAACCCTGTGTGAGCGCCGAAATGGCTTTGGGGTTCGAATACTTGCCTTTATCTTTGTGCGATTTCAGACTGAGAAGGGGGGTGTTCCAGGTATTGGTTGTCGGAGGCCCCAACCTGAAACTCCTTCGGTTGTGCGGCATAGAATCTAGAGGGCTTGAGGTCTCCAGGTTCAAGTTGTAGCCCTGCATCCTGAAGCACACGAGTGAAGCCCCCCAAAGAACAACTATTTGGCATTACAGGATATTAGGGGTTTATGTGGTTTAAGCTCTATTTGTGATCCCGGATCCTAGGCTTCTTAATCCCAAGCCTTTGCAGCAAGAAGGGTTCAAGTTCTGTACGCAATAATCTAAGGATTTTGGGGATTCGGTGTTTGTTCTGTAGCATCTACCCAAAACCTAAGTCAAAGATCTTAAACCTTTAATCCATGAAAGTGGCTTATCTCGCTTGTGAATGTGAAACCAGAAACTACCAAGTCTTTGCACAACTCCCAAAGCCCAAATGCCAAACTTCGAAGTCCAATAGCCTTAAGCCTAAACCTTAAACCCCTAATCCCGAAAGCCTTCCAGCCCAACCCCAGACCCTCAACACGAAGGCATTTCAGCCAAATTCAATCCTGTGAGTTCGCTCTGTTTCTCTCCGTCGACCTCTCTCTCTCCTTCTCTCTCTCTCTCTCTCTCTCTCTCTCTCTCTCTCTCTCTCTCTCTCTGTCTCTCTCTCTCTCTCTCTCTCTCTCTCTCTCTCTCTCTCTCTCTCTCTCTCTCGCTCTCTCTTTTTGAAGCACCCAAAACCCTTAACCCTAGATCCCTTGGCCGACTGAAGCTGCAAGTCGGGCTCCGAAGTCGCCACGCTTTGCCTGGGAAGTCCAAAGATCAGTGTTGGTTTGTCAAAGAGCTAGTTTCGTATTCCACTCTAGGTCCTAGGTGCTAGCTAGCTTAGCATTCCACTACATTCCATTGTAGGTGCGGTACTACGCAGCAATCAGTATGGCGGCCCTAGCAGCCCTAGCAGTCGGATCCAATGGAAACCACGATCAAAGAGTCTGCTCGAAAGAAGGCTGTGCACGGTTGGTGGATGGGCTGCATCGCTACTACTGTCGTGGCTGTCGAAAGAACGAACGTCATAGCAAGAAATGCTCGTTGATGAATGCTGCTATCGTTGCACTGGAGCCGGTTAGAGACTGCATGACGTGTGATCGTAAGGTTTTTCCTCCACATATCCACTGCTGCTCAGTTTGCAAAGACAGACCTGGAGAGCACAAGCCGACATGCTTGCATAGGGCAGAAGCTGCTGCACGCAAGTTCTTGGAGGAAATGGATTGAGGTTCGGAGCTTGCCTGGTGTGCCGCAAAAGAAGATGCTATGTTGCTGACACTGCATGACTGTGTTGACAAGTAATTGTTTAGGCACTCAGACAGTGTTAGGGCAAAGGGAGGGATAGAGATAGAGAGAGAGAGAGAGAGAGAGAGAGAGAGAGAGAGAGAGAAAAAGAACAAAGAAAGAAAAGGCAAAGTGATGAAATGACACAGACAGTGACAGAGAAAGGGGGCCGAGCGAGCAACATGAACATCGGGGAAGCAGGCCCCGCCACGGGTTTTCGGGGTTTGGTCGGGGTTGTCCAGGCCCCAGCACTGGTTTTGGGACTTTGGTCGTCGTTTTGCAGGCCCTACCACTGGTTTTGGGGGTTTGGTCGGAGTTTTGCAGGCCCTACCGCTGGTTTTGGGGGGTTTGGTCGGGTTTTCCTACATTTTGGGCTGCCGGCTGCCGGCGGGAATGCCCGTCCAAGTAGCGTCCGTGCCCGTCCAAAGGGCGGGAATAGCCGGGATGGGTCCCTCACCCCAGCAGAGCATCAGCTGTGACCTGTGTTGTGCAGGCTTTTGTGGCCCAACATAGGGCCTGCAGCTCTGCTGTTTTGTGCCATGGAGGGAGATCCCGAAATGGAAAGCCTTTTGGCCCAGAGACAGGCCCTTTTGGTGCTCTGGATTGAATAGAACCAAATGTGTGGGATGCATTCACGAAGGCTTCTTCCCTTGATGGGCCCCCATTGTAACCGATCCCAGGATCAGATGAAGGCCCAGGGCTTGGAGCCGGCCAGCAAGAAGGACCTGCTTGTATCAGTGTGTCTTGTTATTGAGCTGAATAAAGTGTTGGTTGTTTTTCGGCACAGGATGGTCCGTCACGTGGCACCTCCTGGCACTCCTCCCAGACGGGTTCCCAGCAGCAGTTCCCCTCTTTGCCACCGCCTGACACCCCAAGCGAGCAAACTTCGCCTGTCCGCCAAACCTTCCCTGACACAGTGCAGGACTCGGCCCCCGAGACCCAGCAGCCACAAAGCCAGACCGGCCAGCCTGTTCAAATCAAGAAGCCTGAAGAAAGCCAGGCCAGCCAGAGCCAGTCCCTTGAAAGCAAAAAGCCCGCAGAAAGCCAGGCCAGCCAGAGCCAGTCCTTTGAAAGCAAAAAGCCCGCAGAAAGCCAGGCCGCCCAGAGCCAGTCCCTTGAGAGCAAAAAACCCGCAGAAAGCCAGGCCGCCCAGAGCCAGTCCCTTGTGCCCAATGAAACCAAGACCCCGGAGCAAGCCGCAACTGGCCAGGATGGCCAGGCAAAAGCCAAAGCCCAGGCCAAACGACTCCTTCCCAACAGCAAAGCCAGGCCAGGCCAGACGAAGGACCAGGATGATGAGTATTGTCTAGGAGAGGAGGATGAGGCCGTCGCCCCTCCCGCACAGGTGAGCAAAGCCACCCTGATGAAACGGCTGGCCCGGTTGTGTACGCCAAGGGAGGATGGGTCGTACAAGATACCACAGGATGTTATCAACACTTACAAGATCCTCGAAACTAGGGAGCAAGTCTACCGGAGCTTCGAGAAGTGTGGTTGCGACCCCTTTTGCCTGTCTCGTTTATGGTACCTTGTCGATACAATATCATACTTTCTCTGCTAATCTCCCACTAAGCAGCCAGGTCCTCTTCTCGAAGAGAATCAACCGAAAGTACGAAGAGATCAACGAGAAATCGGTGGAAACCGAGTTCGATTCCTGACAGAACAGGAAATGGAAGAGAAAGGCTGGAGCGAGTGTCTTAGATGATCATACCTAAGCCCTACAACCCTAAACCCTACAACCCTAAACCCCTGAACCCCGAAAACCTAAAGTCAAAACCCTATCACTACCTTGTTCCTTAGCCGAGGAAGAAGATCAAGGGTGCCAAGAGAAGCTGTGAGAAACGGCCCGGATGGAAGAGGAGATTGATTCTACTTGTCGTGTTTCGATTCACTGCACATAGGCTCATCGTGCGAACTTCTTTGCTGCTGCTCTGTTGCAGAGGAAGTCTGAATACTGCGATGAGTGGATGTACTGGGTGGCTGTGAGGGTCAAGGGCTCCAACAAGTGACATGGTTTTACATTATGTGTGGAATCTTTTTTGTGTGTAGCCCCGAACTTCTGTCCCAGCTTCCTTGCCCAGGAAAACCAAGAGGCACACTGTGGCCGAGATTCTCGAAGGTGAGGATCAGGGAGACGGCCAGGATCCAGAGGAGGCCATGAAGGAGTTCCCGCACGACGGCGATGACGAGAGTGCAGCGGCCAAAGGCTTTCCTGGGGTCATCAGTGCCCCGCACAACCCTAAACCCTAAGCCCTGCCTATTGCTATCACTACTACTACTACTACTACTACTACTACTACGACTAACTACTACTACGACTAACTACTACTACTACTACTACTACTACTACTACTACTACTACTACTACTACTACTACTACTACTACTACTAGCTACTACTACTACTACTACTACTAACTACTACTACTACTACTACTACTACTCTACTACTACTACTACTACTACTACTACTACTACTACTACTACTACTACTACTAGTACTACTACTACTACTACTACTACTACTACTACGACCACTACACTACGACTACTATACTACTACTACTACTACTACTACTACTACTACTACTACTACTACTACTACTATACTACTAGCTACTCCTACTACTACTACTACTACTACTACTACTACTACTACTACTACTACTACATACTACTACTACTACTACTACTACTACTACTACTACTACTACTACTGCTACTCCTACTACTACTACTACTACTACTACTACTACTACTACTACTACTACTCCTACTATTACTAGCACTACTAGCACTACTAGTCCTACTACCCTCGCTGCTAGTGATGCTGCTGATGCTGCTGCAAATGCTTCTGCTAATGCTGCTGCTCCTGCCACCGTTGCTGCGACTGCATTTTGGATGAGCACTACCAATACTACTAGGCTTGTGCTACTATCAATACACGAAGCAGTGCTTGTACTTTTTCAACACCCCGTTGTGTGGCTGGGCCCTTGGACCTGGATTTAGGGTTTTGGGGTTTTAGGGTTTAAAAGGGTTAGGGTTTAGGGTTTAGGTTTAGGCTTCAATCCAAGTTTCGGCAATCGTTCTATCGTGTTATTTCACGCCGGGCCTTCACATTCCCTTTGAAGAAAGGGTTTAGGTTGTAAGGTTTAGGGTTTTAGGGCTTAGGGTTTTAAGGGTTTTGGGTTTAGGGGTTAGGTTTAGGCTTCAATCCAAGTTTCGGCAACCGTTCTCTCGTGTTAGAAGCACAACCCCCAATAGCCTCACGCCGGGCCTTTACATTCCCTTTGAAGCAAGGGTTTAGGGTTGTAGGGTTTAGGATTTTAGGGTTTAGGGTTTAGGGGCTAGGGGTTAGGGGTTAAGGGTTTAGGTTTAGGCTTCAATCGAGTATTGGGTTGGAAGACTAGGTTGGGGGCTTCGGGTGATTAGTTACTGATTCTTAAGTATGGGAATTGGATTTCGCGAGTTTCCTGAGCCCCAGGAAGCCCAGTACTACCAAACCGGTAGCTCCTAACTAGCTCCCTTAAACCCTAAAACCCGAAGCCCTCCCTAATACTTGCAGCCAGGAGATGATGAGTCCGACGAGGACAGCAGCGATGATGGTGAAGAGGCCAGCAGAATACTCAAGAAAGTGATGTTCCCAGAGGTTGGCAAACGACCTCAAGAGGTGCTGCTGCTCGTCACTGCATGTCTACAGAAACGGAGCTCGAAACTCGTACCGGTTCTCCAAAAACTCGAGTCCATGGAGAAAAACATGCCTCTCTCGAGTTCACAGGTCAAGCAGCTCGACTAATTGTCGTGTGTGACTACATTCATCAACCTGCCCTCCTGTGCCACCCCAAAACCTAAGGTACAAGGAGAGCTTGAAAACGATCCTGGAGAAGCTCAACGAGCTGGAGGACGAGCTCACGACGGTCTACAGCAACGGGGTTGCTGTTGGGTTCACGAAAGAGAGCCTCGACAAACAGATTAGTGTGCTTGTTGTTGATCAGGATGTGGTTTTGGGGTATGCATGTTTGTCAGCTGCCATCAACCCACTAATCCCGCCAAGGGACCAGAAGAAGATGCGAGCCCAGTTCCAGATCGCCAAGACGAGGCAACTCGGTGAGTCGGTGAGTGGCTGGAAGAACATGCAAGAGCTCTACCCGAACCTTCCTTATTTGTACCAATGCTAAGGGCCGTCGAAGCTGAGATGATCTTCGAACGTTCCAAGAATATCAAGCCGCTTGTCCCATAAACCCTAAGCCCTACTAAACCCTGAACCGTTAACCCCTAAACCCTAAGCCCTCAGCCCCTCGACCCCTAAAGACTTCGTTTGCATGTGGCCTTGCATCGGTGCTACTCAATAATATGTGCAGCATTCCTTGTTGTGCATTAAGGATGCCGGCGAACGCCGGAAGCACCCCGAAGATCGAGCCGAAAGTGAAAGCAAAGCCAAAGCAGGCTGCAGCGAAGGGCAAGGCGGCACCCAAGAGAAAAGGTGATGATGATGGTG